GTTACAAAGATGGTCTTTGAATAGGTTTTTGGGTATGCCCTATTCAATTTTGAAAATTTTTTTTCAAAATTCCTACCACGAAAGGGTACACCCCTAGTGGGGGGTGCGAAAAAAATCTGATTTCGACGAAATTTGGTATCTGGGGGTTTTTGAACATGAAAATGACGAATTTGGAATAAGTTTTTGAAAATTCGAAAAAAAAGTTCCACTGCAATTCTTGGCCGGACAACGAAAATGGCGAGAATTTCACGAAATTTGTTGTGTTGCAAATAACAAAAAAATAAGGATTTAAGTCGATATTATCATAACATGATCACAAAAAATTCGATATGTCGATCATGCTATTCAAGTCTGCAAATTCGATTCCAAAAAGAGCCCTAAGGAGTTTCTAAACAAATCAGAACATTTATTTCTTATTGTAGAATCTACCAGCGGACACCGAAAAAAAGTTCAAGGGTTCAAAATGGAATATGACCCCTGAAAAAAACTCAGACATCACCATTCTCACTTCCATTGACTGACCAATGATGTAAGCCCTCGCTGTAACCGAGGCTGTAACTTATATTCCATATGCAAGTTAAATGTCTCAAACACTGCAGGATATAAAAAAAACTGTGTAGATCGGTAATGAAGCGCATACAAACCTATGCGAGGACCTATGCTTATATCGAGGCTTTATAAACATCAAGTCTTAAGATAAGCCAAAGAATTAGTCCATTACGTATGTACCTACATCGTATTTAGGAATACCATGTATATCTTAACCTATAATGGTCAATATTGGAAATTTTTATTTCAGAACATTTGACGAGGTCTTTTGCATTGTATTGATTTTCGAGAAACTATTTTAATGATTTTTTATAACTTAAGCAATCCTACCGTTTTCTAAGATTTATCAAGTAGGGAGCCTCTAATATTTTATAAATGTGGGACCAACGCCACATGTGCATCTTAAAGCTAGGTATAATTTTTCATGAAAAAATAAGTGAAAATAGTGTACCTACCTACTGGAATTTTGATTAAGTAATTGCTTTAAAACCTTAGCAAACACTAAATCTTCCCATCAGTGTATCATAGATTCACTCACTGGTGACTTTCTTAATGGTTATAAAATGGAAATCTAATACCTACAGCACAGATTAAGTATGGAAAATTATAATTACGGCAATTGAATATATACGAGTTTGGCAATGAAAACTAGTCCCTTATGGACAACATCCACAGATTCAGAATGCGCAGCAAAATTTTGAATAATTCAATACTTCGTCTAGATATACCTAAATTGGTATTGAATTGATGAATAATTGAACGGACGATAACAGTAAAATATTTCGTAAATATTTCTATGAACATGAACGCATCCAAAACATAACACGATCTTTATAAACAAAAGAATTGATTCATTAAAGTATGCAAGAAACATTGCGAATATGAGGAGGGGAAATTAAACGTATTGTTTATTTATACGAATTTAGAAAGGACAGCATGTATTTAACAATAACAAATACCTAAAGTCGCAATATTAAAAACAATCACAAAGTATTTCCTAATAAAAGGAAGCGAATCGTAAATGAAATAAAATTAGAAAAACGTAGATTTCTAATTTTAAATTAGCTAATTAAAATGTAAGGCTCCATAATATATAAATAAAAAAAATGCGCAATGCACCAATTAATAGAGGGATTGCATTAACACTGAGGGTGCAATGAGTGCGGGATAGTCGATTGTGGTTGCTATATCCACATACACACACAATGTCATAATCAGCTGATTTTCTTTGTTTGCAATTCAGTTTGCTAGAATCTTCCAGGGTCGATGACATGCATTTTAAATGTAAACGCACGATACGCAAAAAAGCTACAACGCAGTATTCGGTTAAAGATAGCCAGAATACAAAAATTCCTTGCATGACGACCTATTTATTTCTTAACCCAAACCTTGAACGATTCCTACCTTTGTAATGTACACGCAAATTATTCTGGGATAACCCGATGTAGTTATATTTTTCTTTCGCACTCCACGCACGTGGCAGGGGACTCTTCTCTTCGTTCACTGCCGGATACAGTTTTTTTAAACGATCCACCGCACCATTTTGAGTCTCAAACGAAGGATCCATCGCACTCCAACTACTACCACCGGCGGCCATTACTAAACTCGCTTGCCCTTCGAAGCCTATGCGCAGGCTTCGGAGTTAACAGGTTTGGTAATCAGCTGGCAGATGTCACAACACTACCTACTATCACATGTTTGCGTCGTCATAGTAACTGCGTCGTACACGTGCATCTAACTCGTATACTACACAGCCTGTTCTTTAATTTAATAGTAAAATAAACGAACTCTTTTTCCCGTTATTCTTGACCACGTTACGAATTATTCATTGTTACGAATAAACGTTTTGACACTACAAAATCACACTGTATCAACTTCGCAGTAGGTAGGTACAATTATTTTGCCACAACCGAGCAATAATCGGTTGCGATTCTCAAGTGTTTTGATAAATAATCAAAATTGCAAAACACATCCATTTATATATACAAGGTGGTGAATTGCGTAACGCACCATAGGGATTTCAATGTAAAATTCATAACATGCGATTATTGGCCCCCCAAATTATTTTAGAGCAAAAATGTATTAAGGTTTTTTGTAGAAAAAATCTTTTTACGCCAATCAACCGTATTAGTTTTCAATTTTTTGCATAATAAAGACGGAAAATTGGAAAAATAAAACCCGCATCTTTTTCAATAATCTGCAATGCCATGCAATTTTCTAAAACATAAAGAGATATCCAGTTATCAATTAGCAGCAGTTCGAAATTGATTTTATGATCCACTTGGTTACTGTCTTGCAGTTAATGGTAACTTATTCGAACATTTATTGTAAATTGTTATATTAGCAAACCGTTTTTAGTAATTTGGTCTTTCTTTATGTTGAATTCGCTGTTCTAAATATCATACTTTTTGATAGAATTTGATTTGTTTTACAGCAGACATTCCATGGCAAGACGGATATTGGCGTAGTTTTTGTATTATAAATTGTCGTTTTAAACAATCCTGCCATCTTTTGTTCGCCATGGAAACCTAGATGTCTGCAATAAAAACATTTTAATGCATCAAAACTAAGAACTTTACGCTCTTTGCAAAAACTTCAAAATATATAGGATGGTCCGTCTCAAAAAATACAGTTTAGAGTCATATAAGAAAACACCCTGATGCATAAAAACTGTGTATCGCGATGAATTCTACATAAAAAAGTACTCTAAGAAAATCAATTATCTTTAATAATAAGAAAGTTATGGAGCATAAAGGAAATCGACTACATTCGAGAAACGCTCCCTGGCGGCCAAACGATTAGAGCTCGGATTAGAGATAGCGCAATTCTATTTGGCCCAGTCATTGTTTCTTTAAAATTGATCTCCAGACACCTAGGCCTATTTTTCTCTATCTCTTAAAATAAAGGGCGCTTCCATAAGAAAGTGTCCAATTTGGAACAACCTGTGCATATCTTTCGACACTTAACTTCTCAGGATATTCGCAGTGTGAAGCTTATCGATTTTACCGGCAGATACCCTCGCAGATACCTCAAGTTTCTACCCTCCGCTTTCCCTTTGCTAGTAGCCTTTTTTGACATTTTGTTCTCTCATTTTACTTTTTGATCCCAATGGCCGATATCAAAAGCAGACGCTATATATTTAACTTTTGGTATTTCTTCATGATAGAGGTGTTCAGTATTTATAAATAGGTATGTCTGACTTTTACTTTTTAGTACCTACTTATCTAAATAGTTTTCAGATGTGCTTGTACAGTTCTGCTTTACCACACAATTAAACACAAATATCTGTGCACTGTGGTCTTCGTATTAGCATTGTTTAAATACTTTAAACAATGGTGTTAGGTACTAAGAATCATTCTCTTTTGGTAAATTTACTCAATAGCAAACGTTATCAGTGCCGGTTTACCGGTTAGGCACGCCTAGGGGCGCCTGCCATTTAGGGGCGCCAGCCGCCAGTGTACCACCAAGTATCGTACGCCATGAGCAGTACGCACACTAAATGGAAATTCCCATAAAGATGTGCTTACTACTTTTTAAATTCAATTCCTTAGTGTTGTATCATTTTTTACGACAAAGATTAACAGTAATTACACATTCATTTTGAAATATGTACATTTACCTACTATATAACAGGATATGAAAACTGAGAAGCTGCAATTTTTGTATCAAATTGATATACGTAATCGCAGTGCTACTATGAACTTTTTAAGAAATTCTCTCGGCAGAATGAGACTTGAATTGGCACTTCTACACATGAATAGTGATATATTAGACCGCATAAATGTTGAGGAAATTTTGGATAAATTTGCTTCACAAAAGGCTAGAAAAAAAATGTTTTAGAGAACTATGACCTTTTTATTATTTAAAAATACCTTTTTCGATTCAGTTTTAGAAAATTATTATTTTTTGTTATCTTAAAACGCAAATAATACTATTCCATTGTCAAGACTAATTTTTTAATAAAGGATTTTTTTAAGGGTCGGGTGGGCGCTTAAAGGGCTGTGCCTAGGGGAGAAAATGTTCCTAAACCGGCACTGAACGTTATGCCTCTACTGTAAGCATATCATACCTTATGATAGCAAATAGGAGGCCCATTTGCGTAAAAAAACCAAACCAGTTTATTTTCTCAAGGAGAAGCAAAAGAAACAATCGTCTTATACCAAGGTCCCTTGCTACTGGTATTGTTACTCCATATACGCAATTACAAAATGGTGGAAACAAACATATTGCAAAACCATAAATACATGTGGATACCAGAAGAAACAACATTTCACGGATAATTTAAAATTCCAATAAAAAAATCTGTATTGGTTTTTAAAAACAGTTGCCCGACTCTTATAGCAATCTGTTGCAGCAATTCAGCTTTCAGGGTACAAATTTTCAAAAGCCTGCACATAAAACTTTCACAAAAACATCTTACTAGAGCTCCCAAAAAAATAATATAAACAAAATTACTAATCACAAATTTATAATAATAGGTACTAACCTTAAATACTAATCACATGTAATGTAATGTAATCACATTCGTATAGTTTTTTCACAATAAATCTACAAATGTCCGCAGCGTCATAAACTATAACACTTCATGATCTCCCTTCCTAACTCATTATGGTCTCGGTTTCTTAGGTAGTGATCCAAATGCAGATATCACTGTGCCTTTCGTGCCGGTAGCGCTACTTGTAAGAGAGGGCTGCACCAACCCGGCCGGTTTAATTGTTTGCGAAGATGTACTGTTACCCCCTGGTTGGTCCCATTTACTTTTTCTTTTTTTGGGATCTTCGTCGTGTTTTTTGGTACCCGACATTACTTCCACTTTCGACTTCCTATCCTTTTCACGTTTCTCCATCTCGATCTTCTGCACCTTGGCCAGTTCTTCGTAGAACGATTCCTTTCCCCATCTAAGAGGATCGTATATCTCTGGTGGATAATTTGTACCTGCAAACAACAAGAGTTAACCGCAAGTGCGCGACTACGATTGAAGTACCTAATTCGTTAATTCCACAAAACTGGATTAATTTCTCGTATATGCTGGGATTACGAAAATCTTTACGTTGTTGAATTAATGCGTTCATATCTAATGCATTGTTTTGCATTTTTTCATGTAATTTCAATATTTTATCTTGCAGATCGGCAGAACAATGACCTGGTGGTTCAGGGGGTAGCTGAATGCCGTCATCTTCAACTTCGTCGACTTCCGCAACAAGAGTGCTTTCTTTATCAATGATATTTACAATTGTTTTACTCCCGTGTAAATCATCAGCTTCTGCATCATCGTCGGATACATAAGTATCATCATGGTAAGAGACCAATTTGGCAACTTTTGTAGTAATTTTTGAGGGTATTGGTGTAGATGGTCGAGATGTTGGCGTTGACTTGTTTTCTGGTGAAACACTTGGAGTTGTTAACGTAACAGACCCTTGATTCTCGTGTGCATGCTCTGTACCATCTTCTTCGCCCTCTGAATCGGTATAAGATGCAGTAAGAGATGCCAAAGCCATACTTTGATTCATTTTGGGAGTATTACAAATTACGCTTATTACAAGTTTGCGCACTTTCGTGTGGCGACAATTACACAGTACTGTTTAATTACTTGGCATTTATACATTACTTATACCAAAACAACATTTAAAAACACTGAAAATGAAATTTAGTTTTGTTGAGTTAAAAAACATCAATTTTAGGTTAGTACAGAAAAAATTCTGTGATAAACTGTGTCTACGCTGCCCTGGCAAACTGAACCATCTTCTGTTTTACGTTAAGGCTTGTTTACACGAGAACAGACTTATTCAATCATGTTGGCGCCCTCGGACATGCCCTTTCAGGGACTTTCTGAGCGTGGTGCCACTGCAAATGTGATTACTAGGCGGTCACCTTTCGCAAGTATGCCCCAAGGTTAGCGCTTAATTTCTGCAACTATAGCTGAAAACAACTTACCCCCTACTTTCTACTTTTCAAATATTAGGCAAGCCATTTCCATATGAGAAATGTGTTTCGATTATCTCCACTTAAAAAAAATACTTTTACAAAATTATGTAAAAATTGGGACAAGTGTTAGTGTTTGTTTACAATGAACGTATACGTAAGAAATACATAAAACTTAAAAATTTCGCAAAGTTGAACTGATAGAAACATACGAAGGTGTTTACAATGAACGTAATTTTTACGTACGTATACGTAAGCGATATGGAGTGCTTGTTTACAATGAACGTATACGTAAGAAATACATAAAACTTAAAAATTTCGCAAAGTTGAACTGATAGAAACATACGAAGGTGTTTACAATGAACGTAATTTTTACGTACGTATACGTAAGCGATATGGAAGTCTTGCGCATAGTCGCAAAAGTTGAAAATGTTTCAAAGTTACGTACTGTTAAAGATCATACTACTATTTATTATGGTCTTTGGTTTATTGTAAACAGCGAAGTAAATTTACGGAAACGATACGAATATGTACGAGTTACAGTTTATGAAATATTTATGTATACGTTCATTGTAAACAAACACTAAGTCTTGCGCATAGTCGCAAAAGTTGAAAATGTTTCAAAGTTACGTACTGTTAAAGATCATACTACTATTTATTATGGTCTTTGGTTTATTGTAAACAGCGAAGTAAATTTACGGAAACGATACGAATATGTACGAGTTACAGTTTATGAAATATTTATGTATACGTTCATTGTAAACAAACACTTATGAACCGGTTCGAACTTCGAAATCGACAACGCATCCCCCTGTACGTCAAACTTCCTGCTGAAACAGTAGGTATATGAGACACTGACAAACTATCGACCCCTCCAATCACACATGTATCACAAATCACATGTATAATTTTTATAATTATTAATTATAACCTCACTTTTCTAATTTTCATTTGTATGGCTGGGTACTGCTAGTGTTGCATTTATAAATAATGGACCATAAAAATTCCTCGGAACTAAACTTGGAGGACTATGACAGTGACTCAAATGAAGATGAAGCGGTCAGTTCTATAAATGCCTGCCCCTTAGTCACGGAGAAGGAAATTAACCGAAAAGATGATTCTTACATTCTACATTTATCAGCGACATCGTATGCACCTCATGCACGTGTAGAGTGGACTCATTTTTAATAAACACAGCGTTCTAGTGATGCCAGCTGCAATATCCTTATCGGCACATCGAATAATTCTTGCGAGATTTTTCGTTTAGGCGAAAACCGGCTCGCCAAATTGGAGACTTTAGAAAATTTTGAGCATCCGATCATAGGAGTGCAATTTAGTCCAGAAAGTAACGATTTGATGTATATTGCTACATCTCTTGGTAATATTCAGCTGTGGGATTTGAGAACGCCTCAAAAGTTTGTCGTTCAATTCACAGGTGTGTTTTAAATTTAAACGCCAAGTGCTTTTAGATGTTTTAATTCTAGAAAAGAAAGAAGAGGGCTCGTCAAATGATCTTAAAACATTAGCTTGTTTTAATGCATCTGCGAATAATCGTCTCTTAACTGCAGGGACTGAACTTTATAAGGGTGAAGCCTTTATATTGTTTTGGGATATTAGAAACACAACTTTGATGGGTGGTTATTGGGAATCGCATACTGATGATGTTACTCAAGTTGTCTTTGATCCAAATGATGCTGATAAATTGATGTCAGGTTCTGTAGATGGCTTAATTAATGTGTACGATGTTAAACATACTAATGAAGATGATGCTTTAATGGATTCATTTAACACAGAATCTTCGGTTGAACAATTATGCTGGTATAGTAACAAGGGCAAAGATTTTATTAGTTGTATTACTCACACTGCTGATGTTCAGCTGTGGTCTCCTGACGATGCAGAGCCTTATGCACATTTTCGAAGAAGTGATATTACCAAAGCAATGAAGGTATTTTAACGAGTGTCTGTGTAGTTCAAAACATTGATATGTAATTGCTTAGCGCAAATCGGAAGCACATTGCTATGTAGCAGGTGCTCACAGGTTACTGGGGAACGAGCTACTTATTTTAGCTGGTTCTAATTGGAATGATGGAGAACACTTGAAATGTATGTCTACAAGTAACAAAAAACTGGAATCATTTGGTACATTGAAAGAGAACAGGCAAAGGGTTCGATGTAGTGTTTTTAATCAATACGTAAGTAAATTTTGTGTTTACAATCTCATCTGTAATGATAATTTTACAGCACAATCTACTTATGACAGGAGGGGAACAAGGAATATTAAATGTGTGGAATGTAAATCTGAATGTATAGACAATAAAAGATTGATTTGCATTTTTATCTTTATAAGCAAAAGGTTCCTTGAATTTTTCTTTTATTTACAAAGAGGAACACAATGATATATAAAATGTTTAGGCAGGTGATATGATATACAATACAAGCAAGATGGGTCAGTGGCTTAAGTAAGGACATGCCCGACCCCCACTGCAGGAGGACCAATTGTCTTATGGGCCGGCAGCTCTCGGCATTCATTTCCATTATAATAATAAGTGCATATAATGGATGTAACCAAAGGACCTAGATTGGGCAAAGCTGGTTTTTAATCAGGCCTTAAACTTTTCCATACTTTTGGACATAACTAAGCAAAGATGCATCAATAAATTAGATCTACTAACATTAATAATGTAACTATACAAAAATAACTGCAACAATTATATAAATCAGTTAGTTGTTTAATCTTTGAATGAATCTATATCTATTCTATGCAAGCTCCTGTTGGAAAAAGCTTTGGGAAAAAATACAATACTAATTAAGGTTTCCAATCCATAGGCAACACTACATACACCTAGGTAACGAACAAGGTAGAAGCTTGGATCATACTATGCGATCAAAAATGAGTTGATCGCCCGTTATATTGATATTCAAAACTTTTGTAAAAAAAATCTAGAATCCCTACTCCAAGATGGTGCACCCCTAAACTGATATCGATGAAATTTGATAAAATGAATGGCTATTCCTTGCAAAACCCGCCTAACGTAGGCTGAGGTAGGTATTCTCATTATATATATGGGTATTCTCACCTCATGCTTGTCTGGCACGTTATTTGTACCTATAATAATCCTTGTCTAGCACGTTGTTTTGCAAATCGCCTAAAACAACGTGAATGAGACACCTACCCATTGTACTACATAACTAAATACTCCGTAACCACCCACGTGGCGTTTATGCGTTTTACAAAACACCCTGCCAGAAGGATTATTATACAAATGACGTGCCAGACAAGAGGATACCTACCACAGCCTACGTTAGGCGGCACCGTTGAGTGTTTCACTCAACGGCGGCACGCGATTTTGGATTTCGATGCCATTCCAGTTACAGAGTATACAGACCCTACCTCTATCCATCTCTCTCGTCACGGTTTTTGTCCTTGTCCTTGTAGCTCCTACATCAAGAGTCCTATGGAAATTGTGGTAGGTATCAGATTCAGATCCTTAAAAAAAGTTATAGGTTTTAAATGTGAACCCAAGCCAAGTGCCTTCACATTATCGTCCAAAAAGTTGATCGTGTCCAATATCTAAGTACTTACTCCAAAGAATTGTTTCCTATTAAATTCCGTCATATCCAAATTCGTCAGTATTGTTGGAAAGCGCTACCAAATTCATGGCGTTAGATAAAGTTCGCAATTCCAAATATCGAATGTGGCTTTTATAGGTATATGAGACTGGCGCATCGTGCGCAATATGCTAAACGTAGTGTTCCAAGGTAGGTACCGGCGGGGTGGAAATATATCGGTCTGTTGGTTTAGTGCTAAATGAACCCCTTAAGGGTGTATTCCACTTAAAATTTATTTCTGATTGACGTATGATGGGTTGCATAATACTTACTTGTAATGAAATCGTAACGAATAAACACAGATTGAAGAATTTACCTGCCCATCAACCATTGTATAAAGCATAAGCAGGGGTCAGCAATCTATTGAAACAGAAGAGCCAAAAATTACAACTTATAAAATTTCCCAGTTTTGAAAGAGCCACAAAAAAATTTTGATTTAATATTATAGTATTTGGCTATATACAGGGTCCTGCAACAATGCGTCGGTTTTTCCTACATAGCTGATACCTGGTAAAAAATATTGGTGGTTGCGGATCTACAGAAATTATTTTTGCATGTACAGGGTGTCCCATTTTTACGATGTCAATAAATAACTGATCTTTTTAAATAGAACATCCTGCATATTTTTACTTGTTTCAATGCCATTTGTTCAAACTGCTATAACTATTCTTTTTCAAATGGAACTACTACTGTTTTATTTCGCTATTCGATTGCCTTTTGCGTTCTCTTCAATGTTTATAAGGGGTGCCCTGTGCTTAAACCCCGCAGTTTTTATGTTATTCAATATTTTTCACAAAAGTACCTACTCATTAATTAATTACGTGTTTATACATCGGATGAGTAGGCTGCTGTAATAAAAAAACAAAAGAATACAAGAAAGTAAAGGTAAACAGGTGTCACAAATTAGATAATTATTTGCTGCAAGTGTACTTTTGATTTGGTAAACAAATAAGATTAATTAAAAAGGCGAATTTCGAACAAATGAAGTAATTTCTTTAGATAAATACGGAGAGCCGCAACTTTATATCAAAAGAGCCGCAGATTGCCGACCCCTGGTATAAAGTAAACAAGTAATTACGCTAATTTACCTAGGTCATTAGCCATTGTGACGAATATGCATATATAATTAAAAATCGATTAGAAAACGCAAATCATTGTCACAGCGGCTAATCCTCAATAATTTCACTTTTCCCAGTTATTCATAAGACGTATATATTTTTTTAAACCCAGTATAGTTACTTCATGATCATGAACTATATTGACTATCTGGAAAATAACGCATGTAAGCGAATAAGTACCTACAATTAGATATATTTAAAAAATGCATATCCAAATCCCAAACATTTATTAGTAGGGGTTTTTCAAAATTTCGTCTAATTCGGGAACAACACAAGATAAATGAGGACTAACGCTTTTTTCGCAAACTATGTCTCTTTCCGAAGGATGCTACAGGGAAATAATCTCAAATTTGTATCACACTAAAATTTTAGGGGTGTTTCAAAATTTCGTCTAATTCGGGAACAACACAAAATAAATGAGAACTAACGCTTTTTTCGCAAACTATATCTTTTTCCGAAAGATGCTACATGGGTATAATTTCAAATCTGTATCACACTAAAATTTTAGGGGTGTTACAAAAAACGTCAGAAAAGACATAACTTTTAATTTACCCAAAAATAAATCACATTTTCCGTGTGAATTGTATTACCCAGTATATTATGGAATTATAATACGTTCTAATGAATCCGGTTTCTATTTGTAAATTAGTCCCGATAAACGCAACAACGTCGCTAATGAAGTCAGGCTTGCCGTATAATGTGTTGCCTACTGTACATTTATAAATGGTGAAAGACTTCACTAAACGCTACAAGTTTTCGTAAAAAATTTCGAATTAATATTTCGTCTAAAATTTTTTGTAATTTATTTGAAAGTTTGGTCGATGGCTCTATGGTTTGCTAATGTTTTTTCTGAGTATGCTACAGGGAGATTTTTAAAATAATTTGTGTTGACGCCATTTTACCTATAAAAGTTCACTTTTTATTGGCAGTGCTCTAAAAAATTGTTTTTTCTTAAATATTAAAATTTTGTTCTGTAGCATACTTTTTAAATGTATAATTTACACGACAATTCAACTCATGTATAAAAAATCACATAAGCCGCAGTGTAATTGTCACTTTGACAGCGGCAAAAGTTACCTGCAACTTTTCCAGCGACAAATGCACTAGTGGTTTTTTCACTTATTCATTTTCGAACCAATAATCGCATTATCCTTACCCATATGACTAGTTTGACGTCTGTCAATAATTGATTAGTTTGGTGAATTTCTTGTTCGTTAAATTGTCCTGCCGAATTACACTCGAGGTTTGTATTTAAACCGAATAAATTTGGGTTGTGGCAATTCAAATCTGTTTCCTTTTAGCAATTGGACTCGAAAAACTGTCAACCTAAAAATGCTCCACCTGCGGTGTCGCATTTTTATTAGTTGACAGTTTTTCTCGTCGAATTGCTAGGCAACAGATTTTCATTACCTAAACAACCCAAATTTACTCGGTAAAATACAAACCTCTTGTGCAATTATAAGTGACAATTCAACTCATGTATAAAAAATCGCATAAGCCGCAGTGTAATTGTCACTTTGACAGCGGCAAAAGTTACCTGCAACTTTTCCAGCGACAAATGCACTAGTGGTTTTTTCACTTATTCATTTTGGAACAATTATCGCATTATCCTTTCCCATATGATTAGCTTGACGTCTGTCAATAATTGACTAGTTTGGTGAATTTCTTGTTGGTTAAATTGTCCTGCCGAATTACACTCGAGGTTTGTATTTAAACCGAGTAAATTTGGGTTGTTGCAATTCAAATCTGTTTCCTTTTAGCAATTGAACTCGAAAAACTGTCAACCTAAAAATGCTCCACCTGCGGGGTCGCATTTTTATTAGTTGACAGTTTTTCTCGTCTAATTGCTAGGCAACAGATTTTCATTACCTAAACAACCCAAATTTACTCGGTAAAATACAAACCTCTTGTGCAATTATAAGTGAAAAAAATTAGCCCCGTCTTTCATCTCATGTTTTACAGAATTGAGACGAAATATAAATCGCACTATTTTCGCATAAATGTTGTAGTACTGGATTACACCCTTAACCATTTCGTAGAACTGCAGTTAATTGCTTCTTTTTCGAAAATAGAAGACACACGAGAGTGTCATCATGCAACTACCGAGAAATAACTAGATAGAACGAGAGTCATCAAAGAATACAACCGGCGTCATTCGTGTTGCGAGAAGTGTAGTGAATTTTCTAGAGCGATGTCAGGGCGCCATCAAGTCGATACAGGATTAGACACCGGCGATATTGAATAAAAACGGATGTGATGTTTTTTCTGTGAAATAGAATGTGGTTTCTTGATTTCTCAAGAAGATCTATTGTTTTCTATATAAGCAAATTGAATTTTGTTTAATATGAATATATAATCAACGAAGTGATAAATAATGAAATTCGACGTATTATAAAAGTGACTGCAAGTAAGTAATAAATATTGAATTGTTATAAATAAGAAGCGGTATGAATTTAGTTTAGCGTTAATAGAGTTAGTTCCGATGAGCAATAATAAATATTAAATTACCGCTTGTCGAAAAAAGATAGAAATTAAATTGGTAAAGGTGAATGTTGGTGATTACCGCACAAGTTTATTACTCGTCAGCGGACCTTGCATCTAAACGATTTGCTGTTGTGCCACGATACGAGGTCGCTTATTTGGAACTTGTTTGTGACCTTCGGGCTGCCACGCTTTAATTGACAAGACTTTCATGTACTTATTTGACCTTTCCCTAATAAATATTTACTTAGCAGTAAACGATAATGACGAGTGTACTACGATGAACTTTAAGTTAGATAAGATACGCTTGAGTCATTGTTGTTTCGTAATTGCATAAAAACAACAACTTTATTTATATCAATTTGTAAATTACAAATTTGTTCCCAGACCACAGACAGATGTTTTGCTATGAACGACATTGGTGGGAGAAGCGCAGACGCAACACGCCAGCGCGCACGTCACTTTAGGTCAGCTGTTTTGCGATACGCTGAGGTATTTCACTGTCAGCTGTTCGAGTTGTATATTTTGATTTTGACGTGTTTAACGCAAGAAAATGTCAGAGACGCAACCAGCCACGTCTAGCAGTGAATTGCCACCCGAACCTTCGGTAACAGTGGAAATTTTGGACGAATTTTCAGAACCCGATGCAAAAAAACGTAAAATTTCATCGGCACAAAGTAATTCCCAACTAAAAACAGATAAATTAGAACAACGATTGGGTGGTATTTTCTGCTGCGCAGTTTGTTTAGATTTACCAAAAGCAGCTGTTTATCAGGTAAGTGTTTCCATTTCATTCTATTTAATTCTATTCAATTTGAAATCCGCAATTTTCAACGCAGAATTATGTAAGACGTTCTTAATTTCTTTGTTCCTTTTAACTACTGCAGTGCGCCGCAGGCGCTCGTACGTATTGATTATTTTCAGCTGTTGCTAAAAATATTTCTTTCCTTTAGGTCTTCTGTATTTTTATTTTAATTTCGAACGTCGACTGATGTTTCAAAAATTTGGGTAGGTCCCCGATTCGTTCGCTTGCGTCCCATGCGAAACGATTTTTGAAACATTTGAGCGACCAAATGTATAGAGTTTTATATCATGACAAGGTCTATGGCCTAATCTTGCAAACAAAGAACATTCGTATTGCGCATTAACTGCGGTACTTTTTAAGTTTTTATGAAGGTTTAACATAGAATTGTTCACCTTGGGATGAAACAGAAAGTGACCCTTTAGTAAAATTGGAAAATTGGTTCTTCTGGAGGATCCCATTCATTGTTTACATCATAATTGCATCATCATGTAATGTATGATATGTCATGTACACTCCTTCGATAATTGGTGTACTTGATTTTTCGGATTTAATGTACCATAATCGATCAAATGGGTCATTTTCTCTTCATCGTTCCTGATGTGTGACTGTTACTTGATGTAAAATATAGTTGTGTTATAAATAGTCGCAATATAGCTAAACTAACATACTTAGTTACTAAATGTATTGTAATTAATAGTAATTACTTATATAGTTCCTAGACGATCATATAGCCAGGATATTCGCAGTCATATTTTTATAGAACATTCAAAAGGAAATGACAATAAATGTATTAACTTTACTTATTTAGTAATTATTCGCTGTATAGTTAGTACAATATCCTTACCCTTTCCCTGGTCTTATCAACCAAAAAGTAAGTTTGATGATGTTTCTAAGGGCACTATTAAGCTAAAAATTTTACAATGCCTACAAAAGCTTCAATTTTATTTTTTAATAGAAAAAGTCAGCATTTCAATTTTGGACAGTTCACACTTAAATTGTAAAATTTAGAAACGACATTTAAAAAAAAACTTTTGCCAAAAGGAAAGGTAGGTGGCAAAATGTAACAATCGAGTGGTGAGCCGAATCAGGTAACTATAGTAAGTTTTTGTTTATTTTTTTGTTTTTCATTGCCTTTTCCAACAAGTATTGATATTTATTTATATTAGTTCCAGGGTAGAAAAGAAGACTGGTGAGTAAGTCCAATTGTAGTAAAATTTAAGTAAAACTAAGAATAATGTTGCCGTTTTGTAACCATTATTCTTAGTATGCAGTCATTTCCAACCTTGTCTGTAAATAACTTTAGTTCTAGTCTAAATATAAAAAGGGTAATTGCCTCTTACAGCCATCTATATTAAGAATTCGAGCTAGACAGAAATTTTTCACATTTTTTCCAGGTCTGCTATAGTGGAAGATGATAATATTACTTTTTCAGATATATGGACACCAGCATTTTTGTTATTTTCATATTGCAATAAGTAGCATGTTTATTTTACTTTATTTATGAATGAATATAATGTGTATATATTACAGTGTAGCAATGGGCACCTCATGTGTGCTGGATGCTTCACTCATGTACTGGCAGATGCTCGTCTCCGAGATGAAATGGCAACATGTCCGAATTGCCGTGTGGAGATCAGTAAGGCATCGGCAACTCGTAATCTTGCCGTGGAACATGCAGTTTCTGAGTTACCTTCCGAATGTCAGTTTTGTAACAAGGAGTATCCAAGAAATACCTTGGAGAGACACGAAGAGAGCTTATGTGAAGAAAGGTACGTATATTGTTCATACACCAAATATTCTACTCATTGTCTGAATTTATATTTTGCCTTCAAAGGATCTCCAAAGAACCAAACTTTAAACTATTTGATCATTGTGTTTAACTGTATGTATTTGTGCAGGGTGGTTCTTAAATATGATGTAAATTCGGAAGGGGCTAATTCTTTGACTTATTCTATTACTTTAAGTTCATGTAAACATAGTTCTGGAAACGCTTCCTTACCGATCTACGGGGTGTTATAATTTCACCATAAGTGTAAAGTGTTACACACTAAACCTTTAATTATAATAAACAATTTCAAATGCGAACTGTCAGAACCGAGGTCAAAACTAATAAAAACAAAAGATTATTCAAATAAAGCCAGGGCCTACTAGACAATAAGAAATTTTCCTTTCATTTAGCTAACTATCGAAAATTGATTTTTTCATTTTCCCCAATCACGGTCACAAATACGAAAGAGACCAAAAAGTTTCCAAGTAAATCTGAATATCAAATTCTTATTTTACAATCTACCAATGGCGACCCGAAAAAAGTGCAGTGGTAGTAATCGGAACATGATCTCTGGATTCTGGAAAAACAACACCCTGCAGCGAGCCCTGCAGGTTCTCACTACCATTGATATGATTTGTAATGTAAGCCTCGCCTTCAGTGTAACTATGTTTATATGAACTTTTAGTCATAAAATAACCAAAGAATTAGCCCCTTCTGTATTTACATCACAATTAGGAACATCCTGTGTATCTACGAAAAAAATTCAAAAATAATTGAATTTTGATAAAGTGCGTTACCTATTACTAAATACAGTAGGCGTAGGGTTAAGATTTTTCGTGGTAGGCAATTGCGCAAAGATTACCTAAATTACTGGATCAGACGTTATGAGGAGTGTTGAGCAAATCTTGGTTTTTTGTTATTGTCGAAATTGCGAGTGTGGTTCTTTCTAAAACTCATGGGACCTTTATTTCTTGCTTCTTGGATCCTTTCTGACAATTGACCGATAGAGAGATTTCAAAACGATAATTTCAAATTCTTCAAAAGATCAGTGGATAGTGAAAAAATAACTGGTTATTGTAATTCTCGTATCCGATTTACTGTATGATCCAATAGATCTTATAGTGAAATGTCTGCAGACGATTCGGTGACAGTTTGTCCTCTTTTGAAGTTGAAGAACTGTAATTTTGCTTCTCAAAATTTGTGATAAATTTCGCCGTCCATCTGTTTGCTTTATTTTGCGTCACTCATTATTGACAAAGGTTCATTTGGAGTAACATTTTTTTACTTCAGACACATTTGGTAAGCTTTTGTCGTTCTGTTACTGAGGTGACAACATCTTCTCCTTTGGTTTTTAGTTTTTTACTTGCAACCGAAGTAAGCTCTTTGGTTTCAAGTATTTATAGTTTTGCAGTTCGGGTCACACAAAGGATTCGAATAAACACACAATTAATTGATAATAATAATAATTTCCGATATTTGTATGGGGATGGGGATCGTAAACCTTAAGAGATACAAAGTCGCTTAATTGGGCAAATAATTGCAGACTTTTACTCGTATGTAGATTTGTTTCTTTTTCAGAGTATTTTGGAGCAAACGAAGTTATGGTCAAAAAACCGAAAAATGTCATTTTCGAAAATGCGCTGGCGTTTATTTATTTTCAAAGATATCAAAAAATAGATTTATCAAACCCGTAGTAATTTTTTTTCGGCTTTTTGGTGGTGGCAAAATAAAATTTTTATCACTTGTGAGTTTCTAGTAGATCACGTCAACTTTATTATTTCTATGCCATATTGTATTTTTGTGTCATTATAAAATCAGCGATACGAAACACTTGATATTTTATTTTGTAAATTAATCTTGCATTTTTCCCTCGAGGCTTACAATGTATTGCTTATGGTAATAATTCCATGGCCATGTCAATGGTGACTATGGCTATGCGAGACAATAAAGAATCAATTTGGTTTTAATCACAGCCAGAATGTGAACTTTGAGGCAAAAATGCAAGATTAATTTCCAAATAAAGGACCAAGTGTTTAATATCGCTGATAATATTTTTCTCTCTATCGAATGACATAAAATCCAATATGGCGTCACACAACTCATTTGCATATACCGAATTCATTAGGACTAGTAACGGGTGATCAAATACGAAGTACTTTTCCCAATAGGGATTTTAAACCACTTTAATCAAGATAGCTGTCATGTGCATATGTGTTTTTTGTTCATTATTAGTTGACATTTCACCATGAATAGACTTACATCAGAACAACGATTACAAATCGTGGAAATTTATTTCCAAAATCAGTGTTCAGTGAGAAATGTTTTTCGTGCTCTTCAACCATTTTATGGTGCTCATAATCGTCCAACTGAACGCACAATGAAAAAGTTGTTGCCAAAAATTCAAGGTATTGATGTAGCAGACTTATGGTTTCAACAAGATGGAGCGACGTGCCATACAGCACACGAAACCATCGATTTATTGAAAGAAGCTTTTGATGAGAACATCATATCAAGAAATGGAGCAGTGAATTGATCACCTAGATCATGTGATCAAACGCCGTTAGATTACTTTTTATGGGGTTATCTCAAATTACTTGTTTATGCCGATAAACCACAAACTATTCCTGCATTAGAAGCGAATATAACACGTGTAATTAATGAAATTTCGGCCGAAATGCTCAAAAGAGCGCTTGAAAACTGGACCCATAGAATGGACCATCTACGAGTCAGTCATGGTCAACATTTAAAACAAATTATTTTTAAACATTAAATGTCATGAAACGAACTTACGTATCAAATACAATTTTTGATTATTAAATTGAATTTAATGAGTTTTATTTCAAAAAAACTTTCGGAAGTTCTTATTTGATCACCCTTTAGTTACAGTTACAGGCAGATTACTTGTAACTTGCAGACTATCTGATTTTTACTATATGCAATATGGTTACCTTTACTAGAAGCATCTGAGATTTTAACCAGAGATACTTCTAGTAAAGACAGGGATGCTGCATATTTGAAACTTCAAGTGTGCGCATGCGCAGACTGCGCAATGCTAAGATTCTTATTTAGAATATTTATGCCATAACTTATTTTGCTTTGTACACATAAATAGTCAGTTACTTGAACTTTCGGGAAGTACTGATCAATTGAAAAAAAATGCGCTATAGTTGCGAAAACTTTTTTTCATTTTCTATATCATATTTTTCATGAAAAAAAATACCACTAATTTTACAGTTACAGTTTTACATTTACAGCGTCATATTGTGCGTTTGGGGCTGCTGGGGTTTCATCAGGGTCCAAAAGTTGGCTGTCTTTAGGTTTGGTTTTATTTTAATGCTCTACACTCTACATGACAACGGAACATCACAAACTGATTTCGCTGGTCATGATGATGTTTTCCTAAAGATGTGAAAATTGTTATTAATGCACCAACTTTTCTGTGCAAAGAAATTCAAATGCTCTGCGCCCATGACATGAGTAAATACTTTTGCTGCATAACCTTTTTAACAAAAAGATAAAAAGATGCCAAAACTAGAATTTTTCACACTAAATTTGTTGGGGCATCATAAAGCATTAACTTTGTTGTAGGATATCTAGCTGTAAATTTAGCAGAATTGGGTGTCCATGGAGAGGACCAGTACACGAAAGTGTACAGCACGAATCCGAATGTGCACATCCAAATCGCAGCGGGTTAGAAGTGATGGACGCACTTCAAGTTATCGATCAAAAAAGCGCCATTGAGCGCAAACTGTTTGATTCAATCTTTGAGCTGTTGGGATACGAAAAAATCACTTTTAACGGTCAGTGTGGGGTACACCTTTCAAATCAATTGAGTTAACTGTGTCTTTCAGATCTGCAGTTAAAACCTTACAGAACCGAAGAATTTGTTCATCGGCTCTTTTATGAAACCTCGCGTTTCTCGGCCTTTAATAACCAGTGGGTATTGAAGGCTCGTATCAACAACATGCAAAAGGATCCCACACAAAGTTCGGAACGCGAAATGACGTATCAAGTATACAACATAACTCTTTGTTAACAGTAGTTACAAGTGATGATATTTTTCAGTTAATTTTAAAGACTAAGACTACTGTTCCGCTAAGCATGCATTTCTTAATACTTCGTGGACCATTCGGTGATATGAAGGTACAACCACAAATACATCGGTTCGATTTTTCTGAGCAAGAGAATGAGAGCCCTTACGTTCCCCTTGCACTGTCTGATAGTGCAGAATGCAATAGACTTCTCGCTTCCAAAACTATAAATTTTAGGTAAGCAACTCTGGGAAAGTGTATAGTATGAAATTATGTCATAATTAGAGCTCAAATGATCCTGCCATGCTACTTTCCAATCCAAGTCACTTTTAAGCGTTTTTAATTGCCTCCCAACACATTTTTTTTACCAGTAAGACCATTTCTACCTTAAGTTACAGTTAACGCCTTCTGGATTATGACCTTATTTCATACGAGTAATTTTTTCAATTAACAGAGTTAACTGCTTCATTCTTTTTTGCAGATTAGTGCTCTTTCTAGCATCCAAATAACTGTTGATGACAAGCCATTGGATCATATGAGATCGTTTTATTTTTATAATCATTTTGCCATAATAAGCAGCTCATCGAAGGAAATTGCGTAATAACATTTTTATTCATTTCTTTTACCATTTCTATACATACATATTTATTGTTATCCGTCTGTAACCTAAAGTTCAGTTTGTCTTCATAACTATCTGTTACAAATGTTTTTATTTATTTCAATTATTTCATTCAGAAAGAGCAATTTCATTTTTATTTATATATAACTTTGTTGTAATGTTATTTTTTTACATTTTTACATGTGTAATTTCAATAAACTTATGTAAGGGTGCAATTTTTATAAAGAAAGAGTTATTTAAGAAAAAAGATTGTATGATGAGATATATTTATTAATTTATTTAAAACGCATAGAAAGTGATTATTATGTTATAATAGTTAGAATATCAATTAGTTTATATTTTTTGTCGCACTAGGTTTAATTGTTTTAATGAGAAAATGCTATCAACCAGATTTTTAAAAAATACAGAAATCTATGTTAAAACTTTGTTTTATTTTATACATATCTTTCATCTTGCCTCTAAAAAGACTCCTTCATTTACAGTGCTTTTAGAAAAGTGGCGAATAGCGTTGCTTAATTTTATAATGTAATTGGAATACATATGCGAATGGAATAGACTGCACTCTACATGTCATAATTTTCAATTTGTTATGAATGAGCGAAAAACAGAATCATTGAATTTATAACTATATAAATTCAATGACACAATGATGAAATGAAATGTTCCTCTTAAAAATAAAAATGAGGAAAATGGCACATTACTAGCGTCAGCGAACTAGTAATATTGAAATAGGAAACCAGTGCAAAACTCATTTGCGTTTTTGCGTATTTTTGAACACCAAAGTTCAGTGCTTTATGGCAGCCACTTTCTAAATGCGCCATAAGCTTTAATAATAATCATTTGAAAAATTTGTTTTGAATCGCTTGAATCTTTTAATATAGTATCCCTGGTTTGCCATATTGTATGCTGTCTGTTTAGATTAAAATATATAGGGTGTTCCATTGAAAAAAATTAGGTTAGGTCCAGTAGCTTTTTTACTTGACCTCGTATACTTATTTTGAAAATACAAGTGCCACCATGCTCAGAAAAGCCCCGGGTAATATGCGAACTAATTTTGAAATAATTCAGGCTGGCCAATAGAAAGTCTGCTAAACGACGCGATACATTCCGCGCCATAATTATTAATTATTCCGTTTTGACAGTTGACGCTTCACGTTATTTTAGTTTACACTTTGCTTCTTGTATTTGCTTTATTTTACGTTTTCCGTCTCCAGTTTTATACAAACCCGTCTTTTTCAAGATACATATTGCTTGGCTCTACGATCTGATAAGATGTAATTCCCTTAAAGTGTTATTAAATTTTGCATCAGAATGTACGATCTAAATTTCTAGCGCCCTCGGACACGCCCTGTCAGGGACTTTCTGAGCGTGGTGTGGTGCCACTTGTAGATAGTAGATTATGCTACAATCATTTGTAATAAACATATTTCCAATAACTTGATGAACTAAAAAATAAAGGCTTATCTAAAAATAAAAAAATGCAACATTTTCCCATTAGTGAAAAATAAAAGACTGTAGGCCAGTTTAGTTTTGAACATCGAGTTTATTTTTTAAAAAATACATGGGGACTGCGAGGGCAATTTATTTCTATCAATTATAGTTTGAGTTACACATTCTAACGACCCAATTTGGCCACCCTATACAGAGAAAATAATTTACACACAAACGTGAAATTGTCCAATTTTAATAGTGACATAATACAGAATACAATAAGCACTTTTCTTTATATTTGATCATTTATGAGCACGCTATATTGCGTCATATTAACCAATTTTCAAGAGCGGGCTCTTGCCTTGCCTCCCTCATTATTTAGGCAACTACCTATGGAAGATAGGGATCGTCCATTAATCACGTGATGTATTTTAGCGACTTTTTAAACCTCTCTTCACGTTTAAAAAAAACCCAGGAAATTCCGATTACTTCCGAAGATGTGCCAGAAAAACCGAAATTTACCGATTTGGTTTTTATTTTTTTCTGATGTTATTTGAACAGATACAAAAAAATAGAAACCACTTTCTCATTATCACTTTTTGAGCTCTACGGGACACCGTTTCGGAGAAATTATCATCAATTTAATTTTTTTATATACCCTGTAAAAAATGACATCCAACCATCCAATGATATGTCACACACTGACACACAAACAAACAAAAGATTGAAACTGTACTGTTGGTTTCAACAAGATTGTGCACCCACGCACAACGCTCTATCGTGCCAGAATACCTATCGGCATCTATCGGATAACTTCGTACGTTTTCACTCTGTCCGCGGAAAATGTTTTTACCACAATAGTAGCGATTATTCACTGCATTTTGCAGACAATATTAGAACAATGGCTCTTTATAATTGTGTGTTAATCAGAGAAATTACTAATGTCTCTGGTTAGTCAAGCGCGGCCTTGTGTAGGCGTATCGCATTCTTTCACTGTTCTTTTTCTGCTCTAATTTAAATTAATAATATACCTACTCCACACTTAACAGTTACAGAAAAATCTGCCGTATTTTTTATAAAGAGTAGAGTGGAAGGGACCTTCAGTTTCAGCCTGACAATCTACTTGGTCCTGTTTACAGTTACACAATTATGACATATCCAAAAAAGGCTATCGCAATAGCTACCTAGCTCGTGCTAGGAAGCTAAAAAAGTTTTTGACAGTCTTACATCTTTTATGCCTAATGTGGTACCAAAATTTTAACGAAATAAATATACCGTTTTGCCGAAAAAAAAAATATTTTAGCTTTTTGGCTTTCACACTTTTTAAGAAAAAATTCAAATGTTATTCAATTTTTTAGAAAATTTCCAATTCAGTCATGGCTTAACATGATTTTGCTAATTATGTTGAATTTTTTATGAAATTATGAGAAATACACCTGCAAATGAACAAATTCGAATATCATTAGATGAGAAAAAAATCTTCTTTTGATTGCATGGGGTCATCATAAGACACCCTCGGAAGTCGGAAGTTAACCTACATGTGGAGCAGTGGAGCAACAATCTGCAAAAAATATCAATTTTTTAACATGTTAATTGTTTATGTTCGGTTTTGAAATATTCACCAGGTATGTGCCTGAATTCAAAATTTAAGCGCCGCCGGCGTGATTTAGTTTCTCTGGAAAATATAAATTCGAAAAACGGTCAAATTTTGAGAAGAAATGGGTAAAGTTAAAGGTATACTATGTTACATAAAAAATAAAAAAGTACTCTACTGTACAGTTCTCAATAAAATATGGGGTGTTCCATTAAAAAAAAACGGATGTTTGATACGCCACTGGTGACCAGAAATATTTTTGAAACATTTTTGCTTCTTCATTTTTTTCCGATATCTTTTATGGTATTGGCATTACCGTCCGAGGGGGATGTTACACCCTCTATATAAAGTACATATTATACAAAGGGTAGTTGCTTACTTACAACTTGCAAGGAAAAACATGCATTGAATTTGTTGCATTCGTAACTGTGATTTAACATTCCAGCCGATAAAAGTGCGCAATATTCGCAACGTGGCGGAAATTCTCAGAGACGCTACACAGACATTTGCTTTACCTTTAAATGTAATTTAATCTATGTAAATACGTAATGGAATGTGGGGTAGGTCAAGGAAAGGAAGAGATAATATAATGCAGCTCCTGTGGCGAATACGTACGATTACGGCTTCCGATGATAGGCTTTTAATTGCAAAAGCCCCCTATATCTTCTTTACGGAACTAAATAAGCTATTTAGCAACTTGCCCATTTACAATGTCTATCACTCTTTCTTTCATAGTCTAAGCCCTAAGGTCTATCATGATACTTATTAAGTTGTAGTACTCTTTGGTTGTAGTGTCATGGGTGTCTATCTAGTGTATATCTTTGCCTATAGGTCGGTACTTTCGCACGATTAGTCGTGGAGCGTGGTGGCACCATCCTGTTGAAACCAACAGTTTCCAATTTTTGTTTTTTTTGTGTGTGACGTATATCGTCGGATTCATAATTTAAAAAATGCTACTCAATACAGTACCTACCTATGTACTGTTGGTGTGTATAATCAATGCTCTAAGTCTAAGCATTGACGGAGTGGACTATCCCACGCCAGATCACTTCTTGATTGGCACAGCTTTGACGTCATGGTCTAAGTCCCCTTCTGATTCCTATCTCAGTTTCTCCAAACAATGGTCTTTGGTGCAGCAAATGTCGTGCAACTTTATGGAATAGTAGTCCAAAGACTACCTACTTCAACGGACTCCTGGTAACCAAGGACTGGACGTAGAGAATGGAACAGCACCAATACTATAAACCATCAGCTCCAGACCAATGGTTCATGGTACTGTCGCGCCAAGTTTCAACTGCTGCAATTAATTCCACGTCGAGGACTATCAAGGTAGTTACGTCATTACGTTGAAAATACCTGACTCTGTACTGTTACCACGGAAGCGCCCCCGATTTATCCGCTTCCATCATTACGCGTCTCTTGCTCTGTGTAGTGCAGCTGTATTTTTTTAAAATAAATGTTACTGTATCAAACCAACCTTTTGGTAAGCGCATCTAGTAACCAATGTCCAATCTTACTCGCAACTGTTCCTCATAAACAATTCGTTTGACATATACCTCTAATTTACTATTCTACTTTATACATTGCCATATATTGCGTAATTATTTATTTAACTTTTTAAGGCATAATGATGGAAGGAAGTACGTATACAACACAATTGTCATTTACGTCTACAGCAAAAGTTTTAGTGCACCAAAATGTTGACGAGGAATTCATCTTGACCCTCATGAAGATCAACTCCAACCGAAGAGATGACTCAGATCTATGGAAAAATCGCAGGCCACAACCTCTCAAATCGGGAGTGATTTATCCGATAAAAAAGCGGAAAGCGGCGAACAAGGTTTTATTGCCGATGACGGATAACCACACGTCCAAGGTTTTGGCGACACTAATTCCGGATGAAATTATATATAACGTTTCTGATCTTTCAAAGCGTCGTTATGATGCGTGTCTTCTCTTTGGTGACATTTCAGGTAGGTACAAGATCAATCTGCTAGAAGTACTCATCGTAAATCTTCAACTATTTGTTGCTACCCTTACCATAGTTACGTACGTAAGTACTGCACTTAAAAACATGCGACGCACATTCTATCCTGATTATTAAAAATCTAACTCTCAATTGAGGTTCATTTTGGCTTTAATCTGGGAATGCAGCTCGCTTGTAAATTCTACAGTTTCAGGAAGTTTTAGAAAATGTTTTGCTTTCTTGTCACCAAGCAATCAATCAATTTAAGGCCCGTTCATAAATCACGTCATTATACATTTACCATTTACGTTACAGTACTTATAAATAACAAAAGGTTTTCTATGCGAACAATAAACCTTCTAAATATTACCAGGAACGCATTGCGCGGCAGCGTGTAACGGGAGACCGTGTAAAGGGCGTGAAAGGCTAATCTTACCGCAAAGGGCGCGGTGTCTCGTAGAAGGCGACTAAAAACAGCAATTCAGCCGCAACCTTAGCGCTGAAGTTTTTAGGGCAAAGGGTGTTTTTGGATTAACAAGATTTTAACTTCTATTTTTGCCGATATGATTTCCTTTCCGATTGTGACGATATTAGGCGATTTTCATAATTTCGTATATTCTTGACACTTTACGCTAATTTTTCCAATCTCCAGTGCTATTCAAAGTAGCCGACTAGCCGTAGTTGCCTTCCACTTCTCCTGTATATCTTTATTCGTAAAATTAGGGGATACGAAATTTGGTGAGCGAGTGAGTCACGGATAATAAAATCACATACACTCACCTATTTTTCTCGAGCGGTTCAAGAATACGGGTCTTAGTCCAAGGGGCGAGTCGGAGTTAGCTCTCCACTTTTAGAACCCTGTTGCGAGGGGACTCGGGATACTCGCAATATTTAAGGGGTTTGTGTGCAGTAGACCAGGACTGGTGAAGATGTTGGTACCGTAGGCGATGGCGATGTAGTGGCATTTAAAAAAATTCAGATGGTGCTGCAAGGTAGATGATTAGATAAAACGATAACAAAGTTTAATTTAATCTATGTACCTACTCTTTCGAGAGTTACACATTTTTCAGAAGGTTAATAAAATAACTAAAATTCTTGGTCTGGAAACCACTCCTCAACGGTACATACATATGACAATATTTGGGGAAACTCTTCGAATGTATTTGAGCTTTGAGAATAAATAGCATTATGACGGTGGCAAATCAGCAGAATAGGACGAGTGGTTAGCCATTTCCAAACCAATTTCATCAATTGTTTGCAATGTAATCGACGACCACAGAATAAGACCTTCACAGAACAGAAACATAAATGGCGCTAAGTCACTGATTACAGCGTTTCCCGTGGTTGTACGGAGAACTATTTATCGCAGACTGAAATATTTTTTTGCAAAACCTGTAATCTCGTTACAGCATTTTATACACACAGGTACACATGTCAATGCCGTCGTTGTTTCTATATAAATTGTTTTGTGCCCGTCAATTTAATTAAGAACTCAGTTTATATCTTCCCCCACATGATGGTTTTACCTTGTTCCAAGAATATGAACAGAAGTTGCATTGTTACACTTGTTCACCACAGTTTAATTTTCTTTAGTGAAGTAAACGTCCAATTAATACGTATTCACAATTATCCTGCACTACGTCGTTTTTCTATATAAATTGTTCCCGTCAATTTAATTTCTGAAGAACTCATCCTGCACACTACATTTCCGCGTCGTTTTTCTATATAAATTGTTCCCGTCAATTTAATTAAGAACTCATACCTAATCTTCCCCCACATGATGGTTTTACCTTGTTCCAAGAATATGAACAGAAGTACATGCTTGTTACCACAGTCACCCAGTTTAATTTTCTTTAGTGAATAAACGTCCAATTAAACTGACAAGTCACAAGATATCTCCTCGTATATGTTTGTCATGTGTTTTACATGCCGGGAAGTACTTTTTGTAACATACCTAAGTAAGTAGGTATAACTATATTCTAGGTTTTACTGACCTTTGTGAAATGTACAACAAAACGGGAAAAGGTGGACCTTCCAAGCTAACGCAGGTTCTGAACAATTATATTGGCTCAATGGTGCAAGAAATTTTAACACACAACGGCGACGTCTTGAAGTTTTCTGGCGACGCTTTTATTTCAATGTGGAAGGTTACATCTTCGACGGATATGCGAAGTGCAGTACATGCAGCCGTAGATTCCGCCATAATGATCCAAAAAACTCTTGGAGCGTACGAAACTGATGTAGGAGTTTTTCTAAGAGGTGAATTTCCACACGGCTCTAGGTAGGTGCTACTACTTAACTTTTTTTTCAGTGAAACTTGCGATATCAGCTGGACCCGTAATATTCTCAATAATTGGAACTAAGGACATGTCACACTATGTTTGTGCCGGACAACCGATTGAAGATGTGAAGAAGGGCGAGAAAAAGGCGCACCCCGGTGAAATAATAGTTACCAGCTTAGCGTGGAGTTATCTGAATCCTAACGAATTTCTATATGAAAATTACACTAAACACTACGTAAAGGTCAAAAATATTACAACACTTTGGATACCTGTTCATCAAAGCCATGGTGGTATTAAAAAAATGGGTACCACAAAATCGACATTTTACTCGTATTATTATGTTTAATTGATAACTTCGCAGATTTAAATGAGGATGAAGAATCGCATGAAGATCTCATTAAGACTTACGGAGAGGACAGTGAAGGGGAACTGGTTACTAATTCTAAGACAAAACAAAACGATGAATTTTCAAGTAAGTTTTTTCAACAGAGTGCATACATCGTAAAGCACTTTTTTGTAGTACGCCCGTCGGTAGATTATGCAGCAGACATGAATTCGAAGCAGGATTTAAGAAAATTTATTATCACACCAATCATGCGAGGCATCGATTTAGACGAACCGTTGGAATATTTAACCGAAATGAGGCAAATTGTGATAGTTTTCATTAATGTAACTGTTGATCCGCACATGGATACAGAAACTTACATTGATTTGTCAGACGCGTCTTACAGAAGAGTTTGTAAGTAAGTAAATGATTCCACGCAAAACTATAAAGAAGTAACGCAAGGAAGCGGTTTGTGTCCCCCCCTTCCCCCCGCCTCACAGAGACAACCGGCAAAGCTCAACATTTAATACTTCTTCTCCTAAATCTATTTGTTTACCAAATTTGAGTTTTATATGTCAAACCCGGCTCAAACCATTAATGAATTAGCGTGCAAACGGTCTGAGGGACGCATGGACGGCTGGACGTACAGACTTTTTGATTTTATTGGCAAAGTCGCTCGCAATATTCGCGCTATTTAATAAATAAAAAATTAAATAGAACAACTATAACTCCTTAACTACAACTTCATATGTAACCTCAGCTAAAACTTCAACTGTTACTTTACTGTAATTTCAAATTTAACTTCGACTTTAGTAACTTTATCTACTTCCGGATGGGAAATCAGCGCGGTTTGGGCGGCTGCGTCTCACTTTCTGTACCTTTGCCGGCATACGTTCAACCATTCCTTTTTCATCGCAGTCGGATGAACTGGACATAAGCTTGTTTTCGGCGAGCACGCAGCAGCCCACGTTTACAAAAACCTTCGCGGGCATACGTCCAACCAATCCTCCAAGTGTCATCGCAATCGGATGACCGGTTTATGCAAGCAGAAGAAACATTGTTTTTTATTTGTATAGATATTATTTATAATATATTTCTTACTTATTATTGGTTAGCATATATACGCCATCGAACCGCACGAACCGCCTACAGAATATTTTTTCGAATATCCTCCAAAAGGTTACCTCCCCACCGCGCACGAACGGTTATAGAATTTAACATTATGTTACGGAACAATTAACAGTAAAGATGTTTATTAACAATGAAACCTAAGATGACAATATATATTATGCATTACATACAAATGTACACAGGTAGGCGTTAGCACCGTGATACATCGGTCGAGGAGGACACGGAAAGCGATGGACTAGATCCAAACGACCAGCCTCAGCCACTTGTAGAAGGGTACTGGATGACTTTCCCAACTCCAGTGTCTTCTTGGCGTTTGAGTTTCCGTATTTACCTACTGCTGGCCCTTTCTTACAGAAGTTCTATACCAATGGCGGGCCGTGTGTAGCAATCCTGTGGCAGGGGTTGATGGCGGTTAAGTAAGAGCCCTCCCCCATTTTAAAGGTGTTTGCGACAGCCGAATATACTCGCCAGAGTAGGTGGCGGTAACGTGGCACACTTTACCGCAGTGGTGTTGGCGAGATGATTCTATCCGGCGGAATGGACGGTTCCGGTGGTTGCGCGTGCGGTGCCGGATGCTGGTCGCATTGACGATTGGGCGCCGCGATGTCGTGGATGTGTACCTTCAGTAATTCACCGTTCCTTATAACCCAATAGGCGTTTTACCGACGTGCGCTGTAATGGCTCTTGCCCGTTCTCTTGCTTTCTCGTCTTGTTCCAATCCGACTGACGGGTCATGTTTCTCATAACACTCCCCTGGTCGCGGAACCTTGAATCCTAAGAGATCGTGTACAAAATATTCCCTGAAAGTGAATTCGGAGACCTTTCTTGATTTTCTGGTTCCTTCTCTGCACTGAGTTAGCTTGAGGGTGTAATCTGGGAATTTTCCAGCAGTACCATCTCCAGCGCCTTAGCGCGGCGTCCCAAATGACAGAGAGGAACTGCGGCTTTCCTGACGAATTCGCTCGATACCTAATGGCACTGATGGGCTAGCCCCTGTCTTTTCGGCTGGCGTTGACGTCGGTGCTACCATCCTGCACGTATCATCTGCCTTATGCTCTTCGACAGTGGTGTTGGAGGGATTGCGAGCAAGGTGGTCGAGGAGCTATAGTTAGTTTTTCCAGGAGTCACTTCAAACTCCAACTGGTAGTCCTAGTTCCCAGTGAGTCAATTTCCAACCTCAGCCAGTCCTGTACACTTTCGATGTTTTCCAGAGTCTATACTGTTCGGGTACCTCCTCGCGCAGTTCCGGTGCTCAACAACCAAGGTTTAAAATATTTATATTTACCTTTTTTTAGGTTGGCTGAAAATAAGCAGGGATGCGTGAATAAAATGTCGCTGTTTGATAAGGACTTAATGTTCGTCCTGTTGTTTGGTTTACGAGGTTACAAAAATGAAATGGAAAGCCAAATGGGGCTAAGATGTGGCTTGGAATGTCACCAGTCAATTTCCCAATTAGACATAACATCGGTGTCTGTGGCAGTAACTACCGGTTGGCACTTTATATTGATGGAACGTTGTTGATTTAGAATGTATTTAGGTATGACGTACTGTGGAGTCGTCGGTCACACTTTGAGGAGAGAGTATACCGCCATAAGTCTAACTGTAAACAAGGCCGCTAGACTTATGATGGCTTATCCGGGAATAGTTACCTGTGACCGGGAAACATTCCTACACAGCAAATTGGAAGCAAAAAAATTTGTACTGCAAGAGCCCATACCTTTGAAAGGAATCACCAATGTAGGCCCAATTTACGAATTTCGAGAGCAATGCGAGTAAGTTATTGAGTATGCCGAAATTGGGCTCACGGTTTTTCCCTCGCAGAATCGAGGAGAAAATCACAATCAGTCTATTACCGATACTGGACCGAACCGAGGAGGTAAACATCTTTCGGGACCTGTTATATAAATGCATAGACGCATGTGCAGACCGAGGAAAAACGAAGCCGTTAAACTCTCTGGACGTTTGCAATGTGATACTTGTCCAAGGGAATCCTAGAATTGGGAAAACCCGACTGTTGGAAGAATACGTGCACAATACTCCCTCGTCGATTCCCATAAATCGATTTGCTCTTAGTAAACGAGATGTGATGGTTAGTTATGCTTCAATGAATGAGGTTGAACAAACGTATCGATTGATTCCAGTGCCGAATGTTTGTTTGATCGGTGTATTTTGTTTATTATTTTAGATTGCATATAAAACGATTCAACTGATTTTCTTGACGCCATTGGGGATTACCGAGTTGGATTCGACTGCAGACCGCGAAACAAAATTGCAGTTAATACTTCATAAAGTAAAATCGCCGGAGTATTTTGGCGCACTCAATAAAGTGTTTAATGTAAATTTTGAAAAAAGTGCGGCGTACAATTCGCTAACGACTGAAAAGAAAAAGGAAGTATTGCTAAAGTTACTGAAGCATCTGTGTTACCTCGTGGGTATCCTGCATTGCTGACTAAATTTTCAAAAATTTTGTTTTAGTCGTTCTCTACGATGTGGCTGATAGCCATAGATAATGCCGAACACATTGACGATGAGTCTTGGAGTTTCATTGCGACCTTATGTGAATTGGATGTTATTTTTACGATACTTACAGTTAACACACACGATCAGCTCAGCAAAGTGGCCATGAGTGTCTTCAATAATACGCGATTGCAAGTATTACAACTAAAGCCCGTGGATAAATGGTATCACGCAGCCTTAGCTTGTCAATTTCTTGGGGTCGAAGGGATTCCTCCCGAATTGGAAAAGTATATTGCTTACCTTATATTAATCTTCATAACTACGTTTCACTAGGGTTATACAAGATAAAAGTGAAGGAAATCCGGGATGGATCCAAAATTTTGTGACGTGTCTGTTACAAGCGGGAGGATTGGAGATTCAGAGAGTGAAAAAGAACGATATAAATGAACTTGGATTAGTAACTCCAGGAATAGAGCTGCTAACGAGGTAAGTATGTACACTTAACGTTAAAACGGGAGTTTCTTATTGTAACGGGAGCCCGCCAAAGTATCTTAATTTTTTCGATTGCAACATGACTAAATTTCATAGGTACTGTGTGGGATATCACAAGCGAGTCGCCAAAATTGCGTTGGGGCCGTATCAGCACTCTAGCGGGACAATAGATTAGATATAAGAATGCTCGCGGTTGGTAGAAACGCTCTGGGGAAGGTATCGAAACCTTTGAGATGAACCCCTAGTTTCGTTTGTTGTACAGGGTGACGCAATGGGTATTGACGATTTCTGAGACGCCACTGTCCAAACATGAGTGAAGTGGAGGGGGTAATCAACCGCTTAAAATATTCCTCATGTAATGCAGTTTAGTAGCCTAGCCATGGTTAACTGGCCAGTGAATCAACGCGTTTTTGCGTTAGAGCGTATCACCGTTCCGAGTCTGTTATTGAGGTCGAGCGACAGTTTCGGTGCGAACCAGTTTAACCAGCCCTGACTTTTGTAACCGGCTGGTTACTTTTCAACTCTCCTCACCGTCTCTTCCGTAAACTATTTTATTTGGGGGTGGTTCTTCTTATATAAAATAAGGGTTGTTAGGCGCCGGCTAGCTTCAGTCGATGATTCTTCTGGCCTCAAGGAAAGTGGAAAAGATAAATGATTAAAAATCAATAGCCTTTATTAAAACCTGTTATGTTCTTTTTCTCTTAGAAAATCGCCTTTTAACTGTAAATATCACGTATTAAGAGAAATGGGGGTGAGGCGGTACACTCCTGTAAAAGTAGGGTTAACTCATTCATTCGCAAAAATTCACTGCATAGAAAGGAAAGTCTATCTTTATTACGTTAATTAAAATCAAAGTATTTACTCTAAAACCGCTGAGTACAGAAAGAAACTTATTCGGGTTTCATAAATTATTTATACAATTTAATCGAAAATCAAAACAAAACTGCTGTAAATGCGTGTAGTAGCACTTCCAGGCTCGAGTCGTTAAAGTGAACACCAACTGTTTTTGAATGCAACACTAGTAGGTAATTAAATCGCCTTTACAATGACGCCGCTTTAGATTAATGTTCTATAAATAAACGACAATGCAGTATGTCTACCACGCCACGGGGCTAATAACGACGCACAATAAACGACAACGCAATATTGTTTATAAATACCTTTAGTTTATTTATAAGTGCACCACGACTTGGAGGTTTACTTTGTCCCTTCGATCGATGTGGAAGTCGAATGAATTAGAACCGCCCACTGCAGGCTGCTATTCGATTTTCAGTTGGCCAATCACAGGCAGGCTGGTTTTTCTTAAACTTCTTTTGGTACCCTCTAGGTGGACTACTCACGGACCGCGTATAGAAAAATCGATAAGGAATACTCGTCTTCGGTAATCTCACAATTTGCCAATTTTCTCCGGTGCGCAGTGAAGGAACGTTTTCGCCTTCTTCTACGCTGGCTCGATGGAGATGGTTTCACTCTGCACTCGGTTCTTTTGCTTGGTTTTCTTACAAATGTCGCCTTAACGCTCTATTATGATACTCCGCACCAAATGATTAAAAAACAAAAAGCGGTGGATAGGGTTTATTCATTATTATTATTGTTTCATAGAAATAGAATTTTTCAATTTTATGTGTTGCGATTTTTATGGCAGTCAGTATATTATACGAAATAAACCCATAAAGAGCGGTTAAAAAAGCGGCAGAGCACTTGGAGCACGGAGTCATTGGATTTGACCCATTTTCAATAGGCTTATTACTTGTGGCACCTGGACAAAGTTTGAACCAAATCGGTCCAAGCGTTTGACAGTTATCGTGTTCACGGACAGATGGACGCCATCGGCTCCCCTATAAAGCTTGCAACGCTTCGCTCTGCCGCTTAATAAACCCATGCAGGAGGTTAACCCACGTGGTCCAACATTTGAAATAAAAATAAATATCGGCGAACGAACGTTCAGACTTTTTGGTGTTATTGTAATTGCTCCTGCTACTCGCGCTTTATGATAAAACGCAATCAGTTAAGTAAATGACCTAAATCTATATTTTAGATATTCTTCTGAAGACATACGAGACATAGAAGATGGACAAGATTCCTATGATTCCATTCCTTTCTCAAGTGGAAAGGATGACGCATGGTCTATGTATAAGTACAGTTTTAGGGTAAATGTCACAAATATATCACGTAAGGAATCCAATCTTTTTTTACAGGACAGTAGCGCGATGTTGCCCACTTTGATAAAAAAGGAGAAGATGGAGGAGCGAAACTATATATCTATATGTACTATAGTGCCAAAATTTAACTTGGAACAAGTCGAGACTGAACTTCCAATGAACGGTAAATAATTGGGGCTTAAAAATATGTTTTTCGCGTCTAATTTTCGAAAATCTGTAAATATATACCTACTCAAATTTGCACTCCTGGATAAATCAATTTCCGGAAAATCAACAAAAAACGTATCAAACTCTCACTTGCAGAGGTGCAACCACCTTTTTTCCAACGAAACTTGTGCACAATAATGACGATTTTCATTGTGTAGTTGATAAAGAAGGTCTAACTTGCAGTTGCAGTATTACGAAGTTTCTAATCCAGTTACAGGGTGATCGAAAAAGGTGCACTCCGTTTTAATTTATAATTGTAAAACTGAATCGACTTCAGTGAAACTAAATATCTGGCGGGTCGTTGTCGGAAATGATGGCCCGAGGGGACCCGTATCAGACGAAAACGTCTCGCTTCAGTAGATTTACCATGACATCGGTGGTGGTGAAACGATGAGCGAAAGCTTCCACCCACACACTGTAGAGATCCGTTACTATACCAGGATGAATCTTTTTCCCATTCCCTTCGACGTAAGGGCCCATAATATCGACTGATATGACTTCCCAAGATCTGCTCGGCTCTCGAGGCCGGACGGTGGTCTTTTTGCCTGGCGCTGACGTCGATGCTACCGTCCTGTCTGTATCTTCTGTTGTAAGTATGTTCTTCGGTGGTTCGGTCGCGGTGTCGGAGGGGTTGCGAGAAAGGTGTAGTTTGAGTGCCCGGCAAGTCAATTTACTCCGTTCATCCTTGGTCTTGTCAAGCCATAGAAGTGCTCGGCTGTCTGTTTTCAGGGTAAAGATGCGGTTGTCCAGGTACGGTCGAAAACGCCTAGACTAGACTATGGCAAGGCACATTTGCTTGTTGACGTGGTACCGGCTGTGTTGTTGTCTATCTGCTTGTTATCTATCTCAATGCGGGTGACAAATTTTGCTAGATCGAGCAGCGTCGCTTGACTGGTTCCGCGCAAGATCAACAACACCTAGGTGTTGTTGGCGAGATCCAACGGGTTCTGGGGTGTAGCAGGTGGTGTTCGTTGATATCGAGATTGATCTGTTTTGCTATCCTCGCCTTTCATTAGAGAAAAGCGTGGACGGATTTTGTCTTTTTCTTCTCGGTTAGGAATTCGACGTTGAGGGTCCTGCGTATCACGTCGCTTTCGTCCTTCTCGAGGAAGGCTTGTCTCAGGGCCGTATAGTAGGAGGAGTAGGTTTGGTAGATACTGAATATTCCACCATTTTGCCGCCTCGCTTTTAAGTTGTCCCGTTACCGCAATGAGTTGCTCCGTGGGGTTCTATTTCAGAGTCAGTTCTTCTACCGTCGTAAACAATGCGGCGGATTTCTTTAGTTGTCCACCGTTAAAGGTGGGTACGTCGGGTTCGGCTTGCGTCTTTTGAAGAGCATCTACCAACGGTTGGGGGTTGTTGGTAGCGAGGATGTCCATAACCGTGTCGTTGGTTGTGCTGGGCTAGCGCTGGCGGTTCCTCCGGTTCTCGTCTGCATGGCGTGGGTGTCGTCGAACCTCGTTGCTGTCGATAGTCCACACGTAGAGGGCGTCAATTGTTGAACAATTAACAGTTAAAGTTTTTATTCACAATGAAACCTAAGATTACAATACATATGCATTATATACAAAATATCCACAAGTAGGGGTCGGCACCGTGATACACCGGTCGAGGAGGACCGTGAACATGGGAAGTCTCAGTCGCTTGTAGAAGGGTAACGGATGACTTGCCCAACTGCAGTGCTTTCTTGGTGTTTAGGTACCTCCGTATTTATACCCTCTTGTTACGGAAGTTCGGCCAATGGTGGGTAGGGTCTTGCAATCCCTGTGGTGAAAGCGTTGGTGGCACTGGATAGAGTGTGGTAATACCACGTATATAGCCGGTCAGTAATTTATTTAAGGGATAGATTACGGTTTCGGTTTTTTCCCGATCCGGTTCAGATTCCTGATAGTGGTACACTCCGTCAAACGCAGAAATGATTCTGTACTTGCAAGAAATCACTGAGAAACAGAGCACTACGTCCCAATTCCTATGACGTAGAAATATGCGTAACTCAAAAAAAATTATTTTACATCGCAAAAAGTTATACCTACCTATGCAATAAAATCTTGTTTCAGTGATGGTAGTGAAGCTGTTCGATTCGTTAACTCCGTACCAACAATTACTTTTGAAATGCAGTTCCGTTTTGGGAGAATATTTCTTCAGAGCAATGCTTGTCTACGTTATGGGTTCGACATCACATCGCGAAACAGCTCTAGGTTGCTCCTCCTAGTGGTAAACGAAATAACTATAGAAGAAATCTGTTTTCAGCTATACAAAAATTATACGAACTGCGTGTACTGGGATGCGCTCATGGAGATTTCACGCATGGCGAGAGTAACATAATTTTTTCGAAGCACTTTTCAAACCCAAACACCGAGCTTTACCTTAAATGTTATTGTAAAAATATCAAAGTTCACGGTGAGAATCCATTTTTACATCAAGATAAGGTTGCCTATTTTGGAGTGATCACCAGAGATAGGAAAACATTGGTTCTTTCCAAGTTCGTCATTCCAAGGTGGTAAACTTTTTTTTTGGCAAATCGCGTAGGTACTGAAAGGCAAGGTTGAGCTCATTTCTAGTGGTCAATAAAAATTCGGCCATCCATAATATTAATTGGTTAGTCCTGACTATTCGGGTAATCGCGATTGGCTAACTCCTTGGTTGAGCACAATTAATCTATTAACAGTCGTTATTTGGTGTACTAGGATTTATTATTAGGAAGTTAGGAACTGTGGATTACTTTTTAGTGAATTCCAGTTAGAAAACACAATTGTTGCCTTTGCTCAGTTCAGTTACGGCCAAATTACTTCCAGATGGTTACCGCAAACTAATTACACGCTATTTGGTACTATGGCTATATACCTACTTCTGTAATTTGAATTTTGCAGAATCCTGTTTAGATCTTCCGAAATACGCTTCATGCGGCTATCTACGATTTCGTCAAACTACATTTAAAGAGACGACTTATAATTTATTGACCGAAAATAAAAAAAAGGAATTTCATGACAAAGCGATAAGTTATTTAGGAATGGAAACGAATAGGTGCAAATCGTGTGGATATGGGAACTTTGTCAAACTATTAGGTGTCAAAAGAAACGAGGTAATTTCTAAACTGGTCGTTAGTTGAAATGCGAAAATATTATCGTCATCAATTTCTATTCTAACTATAGTGCGATGTCTTATACTTTCTGTATGTAGGTAAATATGTTTTGTGCTATATTCATTGCGTTTTATATTTAACTTAAAGTGACCTCACTTTATAGTTAGAATAGAAATCGATTATACACCTACTTATATTCAGGGTTTTGCGAAGATTCAGCCATCTAGCACAAAACATCGAACAAAGTGGACCAACGTACTGAGGATAGGTGGAAGTAGTAGTACTACCTCGTTAACCCGAAACGCCTCCCAGTTACTTTCGATTAAAAAACCACATATAAGCGATTGGGATATCGCACATCCATCGAATACCGGGTGTTTTTCTGGTAATTCTGGTCAATTGTCAATTGTGTCATCAATTTTCTTTGAAGATATACTGCAGAGCAACTTTTGCTTGAATACTGGTCTAGTAAAACAGTTGCATCGAAGCTTATCGTTGACCAAAACATTTTCATATGCAGATTTCAGCTCTTGCCAGTGCCCCTTAATACTAAGCACTGTGTACACCCAAATGATACTACACTGCACTGCAGCCAGTAAGTCAGCATTCATTCTTCAAACCGCGCGTAACGGACAATTTGCAGAAAGAACCGGAAAACTAATCGAAGCGATGGTAGAATACTCACAAATTTGCATCATTTCTTGTAATTCACCCCAAGCCATAAAAATATTGGAAGAAGCGTTGCTCATACTTGAAGTATTTACACACACCATTTCCATTTCATATTGCACTTTCTGGACATTTATATTTGTAGGATCAGGAAGAGACACGAAGTAATTATGACCAAGAAGAGCAGTGGAAGGTTACATTTATCAAAGCCAAAATCGATACTCTGTTTGGACATGCGCTGTTAGAGCTTGGCCATCTTGACGACGCTTACATGTACTTTAAGCGAGGACTGAGTAATTACGGTAAAATGATTTCATAACTTATAACATTTATAACTTATGCATATTAATCAATAGGGATGAGGCAGTGAAATAGATAAATGAATTCAAGTCAACTATTGGTTGAACATGAACATTTATTTGTTTGACATTAAACAACAAATTTATACAAAAATGGACCGTATAAACAATTTTGAAATAGTCATTGATAATAAAATGCGGACATACTAAATCCACCGTAGCTTAATAGTTATTTATGGCCTTCGTCTGATTATTTCGTACATCCATTTGACCCACATTACTCGATCAAAGACGACACCATCTGACAGTCTCTCTAAAAAACAAAAAAAACTATATACCAGTCTCAGATTGATAAACACTTGAGCATCAGATTATCGAGATATTCAACAGAATCGCAAAGTAAAATTCTGGATTTAAGAACTTAGCCGGTCTAGTTATTTACAGAAAAGTCCGGAAAATGACACCTTTCTGGCGAGGAAATTGAAGTACGGGTCGAGTATTTCAATTTCTGTCACATAATGCAATTTTACTGACGAGTTTTGTATTGCATCTTTACTATAAAATTTTAATTTTCATATGGCACTTTTGATTTGTCAGTTTTGGCAGGTGTCTGGAAAAGTGATAGGAGCAAGGAAAATTATTACTGCCACTATCATGGAAACGAAAATTTCCTTACATAAAATAGGCATGAAAATGAAGGCTTCTAGACGACTGCGGGAAACAATCTAAATTTTCAACACACTTAAAAAACGGTAGTGTTTTGAATACAAATAAAAATAATTAACGTAACTAAACAGCAATAATACTGGCGATATCCCCTGGATCGCCAAACTCGAAGTAATGACTGATTCATTAGGCTGCTACAATTGATTGAAAAATGTACCAGGTGGCCTCTTAGCCGTTTTCAAAATTTTGTTCAACATAGGAAAGTTTTCGCATATGCCGCTTCATAGTGAACGTGAATGGAAGTATGTCTGAAATAAGAGCGATAACAAGGTGTGAATTTTCGAGATAAAACGCCATAGTGAGATCGGATTTTATTTCATTGATTGGAAAATTTGTATTTCATTTCAGTAATACCATTCCTTTGGTTGGTTTAACATTTTGCTTAACATTCAAAGGTGTGTGTATATTTTGAACAGGGGAATGTGCCAGAAATTTATTATGTGGTAAAGATGAATTTTAGAGCAGGATTATATTTAGCATTGACACGTGATCAGAAGATAGGTAGGTATTGCATTTTTTTAAAATTCTTTTTATAAGCTTGAAAAGATACGTCCTCTAGTATAATAGTTGCAGATCACTGCAAAACTTTTTCTTCGCATGGGCTAGATAGAGATGAAAATATTATAACATAATTTTCGTACACCTCACAGGCGACCAGTTTTGCAGTGGAAGGCTACCTGCGATGATTGACGTGGCTTTTTCATAAGAGCAATAATATATTTCAATCAACTAAAGTCATATGAGGGTTTATTCAAACCACAGAATTAGATTTTTAAGTTCAGGTTTAAAGAGATAAGGGGCCAAACATTGTTTTTACTAAGCTAGCTAGCCGTGAGTAAAAAAAATTAATGTTCACAGTAACATTTTTTGCCAGTGCCGTAGAGGTTCCGTTTCATTTTATGCAAGTGAGTTCTTTGACGGGTCAAATACGGATTCTACACATGATACAAAAAACCATCAGGAACTAACATACAGGTGGCCGACTGGACTGCTCCACCTGAATGCTCTCGTGGTTGAACACGCATTACCTTACAGTTCACTCTCACAAATAACCAATAATTAAACTCCACGTGGAATTAATTCGCCACTAGTCTGCAAAACCCACGTTAGCTTAATAACAACGAATGCGACCTACGACTTCTGGGCGCTTCAAACTTTTTCACGCATTTACAAAGTCGAGATCCTATTTCAGGTCTACTCGACCACATAGAAAATCGAAAAAATGTAAGTAAAATTCAAATCACAAAATCCGTTAACGGACTCCCTCTACAGAATTTAGAAAATCGGAAAGAGCATAATATGCAAATTAGAACTGTCTGCGTAGATCCCAAATAAAGAATTTGGTTTGGTAATGACACCGTTTATTAACTGATTTTTTAGTGCACTTTCACTTTCAAAAAATAAAAACTGCACTATTGTTCTCTTGATGTATGTCTGCATGTCTGTCTGTCTGAGTCACAAAGGCTCCGGAACTACACCACTTACAGACTTGGTATTGGTGTCATTCGGTCAGAAAATAAAAATTATTTTATGTTTGTATTCTCGTCAAGGCATGAAATGCCCATAAGGGCTATTAAAACCGAAAATAACAAATTTGAAAGTGCACTCTTCGCGCACAAGCGGCTTAACGAATTTTGTTTAATTGACACACTATCTGAAACTTCGCGAAAGACTATGAAAGGATTGGAAATTTATCATAAATGTCACTTTCTTTTTCAGGTTTTGAATTCTCCGAAAACAACCTGAAGAGGAAACTGAAAACGTTTACGTGCGAACTAAAACAGAAACTTCATTTTTATGTGTGCAACAATATGTTTACAAGACAACTCTCGCAACAAGAAACTGAGTTTAATGACAATATTTCCCAATGTCTAGCGCTAATGTATCAGTTATTTAAGGTAAACCTCACTTAAATATAGCAATACTCTTAAGAAGTAAATCCCAGTTGCAATGCGAACGCAAAACACCACAAAAATATTCACGAGAATATAAATCATTGTAAAGCTTCTAACAATCCTGAATTTAATTTAGCGGCCAAAAACAGTGAGCTTAGGTTCTGCATTCTGTTCTTTGCATTATGTTCTGAACTTCACCCGCGTCCCATTTGAAATAAGAATGACAGATGTCATTAGAATACACAATCACTTATGCCAGTAACGCACTGAGCAACGGGTTACAGAAGCTATTTACTTGATATCAGGGTGGCACAATATAAAATAAAATGGATTAACTTTGAATACTGCGGTTTTTGGTGTACCTTGCGTTTGCATAGGAGGGGATACACACTTAGAAAATCACAATTCTCAGATCCATTTGTAGGAACTTCAAATGTGGGAGCATGCCGAATTAGCCGCCGCATTGAGTCTAGACAGATCGCTGTTATCCGATTCGGACTTTTTAGGAATGTGTACAGCGTACACAAATATGATTGACGTAGCGCACCATTTTGGACGAGAATGTTTATGCGTTGCATTGGAAGTGAATAGTTTATATATTTGTCATCGCAAATCCTCAAGCATAGAGTCGCAAGAATTAACGGCCGTATGTCATTTGTATGGAGTAATTTTTTTGGCTAGGTACGCGAACTCCTAAGATTTTGACATACCTACTTAATTGATGTGACTTTCAAATTTTCAGGTTGGTGCGTTCAGAAATCGAACGTGCCATCCATATTGGAAAGATAACGTTACAAGTGTGCAATACAATTCACTCGGTCAGATCAAGCTTGAAAGTGCTACCGTTAATGGCACAAGCATTGCTATTGCGCAATCGCATACAAGAAGCAGTGACCAAGATTCAGGACATCGAATATTATGCCCAAGAGGACACCGACAATTCGGGTATTTTGGTTAAGACAGTAGAAACCTCATCAAATGCCACATTTCAGGAAAAGCTTGGTTCTATGCTTTATGCGTTACGCTTCAATTAGAGACTGGGTACACACTAATACCCTTCCGAATATGCGAAAAATTTTTCCAAATAGAAGGTGAAACGCTTGTCCACATTAGAGATTCTGACGCCGGGAAAAGGTTTTACACTGTCATGTGGTTGTGGTAACGTCCTTATATGTATAATAAACACCCCATAGATAACTTTTGTTGTATTTCAAAATAGGTGTGTTAGAAACGAAGAATGGGAAATGGCAACAAAATGGCACCTGAAAATAGCAATGATTGACGACGATCTTATGCCAGATGATTCCTTAAACAATATGTTCACGGCCTTGTATTACATGGAGGGGTTGTTACTCTATCTCGTGGGAAAACTGAACAAAAGTATGCCAGACCAAACAACCATACTTGATAAAATAGAAACGATTATACATTCTATACAGTGTGCCTCTAAAATTATGAAAGTTATAGAACCGCGGTAAGAGTCTGCTAGTTTTAGCTATGGTCACTGAATTAGGTACGCGATCGATTAACAGAATTAAACTTACTTTTTCCAGATTTAAACACTTATTAGCGTATTACCTATTCGCTCAGAACAGAGTTGCATCTGCCTTCAGCGCACTATATAAGGCTAAAGTGTTAGCCGAAAAAAATGGAAACCTTATCGAAGTGGCGTGGATCGAACACTCAGAAAAGGTGTCGAATAATATTTAATAATATTTCTTAAATTTAAAATTGGCAGGCTTGGTCAAACACTTTATCACCAGTATTATTGGATTTTTGGAAAGAACATTGTGAGTTAGATAATTTAATGGATTATCATGAAATAGATTTAAATAATGGCCAATTGGGACTGTTTACATTACCTGTACCTAAATATTATTAAAGTATAGTTTTCCTTTTTGATTTTGTTTTTTCTCCTCGTATTTCAGCGGGAAAAAAGAATTTAAAATAAACTAAACAAATATAGAAAACTAGCTCCTGGGTATAGCTATAGCATGTGCAAAACCAAATTTTAAACCTGATAGGTATATGTTAGTTTTGCTTTTATTTAAAGTGTATATGTATGAAATTTCATTTAATTGCTTCCATAAATAAGAAAGTTGACACTGAACATCCTACACAAAACCAAATTTGGAAAATTGCGCTACATTTTTGCTTTTATTCCAAGTGGCTAATGTATCAAATTTCATTTAAATATCTAATAAATAAAAAAGTTTGCAATTCGGTTAAATGGTCGAGATGCGAAAAGGGTACTGTGAATGTTGATCGATTAGGCTCAATTTTTGGAATTGCGTTTTATATGGCTAATGCAATTCGGTTCATAACTCACGGAGATGTCAAAAGGGACTTCCTTATTTTTTGGGCTACATTGCCTATTCACGAACTCCTATCTACAAATTTGATAAAGAATCAATCTACTAAATTTTATAGTAATCGGTCCATTCGTTATCGAGATATCGTGCGCGGACGGACAGACACCGCAAAATTATAAACTCGCTAGGACATAAAAGAATATCGATTGGTTGCTTGGACAGAATTGTCTCCTTGGAGACACACATTCTCGTAAACGTTTCCCAGCAACAAAAAATCGATACAACAATGTTTTCTTTGAAATACCTATCATAATAATTGTACATGATAAATGGATACTAAATTAAATAAAAGTAACGCCATCAAAACCACCAAAACGAATTGCGACAAAGATAAAGCAAAACCAACAGGTGTTAGTAAACCAATTACACACCTCTACTGGAATGATAAGTTCAGTAACAAAATCGTATGTCATCCTATGACAATTCAAAGGTTAGGTACATTTTTTAACATTGCAGGAAAAAACCTGTTCACTGAGCACATTAACTGTTCTGTATTTGCATAACAACAATATCACTAAAATGGAAAATTTGGATTCTGCCATAAACTTGAAACATTTGTACTTGCAACGGAACCAAATAGAAAAACTTGAAAATCTTAAAAATTTAAAAAGTTTGGAGAAACTGTACCTTGGCTATAATGCAATTAGCGTCGTCGAAGGGTTAGAGGGCTTAAACAATCTAAAGGAACTTCATTTAGAAAGGCAAAGCCTTGATGGAGATCCACTATGTTTCGATTGGAGAAGCATCGCTGCAATTTCGGTAAGTTAAAAAGTTAAAAACCAGTTGACATTCTTCATATTTTAGAATAGCTTGGAAGTACTGATAACATTCGGTAATAACATAACTACCCTAACAAGTTTGCATCCCCTTAAATATTTGCGAATCTTGAATGCCGGCCACAATAATTTATCAGATATTAGAGACGTTTGTGATGCCATTTACAACTGGTATCATCTTCGGGAAGCTACATTTGTAGGAAACCCAATCGATAACTTAAGAAAATATCGGGAAAACATAATTTCTTCATCTCACAAACTAGGTAGAGCCGTTTAACTGCTACTCAGATCATGGTTGGTTTTTGTTTTTAGCCATTTTGGATAATAAAGATATTAGTGAGACGACAAGAAACTTTATTAAATCGTTTGAACGCGAAAAACTAAACAAATCCAGCAAACCCTCTATAAGTATTCCGGGTAATTTCTAGCGTTTTAGCGATCAAATTCTCATAAGTAGTAATTTCAGAGTGGACCAAATCTTATGGATCGCTTGGATTGCAAAAGGCCGTATGCGAATCGCTTTTGAAACATAGCAAACCTTGTTTTGATAATTCCACCATACAAAGTAACGTCAACGACATCTACTTACCTTGGAAAGCGAGTAAGTGGTATCTTGAATGTACGTATCAATCTAGTGTGTAACAATGTTTAGTGCCTTCAAGTAAAAACAAAATTGGAAAGTTCACAATAACTTCGCAAAAATAGGATCTCTATGTGAAGAACCTTTGTCTAAGAAATATATAGTATTTAAAAGTATCGTCACGCTCTTTCCTGGTATTGTCAATGTGTCATTTGTGGTTATCCTCGTACATAGCCACTACTACAGTGGTCATACAGAAATAAAATAGATGTACCTATACTGTCTTTTAATTTCCACGGCTTAAAATTAATTTCGCTTTCGGTCTGTTTCACTTTTTTGCGGAAAACTTGCGTGAGCTTTAACGCTCAGGAAACAAAATTTCACTTTAGCTGACAAAAAAATCTCTTCTTCTTATTAATCTTCTCTCATGGTTTTAATTTATCAAAACACCCAGAAATTGGCGCAAAGTAATTAAATCGACCATTCTTAAGCACCAGTCAATCCGATTCATTTCCGCGTTTCCTCGCATTGAGATCATCCTGAAAGAGAAGTTTTGGTCGCGTAAACCTCATTTAGACTTAGCCCTAGCGCACACGGAGCGACTGTTCTGCAACTACAGTTGCAAACCAGTTGCGCGTGCAACTGTTTTGTAACCTCGACAATGTATTGGAGTGGGAGAGCGCACACGACGCAACTGATGCGCTTTCCCACTCCAATACATTATCGAGGTCACAAAACAGTTGCATGCGCAACGAAACGAAATTTCCCACAAAAAAAACTCACTCACATTGTAAAAGACCACAGGGATGGCGTTGCTGTCTTGGTAGTTTACATTGCATCGTTGGTGCGTGCTACCACTATACTTGGACATAAAATGATAGTGATCACCAAAAAGAACCTTATTTTCCAAAAACGCCTTCTAACATGTGTGGGTGTGGCGTTGTTGAAATCATTCTGCTACGTCAAACTTGTTTCATCGGCAAAAGGGTTAATGATTTTCCTCTCGCCGCAAACATGATCACACTTTACCAAAATACTTTCTACACCTATCAGCGTAAATAGCAAACAGAACTTTTCGCTTATTCGAATGTGAGAAAACTGTATAATTTTTTCCGATTCAGTGGGAAATTTTACTACACATTTACTTATTTGATGACAGCGGACGATGTTTTACCGGTATGTACCTACTTTAAAGAGAAGGTATTTAAGCATATGTGACGTAAAAATTTGGAATCCGTTATTTGATAGTTGCGACGAGTACTGCCGTTACTGGTTCGAGTAATGGCATTTTCATTATAGTGAAATAGAGAGACTAACAAATTGATCGGGTTGGCACCGTTTGTACGATTTCTACTCAACACGAAAGGTAGTATACGTTTCGTTTCTCAACTTCGTATCAGTTAATAGCGTTAGTTAAGTAGTTAAGTTCGATTTTCGAGGGCCTCGGCTTGTTTATATACTTACTATCGTGCCTGTAGAATAAAATTTGAACCCCAGCGTTTTGATGGCCCTCTCGCGGTTAAAAATAGTTTTTAATAAAACAAGGCACATCACGCATACGCATGGGTGCTTACACATCACCATAATGTAAATGCATAAAGCACATCTTATCTCATCATGGAAGTCAACGTTCTAATACTAGATGTGTATATTTACCAAATGAATGTTTTTAGAAAAAATACAGTAACTTCATAAAAACAAATAGGTACCAACACTACACTCAACTACTATGAAAAATATTAATGAAGTTAGGAATGTCCACTTCCATTTTTTACTTTTACTTCCTGACGATAATCTTCATTCATCGTCTTGACCAAAAAGTACAACTCCGCTAACGCAATGGTAAGACTGCAACTAACTCCGAGCAGTAGACGAAAGTCAAAATCTAAGGTTCCCACCAGTAACTCAATCCCATGAAATCCAAACAGGAATCCTGTTAGCACCGACACAATACATTGGAAAACGGCAATAAGCTGCTTGTTAATTTGCTTGATTTGATAACTAATTGTATCTTCTGGGAGAGGTTTTGTAGCGTTATATTTTTAGTTATAGCTCTGTACTCTCGATTATCTTGTTGAATTTTCAATCGTGCACATCTAGCGTCCAATTCCTCATTGCGAGGAACTTCGTCATTTCTTGGCAGAACTACTTCGGAACCTAATAACAAATCGTGCAAGTAGCAATTTTCCGTGTGTAATTTATTTGATAACCATATCAGATCGGAGAGATGTAATGTTGGTTTCAAATTCATGCGTTCTGTATCGTAGGTGTCGATGACAACAGGGTCGAACTTCAGACTTTCTATAAAAGTTCTATCAGTTTCTGTAAGCACGGTGTCCGGAATGGATGGAGGATTGACACTTGTAGATTTTGGCTTAGTTGCGCGTAGCACACAAATGTTTGGTGGGGCATCGTCATACTGACGCAAAGAACAGATTCGTTTAATGGGCTACTTGCAAGGTTTCGTTATTAGCAAAAAAATTGCACAGGTGGCAAGTACTATATACGCCATACATGAGGCGAATATTAATTTTGGAAAAAGATCATTTGTTTTTAAACAAATAGTAAAAACAATTACTGGGAATCCCTTTAAATATGACGTCAGCTGCAAACGCCCTGCCATTGGTGCGACGTCACAACTGTGGTCGCCATATTTGTTTACATTCTTGTGTTCGTAGATCCAGGTTTGTAGAGGTCCGCCCGGCCAGGTTTGTTTTGTGTCTTGTGCGCAAAAAACGATAAAGGGTGCATATGTGTGTGTGGGTCGGGACATGATAGAGAAAGTTCAAAAAAATTAGTACGAATAGTGTATTTTTAGGTGGACTAAAAATTTTCCACATTTAATCTCTTCAGGCAGCCCTTCACGTACGGACTTCGCTTCGAGCTTTGCCTGTACGAACATTGCCCAACATGAATTCATGCAAAGCTTGAACGTGAAGGGACCAGAAGAGCAGCACTTTGTTGCAACTTGGGTCGTGTTGACGTTTTCGAATCTGTCGGAAAACTTGGCGCGGCGCGAATCTGTGCGCGCTAAAGTTGCAATGTGTAGTTTGATTACGAGCATGAATACAAGGTTCGAAATAAGACAATATATTCATTATATTGGATGGAATGAGACAGTAAAACTTTCAATGCCACTTTCAGAAAAATGTATTGTAGGCATTTTAACGAATTTAATTTCAACAATTAAGTACATATTTAATGTCAGCATATGCATCCGGAAGTAAATTTGGTAATCTTCAGAGTGATTTACATTGATTTCTATTAATAGATAAATATGATTGGCAGCACCTCGTTTTTTTATACCTACCACTCCTTTACTCTACTCGATACCTTTTTTCTTCTTATTTTACTTTTTTCATTATGATCTAAAAGTACTACCTATTGCTGCTGCTTGTTTCTTTCTTATTACCCTCATTAATCTGCGATTTTTAACGTAACTATACTTGGCGTACTTCGAACAAGGACTGCACGTGAAGGGTAAAAATTGTACTCGTGCAATGCTCGCGAGCATTACTGTCATGAAAGCTCGAAGCGAAGTGCGTACGTGAAGGGCTGCCTTAAGACGTGCCGTGAGAGAGACATCGATATATTTCACGGTGCACAGGAGAAAACGTAAGCAACAACAAACGCATACGCTACGTCGTCGCATTGAAGTATACATGCAAGTATACCGCCACTGAACTTTTACACAGTTGTGACGTCACAACCATGTGCCGGCAAAATCTAGCGTTTAAAATGATTTCCAAGCGCGCGAAAAACTTATCTTTAGATAATTTAAAAGTTTGTATGTTTAGGATTGTGAAATTTTGCATACTGGTATTTCTTTATGTTCCGCATTGATTTATCACATAAATAAAAAATGTGAAAGTGGCCCATTAGCTTTTCAGACGGGAAGATCATGGGTGATGAATTATTAAAAACTGCCTTCATTTTGATTTGGAGTTGTATTAATCCAATCCCTAGTTTATTTTGCAAATCTGCATAGGTACAGTTGTTGTAACTCTTCTTGCTTTTGTTTGTATGTAGTATCAACCTCTTCGCAGTGATATCGATCAACAAGTTTTTCCCATTCTGTAATTTCCGGCTATTTTCCGTCAGTTCAGTTACGGAATCCTCTTGATGTAGGTACATACGTAGGTAAACAATTGCACTGAACTAAACATGGCGCCCAACTGATGATTTCAAAGCCTCCATCTACACATGGGTTAACAAGTAACATGTAATTACAAAAGGTAAAACAAAAATACAAATAAAACCACAAAATGCCCTCATTGTATTTACTAACAGGCTGTAGTGTGTAATTTACAAAACATTTGGAAACACTGACCTTGTGGCCAAGAAAAAAGTAAAACAAAAACACCCATTAACTACAATATTATATTAAAAGGCCGAACGTGTTTCAACAGACAAGCTTTCATCAGCCAACAACTGAAAGAGAAAATGGAAATCTATAGCTAATTATTTATATACTATGTAATTACAAGTGAAAGAGTTTAAGAGTCCTAATTGCCCTAATGCTCCTCCCTCATTATTATTCATTAGGAAGTGTTTTTTGCGTACTTTCATTACAACTTAATTGACTGTTACTATTTACTTGCTTAACTAGGGAATTATTATCCATTACATGGAAACGCGTATCCCTTATTAAAGGATTATTGTGGTTTATTGGTGTGTTTGGTTTATTTTTGCACCAATTACACTATTGTAAATCGATGTAAAATAAATGCAATGGCGGTATTTACAATTTGAGTATTGTTTATATTAATAGATGATAAACCGAATTTAAAATATTGTAACGTTATTTATAAAATTCGGGTTCGATTTATATCAATATTTATTAAACAAAACTAAAACACTATAAAATCCGTACAATTTATATCGATTATTTATATCACACACTTCGAAATTTATATCAGCTTTTCGCGCTCTATGTTTCGTCCGTACTCGATCTCGTTCGATAGTAGACTGCCGCGATGTTCGGTCCGCAACCATTTATACACGCAGGCAATGTAAGTCCAGTACATTCTCGAATGTTCCTACTATCGCGCGCGTAGAAAATTCCAGAGCGCCAAAGGCGACGTCATGTCTGGAGCATTTCCGTTACAATATATACTTACATTACCTAACTACCGAAGATAAAAGCAAGCAAGAAAAACAGGAACACAACTTTAATTATAAAAGATAAAACGAAACCAAAGTGTGATGTTCTCCAAGAACCGTGTGAGACAGCAAAGGTCGTTACGATCGCATAATCAATAATCCGATGGCGGTGGTTATTCTCCCTATACACTCATTCAACTCGATTGGCTGCATTAGGTGCTATGATACACTTTACATTAATTAGTGTATGATCTTGAGCATCTAGCAGAAGAAAATTACGAGCTAGTCATAATCGTATATAAATAAAACCTTCAGCGCAAGGTTAATTCTAAGCCGATTTCTTTTGAAGCGGTTGCCTTAAATAGAGAAGTGCTAGTGTAAGTATTTACGCACTTCCAAGAACGGTACAATGACATCTAGTAGCCCATCTATTTGGCCTCCTAAGAGAATTATAGGTACATAACAGACACAATATGTTAGAAAATCCAAAACAAAACGAAAAGCATAACAAATAGATATAGGGAATGTAATAATTGCTCGATGTAGAATTTTTTTAACATTAGAAAGTGTAAAAAATAAACCAGTTTAAAAACATCCCGTAGAAGGGCGATCAAAATTTTAATCAACCATCAAAAGTCGGTATCATTTATTTTGGAAGACTTTGTAGTGTACTTAATCCCCAGATTCTACGCTAACTTCATACAGCAAGAACACAGAAATAAAGTCAACCCTGCAACGTTTAAAAAAATGGCCACCCGAATGATTATTCCCTCCAAAACTAAACAAGATCCCGCTTAAATTTGAAAAGTGGCACGTGATCAAACACCTAAGGCAGGGCCCCCTTACGTTAGTTGTAGACAACGCTTTGACCTGAAGCACAGTAGGGAAGGAACGTAAAATAAAACACTCAAATTGTGAAAAGTTTAATAATTATCGCAATTATTAAGATTGTGAAAGCTCGGAAATTTAAGTCGAAATCAATTACATTGCGTATCCCGCTCCTGCAAGATAGGTAACCCGCCACTGGTTTCGAGCCTACAGTTGAAAGTCGCAGACAATCACGGAATTAGGTGTCGTAGCTTAATTTTGACTACAGTTTTTACCACCCCCGTGACTACTTCATTCACGGAGAAAATGGTTAGTTGCAAACAACAAGTCAGTACATACATCAAACGAATCGGTAATTTCTACATATTAAAATAAAATATTCGCCAAGAAGACTTTTTTCGATCTTGTTAGCTGATTTGTGTACTAATATTTCGGACTAAATTAGTCCTTCATCAGAGTAGATAAACTATAAGAACAATAACAAATTAATTTAATTTACTTACCTAGGTAACTGGAAGACGCAATAAATTCCGTAACTATACCAAACAGAAAAAATCAACAAATTTAAAATAAAATAATCGAAACTTATATGAAATGTTACTTCAAGGACAAGACCAAGTAATCAACATCAATAAACATAAATTAAGCATTATACCTACACAAAAAACATAGCATTATGTAAGATATGTAGGTGGTGGAGACACCGATAGAACATTATCATGGAAGATTTATATTGTACAAGCATGTATTATTATTTGGATATTAATTAGACATAACAATTATAAACAAAAGGATAACGGTATTAAACATTTCATTCTGCATTGCGGTTAAAACAAGTAAATTTCAAAAACAAAGATTGAAACATACAAAAAGTATAAAATGCGGCATATAAAACACAAACAGGATATAAAGAAATGCAAAAATTATTACCTGCATTAAATAACACAAAATAACAACAAACATTTATGGAGCGACGCGTTCACGAACGCCATTCAAGGCAAGATGCCAAACGTAACCCCCGTTCGTGCTTTTTAGATGGCGCAGGCTGCTTTTTCCCACTTTATACTTTAAAAAGTATACCTATTCATTGAGTATACCTTATTTCAGGTATTCTTTATTCATTGCTTATTTCCCACCTAAAAATTGCATAGTTGCCAACTCGCAAAAATGTATATATCGTCGTAAGTTGCATATACAGGGTGGACCCTCTCACCTTTGATCCAAGGTATAAGCAAGCGAGTACGTATAGGGAAATGCGGTCCTTTTTTCCATGAAAATGAATGGTTAGATCAAACATTCAGGACATCATACTGATAATTTACTTATACGTGAACACAACTTTCTCCCCACACTTCATTATGAAAATCCCCTAGTCTTCGGCATCTGCGCAGAATGGGCAAAATCGAAAACATAACACGATTGTTGTATACAGAACGTATAGGATTTTTGGTTCACATGTAAAGGTGTGTTACCTAAGCATAGCGGGTAGGTTACCACCACTTTTCATTTATTCCATTGCCAATGTACCGAATTTTCTAGAACGTTATCAAGGTGCCATCAAGTAGACTTTTCTTTTACATTAAATATGGTAAGTATTTATGTTATCAGAGTACTTTGGAAACAGTGATGACATTCTTGTATGCGTTTAATGCCACTCGCAATTCTATTAAAATGATTCAAAAAATCATAGTCATTTGTCTAAGTTAACGGCAAGCAGAAAAAAGCACAGAGATGGTGTAACAGGTAACAGTAGCGGTTCAATCTCAAGGGAGGTCGAACCTCAGGTGCGGAGTATGTAGTACAACCACCACAACACTGGCAGCTGCTATATAGGCAAGTGTAAGAAGGTACGGAAGCATCAACGCCCATGGCAACCTGTGGCCTGTGCTTGCTCCAGCGTTAGTAACTCACCCGAGACAATTTAGAACTGAGAAGAGTTTGCAAATATGGAGGTGTCGCTGGGGTCTGATTCTAGTAAAGCCGGATAAATGATAGACAGGTATTGTCTACATATAGATAAGTATATGAAAGAGAATTTTTTTATACACATAAACTCTGTAACAAATACAGCAAACGAGCTCCTGGGTCACTGAACATTTAATCAGTTCTTCCATGGATGATGATGATAAACAAAACACTGAAAACAGAATTGGAAGATTTGAACCCGTTTGGGAGTTAGCTTGTCCACAGGCGGACGGACAGAAGTCCAAAATCATGTACTTACTAGGAGCTTGTTAATAAACCTGCAACACTCTATGGCGGCCGCTGTTACTTTAAGCAACCGCGTCACTGCAAGGCAGGAGTGTCTTCAGTAACGCATTCTGGAATATCTTGGGCGAAAAATGAAGTTATTTGTGCAGTCACTCAGTGAAAAAGGCAGTAAAGAAAAATATAGTAACCAAATGCAGACATAAGACATTATTTCAATAAGCTTGTTTACAAAGTTCGATTGTTTAACATCTTCCAAAAAAGCTGCAAAAAATTATCTAGACAGAAACTGAAATCATTTCAACATATTTATTTAATTAAATAAATCTTTATAAAACAAAATCGTAGAAATACAGTTTACATATAGCTGCAAAATGAAAACAGCTCTAACGGTCTATATAAATTTTTGTTGTAATATAGAGGTTTTTAAATAATAACAATACAAATATTACGACACAATCAATATTACATACAAATGAAATAGTTTATTCATAAATCTTAGTACGCAATCTAAACTATTCGAGATAAAAAAGTGCAAGGCATATTCTTCCTTTATAAGGAAAGTGTACACTTTCTTTTTAATGATAATATCATAAATCTTGTTTCCCCTTAAAATCTAATGTCATGCTTATTTTGAGCACTTTCCTTTTACAGTTCACAATAGTTCGTGGTCATAGAGTCATCTTAGTGGTGGCTTACAAAACGCACTATACGTGCAAATAGAAATAAAATAATTCTTGTTCGATAAAAATAAACTAGAACGCAAAACGCCACTAGAAGTGCGGTGTAAATGTAAAAGGAAAATGCTTATCAATTGTTTTGTATTGTTTGTTAACAACATATGCAATATTTGGTATTTTATATTAACAGAAGCAAATTTCATAAATATGTATTACACATAACAAACAGCAGGTAAGGATAATATATTAATACATAAAATATGGAATGTATATTCTGCTCTATTTTGGAATTGAATAGAAGCTATATTATAAAGTGTACATTTAATAGATAACTAACATTTCAAAATTAAAGCTTAATACTTTTAGCTGCATATCCTATTAACATAGCATCTGCGAAGCAGAACTTTCTAAATAGTGTTAATAGTAATAATACTTTCATATGATTCAGAACAAAAATAAAATACAAAAAAAATCTTATTCCCTAGTTAACCTGAAACTGTCACAAAAACGTTGCACTTAATTTTTCAATCACAATGAAATGCACTTGAGAACAATTTACATCATTAATTATTACAATAACTACTACAATACGAATAAAAGTTTACATGTAAATATCACTTTGTTTTTGTACTGGCAGCATTATTTTGGATACTCTTTTTAAAGAACAATGTGACTACTACTATGACACTTACAAATTAATTTTAAATTAGCAAACAAAAATTGCATTCCATTATGTCGAAAAAATAATGCTATTACTAACCAATAAAGAAACTAAATAAATTTATTTGAAAAACAGTCTCATATTCACAACAAGCTTAAAAACATAATACTAAAAGCGAAGCAACCAATTGATTAGCATTTTTTTGTAACTGCCATAATTTTCTTAATCGTTTTAAGTAGAGGTATGTTGCCATTTATTTTAATAATCTGCAAGAAAATGTTATTTTAGACTATTTTGTTTCCATGTCGTGAAATTCTTAAAAATAACTAAGGTAGGATATTACTTAGTTATGTTTCTTATAACAGGACAGTATAGACATTTTGGATGGCTAGGTTCACAGTAACCAACTCATGGTAAAAATATTAGTAAAGGCGAATTTTACATGATGATTTTCATAAACATTGTAAGAGGATGACTGACTATTTTTGATTTCCTTACTATTATTTTTTTTTGCGACTTGTTGTTAAGTGAACGATTGGGGAACAGGCGCGCAATAAAAAATTAAAATCCATATTGAGCCTGTCGTTGTGCACTTCCTTATTTTAGAGACTTGTTCATTTGCAATTTTTTTTCAGTTTGGAATCATTTTGCTCCACAATTTATGTTTGAATTTCTAAATACCTACCAATAATCTGAGGCAACTAACTATAATAGGACAATGAGTTTATATTTGATGCTTCAATATGTCACCATATCAGAACTATGCAGACTGCCGAAAGTTATAATTAAATCAGAATTCAATATTTGAATCAATGAATAACTTTAATTATCGTTTGTGAAACCATATTTTAACTGTAGAGTAAAAAAGACGGTTACATTACCAAAATTGTGTTATTCTATTGTATTCAAATCTGTAATTAATGAAACAAAACAAAATCACATTTTTCAGTTAACAAAAATATCACTATCATATGGAACGCCCGATGTATTATTATTATTACATCATAGCCAAGATACTTCAAATTATAATCCACAATGAAAATTTAATATCAATGTGTGTGGTGTGGCATGATCGGCGGAGCAACTATTGGACTTGTTTTTTATGAGAGTTCACTTAATGGGGAAAGATACCTCAATTTTATAACAGACGTTTTAGTTAGAGAACTGTTTGGATGATATTAGTTTGCAAAGGCGCAGAGTTATGTACTTCCAACAAGGCGGGGCGCCGCCGCACAACTTCCACAGAAAAACTCAAAATAATTATTTATTTTGAATACATAAAATTTAGTGTAGATTTTTGAAAAAATGAACAAAAAATAGCAAAATATGTATCCACTGCCGATAAGCTAAAAATATTTTAGATTAAACTGAGTAATGTAACCCTCACATACAAATTTTCCGCAATCTATCATCATTAGTTTCCCACATAAATCGATTCATCTTATCGGTGGACACCCTGTGTGAGCCAAAATGTGAGCCACATAGTGTTAAGTTAACCTGCAATTTTTAATGTAACAAAGCAAATATGTACAATTGGTCTAGTATAGGGGTCGGCAACCTGCGGCTCTTTTGATATAAAGTTGCGGCTCTCCGTATTTATCTAAAGAAGATCAAAAGTACACTTGCAGCAAATAATTATCTAATTTGTGACACTTGTTTACTTTTTGGTATTCTTTTGTTTTTTTTTATTATAGCAGCCTACTCCGATGCATAAACACATAATTAATTAATGAGTAGGTACTTTTGCGAAAAATATTGAATAACATAAAAACTGCGGGGTTTAAGCACAGGGCACCCTTATAAACATTGAAGAGAACACAAAAGACAATCGAATAGCGAAATAAAATAGTGGTAGTTCCATTTGAAAAAGAATAGTTATATAGCACTTTGAACAAATGGCATTGAAACAAGTAAAATCATGCAGGATGTTCTATTTAAAAAGATCAGTTATTTATTGACATCGTAAAAATGGGACACCCTGTACATTCAAAAATAATTTCTGTAGATCCGCAACCACCAATATTTTTAGGGCATTTCCATAAAAATAAAAAAAAATGCGCTATTGTGGCCACTTTGTCCGTCCGCCCGCTCGTTTTGAGACGCTACTAGTTCTTTATCTTAAGAGCTCTTGTTATACTTTTTTCGCTATTTGGTTCGTTATGGTGTCGAGGCTTGCACCAAGGAAGGAATTTTTTCTGCGTTTATTGCTAAAAAAGTTATTGTAAAAAAAACAACAAACCGTTTTTTACAAGTTCTATAATTTTACACTTTTGCCGTTTATTAACGATCCTAGAGATCGTTTATAATTTTGTATTGCTGTCTGTCGTCTGTCTGTTGGTCTGTCCGTCTGTTCCTTTGTCTGTCTGTCCCTCTATCTGTCCGATCTGAACGATAACTTCGTTTAGAAATGTTTGATCCCTTTTACATCTCCGTTAGTTATTAACTGAAATTCAATATGCGCATAGCTTTAGCCATATAATACGCAATGCCCAAATTTGAGTCGAATCGATTCAAAATTCACAGTGCCCTTTTCGCATCTCGACCATTTATAAACCGAATTGTAAACTTTTTTATTTATAAAAGTATTTGAATGAAATTTGATACATAGGCACTTGGAATAAATGAAAATCTAACGCCAATTTCAAAATTTGGTTTTGCGCATGCGCAGTGCCAACTTTTTTATTTATGTAAAAATTTAAACGAAATTTGATACATAGGTACTTGGAATAAAGGAAAATCAAACGCCAATTTCAAAATTTGGTTTTGCGCATGCGCAGTGCCAACTTTTTTATCTATGGAAGCATTTAAGTGAAATTTGATATTTAGGCGCTTGGAACAAAGGAAAATCTAACATTAGTTTCAAAATTTAGGTTTGCGCATGCGCAGTTCCAACTTTCTTATTTAGAAAAGCATTGAAATGAAATTCTTCTCATAAACTGACATTGAAGTAGCACGTCAAAAATGGATTGCCCATGTGCAAGCTGTCTTTCATATTTGTGACCGGATTTTTACGATTTTAACAGAAGTTGCATCTTACAAATGGGAAATGAATGTAAGTGGAAATGCGCTTTATGTAAATTACTTTTTAACTTGTTTACCAAGTATCAGCTATGTAGGAAAAACTGAAGCACTGTTGCAGGACCCTGTATAATATTGAATCAAAAATTTTTAGTGGCTCTTAAAAAACTGGAAAATTTTGTAAATTGTAATTTTTGGCTCTTCCGTTTCAATAGGTTGCCGACCCCTGGTCTAGTAAGTATGGTGGAATGCACTATATAAAAATATTTATTAAATTGGTTTATACTTAAATTTTAATTGGAACATTGAAAGAAGTACTAAATGTTTATCACTTTTACATTTGTGTTTTTGAAAAAAAAAATTACCATTGTAACTCAAAACCCCTGTAATCTAATCTACATAGCTAACACCAGACCACCTACACAAAAAGCGGCGCAATCGCGTACTTTGGCAAGTATGCTCACAACATAATCTCGAAACAGCTAACTAGTAGCGACAAATAGGTTTCAGAACCAGCAAAAGACGCATTTTGTAATAGATACATTGTACCTCTTCCCCAATCCCTCACTCAACTTTTATGTTAAGCTGTATTAGTTGCGATCAAAACTGTGTTGCTGTCGAGTCACCTTTAGAATTTTTGTTTACATGGGAAATCGTACTTAACTTGGCAATTGACAGCAACTCATTTTTGATCGCCCGTTACCTTTCTCAATGCTGTGTAGTTTGTTGTTGAATTTCAATTTTTTCTACGGTCATATCAGGATTCATTGCGGTTGCTTCTTGAATAGCTTCAGCAAGTGCTCGGTCATGATCTATCGGGTCGCCATCTGATTGAATGGTTATCTTCTGTTCCATGCGTGTTTCGACAACACCGTCTCGTTCAGTTTTGTACTAAGAGTGTGAGCGTAATAATTTACATTGTACAATTCCTGGTAAGACTTACCGTTATCGTTTCAACAGTACGGGTTTTTGAACTGATAGTTTGAGAACTAACAATTTCGCTGGTCGCAGCGTAAGTTCCATCGTCGGATTCTACGTGAACTTTACGCGCCTCCGTAGCAACGACGGGCACTTGTGTTGCACTAATTTGGGTAACGGTGGGATCTCCACTGTAGACGACACTTTTGGTGTGCACTATACCACCAGGTGCGTCCTACAGCAAAATTTGTTTTAAGTTGGCGTTCAGCTTGTATAACGGTCAGAAATGGTGAGCTGTGCTATAAAGCTTACCTTGCTGTGTAAATCATCGGGAGGGTCGATAGGAGTGCCAGAATCACCTGAGCTCGTTGAGCCTACACTATCTCTTCGAACCAGCTATAAGCCATGCACATAAAGGTATCAGTAACAGGGTTACATTGCATAATGACTGAATTTAGAAATAATGACGTGCAAAATTAGTGTGCATCAGTTAACACAAACACACTGCATGAGAGTGAACAACGCAAATTAAAAAAAAACAAAAGAAAATAACCTGATCTCCACTAACAACAGTACTTGTCGTCTTAACTTCTTGGGTAACAGTTCTTTGTTCCTGGCGGGTAGCGCTTGACGTCATGGAATGAGCCACCGTCTTTTCCTCTAATTGTTGTGTACGCGCATTCGTACCCAAGTCTTCATGGGTGGTGGCAGTGCGCGTGGTAACAGCTCGTGCAGTTACAAAAGGTGACTTACCATCAACAGGTGCGTCGGCCTTACATTTGAAAAAATAAAAATAAATAAAAAAAATTACAAAAAATCAAAAATACTAAAAATGATATCTTGAAGTTGAAGGAAAATAGAACTCTCAACACAAAACAATTTAAAACAAGCAAAGCAAAAAATCGACTTAATGTTACACATGTCATTGTTGTTCATTGCTTAAACATTTACTTCCTATTTTATTGATTTTCTTTAATAGGGTTATTTTGAATAATTAATCAGGAAAATGCCTCAAACAGTAACGTCAGTATGTATGTACGTTATTCACATTTTATAAACTGAAAACAATCTCATTGGACGTAAATATCAGCACATTGTAACTTCTGGTACCATTAAAATATGCTATAGTTGACCAAACCATCCCAGCATATACGAACAAGCAAGGCATCACTAGGAATCGTTGTGCAAAAGTGACTCATACATCAGTGTGGGTAGTGACGATTATAAGTAGCTCGTCAGGGCTAAAACTCAGACTGGTAGCGACGAAGGTCGTTGTTGCGGACTGCTTGGCAATGGTGCCCACCGAAAACTGGGCGACTTCTGAGTGGTTGCGCTGGAAGTCAGGGGGGAACAACAAGCCGAGCCCTCAAAAAAGGTCCGGTAACGAGGTACGCTCCTTGAAAGAGGGGAAGAAGAAACCTAGTACATCAGTGATGGACGAGGTAACTACAGAGGAATTTGCAGCACAGACAAGAGGGCGGCCTATTTAATAAGCCGTTAATTTGGTGTAAGACAAACATATGCAGTGGCGTATTAAGGGTCATCAACGCCCTAAGCCCTAACGGATTTTGCGCCCCATATCAGACACAACATTTTTTAGTAGTCAATAATAAACCAACTTTTACGAAATTATCTAGACAAAATAAAATAAATACATTGACAAAGCATACTCTTAACGTAGATTTAATTACGTGATTTATTTATTTACAATTAATTAACCATAAATGTATGACAGTCTTGAAATGAATTGTGTTATAACAGTTAAAATATTATTTATCACTTAAATATACATAATTTATAACAGCGCGAACTATTTAATACTTCGGCATTGAAATTGGAACTGACCGAAACACAATTCGATTTGCTTATATAGCATACGCCCCTGTTTCTCGAACGTTTTTGAACACTTCCAAACGAGTATTAATTCTAGAATGCTCTCGAACAAAACACGGAGAGAATGTCACATTATTACCACCGTAAATACAAACGGTTAGATCCGCATTCGTTTCTTATCGCTGATATACTAATATTTTATGGCGCCTCGATGTCTATCGAGATATCTAAAATATTCGCTATCTAAACTTTTCCCCTTTTAAAACAAATGGAGAGAAATTCTTGTACTCACACTTCAGACAGTATAATATACTGTATGTCCCAGGTTGAACGCACCATAGGGAAACAGAGTTAGTGTATTTTTTCGCAAAGGATCCACGAAGCCTTTGATATGTATTTAAAGTTCAACGTACGTTATTGCGCTTGTCTGATGCTAAGAAGAGATTGGAGTAGTACGTTGAATGCTAATTTCAAAGGTCCCATGGATCCTTCGCGAAAAAGTACATTGCCGTTTTCCTATGTTGTGCGTTTTACCTTTCCGGGACGGAGCGTAAGAAAAATCTGAAAATTTCGGAATGAAAAAAGGGAGTGATAACGGGTCATAAAAATTGCATTTTAGATAGTTTAAAACTTTCATACACTAGGGACTTTTGTGGGAAGGTAATAACCCCAACATTTTTAAATTGCAAACCTAGTCCAGTTTCACCAGAAACGCATTCCCGATACATCACTCGATTTTTTTCTTTTGGGAGTTTGCAACGAGTATGAAATAAATCCAGAAACAATAAATGATTCGAAGAAACCCCCAATATCACTAGGGATCTGTGTTCAAAATTCCAATTGTGTTTTGCGAATGTGTTTCTTTTTTAATTACCTTCAAAATAAGGTGAAACTCAACCTCCTACAAAAACTGTAGTTATATTATTATGTACACTGATGGTTCAGAGGTTTCAATTATCGGAGTGGTACTGGTGAATATCCGGCGCGCTTGGATGCGCAGATGCTGTCTACATCTATGAGCGTGCTGGACTGCTACGTATCTTGTCTCGCGCCCCTGCTTTACGATACGTTGATCTTTTTGAGCATTCCGGCGCCGTAAGCCCGGGCTTTGTCGGCTTATAGGTTAATACGCCACTGAACATATCCCTACGCATGCCTCATACAAGAACCTATGGGTTTACAGGAGACGAGTATAGAAGTCTAGGCCAGGTGGAGGAGTATCTTTATCATAAGAGAGGCAGTCAACTGAACCCTAGGACTCGTATTTATGTCGATAGACGAATCGAGTCTTAACTAATGACCGATTTTTGTTTCAGGAATCTCGTAGCTCTAAGATGTCGGCTGAAAGATGGCAGAAGATGAAGCAGGCACTTGGTGGTTTGCGTATCTGCGGTAGCACTGGGAGCGGTACTAAATATTGAGCGTGTATTTAGCAACACCACGTTCGATTTAATGAATGAGACTGATGAAGGCTTTGACTAGATGGGTCAATCTAAGATTGATTTGCGCCATGCTCAGAAGCAGAGTCATTATATGCTACTACATGTCTATGGGCATGCAGAAGGACTTTTGGCTGTACATGGGGCTTGAACCCTTACACTGTAATGATAAGCCCAATTACACAGTATGGTGCACTTGTATGCATGTTAGCCTGTCATGCGCAGGGCAACCTACAGGAAGCAGCTATTTAAGGTACAGAGACTCGCCTGTCTGGGAGACACTAGAGCCATGAAAACTATGTCAACTTAGGCTTCAAGGCTCTATCCTTTATTAAGAGGTACAGGCTCTGATCCCAGTTGCAAAAGAAAGGAGGCGGGCACAATGGGCCATTGGTGTGCCTAAGTTCTGCCTGGTCAGGGTCTCCTTATGAATACAAGAAGACAATTGCAATAAAAAAAAACAAGTTTCCAAAGTTTAACGCAAATCAAGGCCAAAAGATGCGTGGAAATATCATGTCAGTCATGTGGTTGGCTGGAAACTGCACCGTTACTAAAAATCCCCTGAACCTCATAGTATAAACGGCTTATCGACGCATGCGGGGCTCTGCGGAAATGGACCTTTAATTTCCTCACCTGCTCATGAAACTAATATGGACCAGATAATATAATACCAATAACCAAGCAGGTAGAAACCTATCGCCCCAATGAGACGTTGGTCAAACTGATACAGGCTCTGGAACGAGCTCCTACGCCAAGTTATCTAGGAAGTTAAAAATCCTTAAAAATCAACAAGATCCGGAGAAGATAGTTATCCGCTTCACGAAGTACCAACGCAATAGAGGGGCCCTACATATACTCCTTCTGCAACTTTTCGAGGGTTACCTGTTAAAGCCATCGGGAAACTAAAGGTCAATGAAGGAGCAAATGCTGCAGAAGGCGAACAAATAAAGGATCCCTCTGGAACCACAACTGATATAATTAAGATATCTATGACTGAGGTAGGTCAAATTAATCTGCATCACTGGAAGCCTGCCAGCAACGAGTATGAGGTCATGCTACAGCGCCAACGGCAGTCCTGAGGACCCTTCTAAATAGGTAATAGAAGGAGTCCACAGATCAATGATAATCTCTGAGTAGAGACATTAAGAGGGCACTGAGCCATACTTGATGAACTGTTCATGGAAATGATGTGTCCCAATTCTCTTGGAAAGGAACCTTGATAGTAACCAAAAGCCAGGTGGCAATAAAAGTGGTGGGGGGCGCAAGAGGTAAACTCGGGGTTGACGCTGAAGTGCATTAGAAACTTCAACCAGCTGGCAGAAAAAAATGTCAAGCTGATGTTGGTACAGTCTTCTGCTATTAACAGTTACAAAATGGCCGACTGACTAGCCAAGGAAGGTCGGTAGTTGTCTTTTATAGGACCCCAACCGGAATGTGGAATCGCACATGGCGGGAAAGGAAATGACAACCATTTGACACAAGAAATCCTGGAAGAATTGGTCAGAGACAAGCTGAAGCTTTACTCGACGTACGGCTAAAAGCCAGCAAAAAAATTCAGTAGGAATAACTTATTTTATGTTGCCTTTATTTTTGAGTGGGCGGGGGGTTTCAGCCAAGGCTGCTCTACCAACCCAACCCACTATACATTTACAAATATCCATACCCGAACCCGGATTCGAACCAGGAACCCTTAGCACCACAGTCCAGCTTCAACTGAACTGCGTCACACGGGTCGGACTTATGCCTATTGATATCTGCACAAAATGGGCCTTGAAGAAACACCTCTGCATATACTACGCCATATAATAGTTTAAGAGCTCCTCCCCAGGACTTTTTCAAAGACACAGACATCGTAAGGGAGTAAGAATAAAGTTTAAGGGTACACTAGGCCCCAAAGCCGCGGTACAGGGATGTTGACCAGAGAACGCACTAGCTTAGTAAGAGATAGGACTAAATGTGTCTGCGTCTGCTTATACCAAATAAAAATATAATTATGCAAGATTACATAATTTTATACTAAATATTTACTCATGAGGCGTTTTAGTGAATAATGCTGTCAAAAATAAGAATAACAATACAAACATATGACGAATCATCTAAACAAGGTTTTAATTTAAGTTAAGTTGTCTATGAACATCAAATTTACATCCTTAGCACAATTGAAATTAATCTAAAAATGAGCGCAATATCAATTTTTTAGTTTTTTATTGGCGCCCCAACGTGGGCCACCAAGTATCTGGGCGCCAACATGGGGCAAATTAATCTAAAGTGAATTAAGGATAGGCAAAAAAAATTTGATGAGGAAAATGAACTTTGCTCAAATTCAAAATGCATGAATACAATCTACTTAAGGAATCTACAACTAACCTTATTCACGTGCGTCGAAACAGTCACCTCTCCGGTTCTGCCATCCTCGACCCATTCCTCGATATTCTGAGTAACTCCACCGCGATCTTTTGTTACGACCTGCTTAGTTGTAGTTTTCACAATAACTGGCGAACTGACGCTATCCTTGGCCGGCAACGTCTTTAAACTTGTGAGATCTTTAAGATTTTCGACGGCGTACTCGTTCAAATCGTCATCGCTACTCTCGCCGTCGGACGAGCTACCGTCCTTTTTGTACTCCTTGTGAATAATTTTCATTTTCGTATTTTGTAAATCGGTAAAATGGCTCGGATCAATTTGGGCGTAATTTAGGATCATCTCGCCTGTAACCGGATCTTTGCGCGCCGTTTTCGGATCGATTTCGCCCGTTTGCGGATCGATATGTCCCCACTCCGTGTGTATTCGACCGGTGACCGGATCAATTTCACCCGACAACGTCATAATTTGAGTAATCTTGGTTTTTCCGCTCTTCACGACGGGATCGTTAGGATCAACCTGAACAATTTTGCCGGTTTTTGGATCGATCATGTTGTACATGTACACAGTTTGCGTGGTCACGTTAATAATTCGTCCCGTACTTTCATCAATTTGACAGTCTTTAGGGTCGATTTCCTGTATTTTACCGCTTGGATCTTTCTGTGATATCAGGTAGATCCTGACAATGACTAATTTTCCAGTTTTAGGATCAATTTTGCCATATTTAGTGTAAATATCGCCGTTAACTGGATCGACCTGCGATGTCGAATAAATGGGACTGCCCGACTCGTCGACCTCCGCAGTTTTCGTATACACTTGGTTCGATTCCGGGTCAATTTTAGCAATATTTTCGTCCACCTTGGAGTGTTTCGAGATGGTACCCGTTTTAGGGTCAATATAGCCGTAAATAGTGATGATGTACCCAGTCACCGGATCCACGTGACCACTTGAGTATACATCCTGCTTTGTGATGGGATCTTGGTGGTCGAACACCCAAATCTGGTTCGTTTTCGGATCTATCTTTACCTTTTTCATATCTTTCTTTGATATTTTGCCGTCCGAATCGATTGTTGGTTCACTGATTAATACAGAAATGATTCTAGCATATTGCGGATCATATTTTCCAGTTTTTGGATTAACTCCACCTTTAAACAGAATATGCCCAGTATCCGGATCAATAACTCCCTGTTTCACCTCAGTGTTACCCGTTCTGGGATCAACATACGTCAATGTACCGTGCAATGGATCAATTTGACCCATTTTTGTTTCAATTTTTTTATTATCTGGATTGAACAAGCCCTCGATGTTTTCTGGTGTCGCATGCTTGGTGTCGATGATATTCTTCTTAGAATCTAATTTACCTGCGAATGTAGTTATCTGTACTTCAGGCTCAATTTCTGAACCAACTTCAATGATTTGACTCAAGCTTGGATCTACTGTATCCGTTTTTGGATCAACAACTCCGCTGGTAATCAAAATATTACCATTGGAATCGATCTGAATAGGTTTAACTTCAAGCTGGCCTGTTTTCGGATTTCTGGTTGTTATTCGCATCAACTTCAAATTGATTACTCCGTATTTTGTGGTAATTTCTCCCGATGCGGAATTCTTCTTTCCTTTTGTCGTTTCTAATTGACCATTTTTCATATCGTACAATCCAGTTTGCGGATCTCTCCTAACTGTTGTCGTTACGATCTCGACAATTGGATCGTTATATCCGGCTACACTCACGATTTTGCTGTGAGTGCTATCAACTTTACCAGTCTTTGGGTCTACTTCCCCATCAATGCGCATCTGACCAGTGTTTTCATCAATCCTTACCTGTCGAGCCTCGACTTTTCCCGTCTTGGGGTCGTTTATGATCACTTTGCCATTTTTGGGATCAATTAATCCATATTTAGATTCAATTAATCCAGTCGTAAGATCGACAGTTCCGGTGCATTGTTCAATCTGACCTTTATCTGGGTCGATCTTTCCAGTTTTTGGGTCAACTCTACTAGTTATAATTGTTATCTTGATGATGCGCTTCTTTGGTACTGGTGCGTGCGAACTATCCTTTGCTTGTTTCAACCCGACAATAGAAAATATTTGACCTCGTCCTGGTTTGCCTGTTTTCGGATCGACAAGTTTATTGTTTATAACTTGTACTGCGCCTGTGGGGTCCACCTTTCCTTGCAAGACTTCAGTTTGACCAGTGGTAGGATCCTTGACAACGATAGTGCCATGGACAGGATCGATTAATCCATATTTTGTTTCGACAAATCCAGTTTGAGGATCATAGTTGCCAGTAATTTGCTCGATCTCTCCGTTTTCGGTGTCAACGAATCCAGTTTTGTAATCAGGCTTGGAGGTTATTACCAAGATTTTTACAACGCGTCCTTTTTGATGCGGCAATGGAGCAGGAAGAGGAGGGCTTATAGGAGCCGTTTTCGTAGGAGTTACCTTTGCTGGTACAGCAATCAGTGGGGATACTTCAATTTTTTCTTTAGGCTTGCCATCCATTGGTTGTTGGTCGGCTACAGAATCGACAATAGGTTCAGCAATATGAACAGACATGGCTCGTCCAAAATGCGAATCAGTTTTACCCGTTTTTGGATTACAAAATCCACCTTTAAATATGACTTCTCCTGTGTTAGGCTCAACTGAACCAGCCCGTTTGTCCACTTTAAAGGTTTTGGGATCCACAATAGCGAGAGATTCTTCAATCGGATCTAAGATACCATATTTGGTGTATATTACGTTCTTTTCGGGATTATATAGTCCCACAGTCGTCTCTGGAGTCACATGCTTATCATCAATAACATTTTTCTTAGGATCAACCTTTCCCACATAGCTGGTAATTCGTATTTCTGGATCAACTTCGTGTCCAACTTGAATAACCTGCACCAAATTGGGATCTTCTTTACCGGTGGCAGGATTAATAACACCCGAGGGAATGATAATATCATTTTTATCGACTTGAATTGGTCTCTCATACACTCGTCCGGTTTTTGGGTCACGGGTGACAATCCTCATCAACTTCAAATTAATGGTACCTTGCTTGGTAACTATTTCACCTGTTTCCGTATTTAATTTACCATTGGTAATTTCGGTTCTACCATCCTGTTTGTTAATCTTGCCAGTTTTTGGATCTTTACCGGCAGTAATTGTGACAACGGTAACGACCGGATGTTTGGGATCCACAACATTAATGACTTGAGATAACGACTGATCCACTTTGCCCGTTTTCGGATCGATCACATTTTCGTTCACAAACATTTGACCAGTTTCGTTATCAACACGCAAAGGAGTCGCGAGAACTTTTCCAGTCTTCGGATCTCTGACCAGAATTTTATTGTTCACGGGGTCAATTTTTCCATATTTCGAATCGATTATACCAGATATTGGATCAACAGATGCCAGTCGTTTTTCCACGACGCCCTTCTCCAGTTCTGGTTTGCCAGTTTTTGGATCTTTTTTCGCCGTTATTACGAGAATCTTAATGATACGTTTCTTTGGTGTGGGATGGGCGGATATTCCACCAGTCGGAATCACATTATCATCGACCATAACTATGACCTGACCCAAGTTATTATCGAGCTGTCCTGTTTTGGGATCAACCGCAGGGCCGGGCAGCACTAATCGATTGGACGCCGGATCCATTTGACCTTGTATCACCTCTTTTTTGCCCGTTTTCGGATCAACAATAGTAATTGAGCTGGTTTGGGGATTGATTAACCCATACTTGCTATCAATTTCTCCAGACGGTTGCAAAATTCCGACAGAATGATCCACTGTACCATTCTCAACATCTAGAACTCCTGTTTTTGGGTTTCTTCGTGCTGTAATGACCATAAGCTTAATCAGTTTTCCCGTTTCTGGTGATTCTGCTACTTCGGGCGAGGGTGCTCGTGCGATAGGCAATTGTGAAATCTTCTCAGGAAGATTAGCGCTTTCTTGTTGAACATCAATTTTTAACCCTCGACCTAGTGCCGAATCTGATTTGCCAGTTTTCGGATTAACAATTCCCTTAAAAAGTACGCAATTGCCATTCACGTCATATTGACCTTGTTTAGTGTCGGGTTTCCCAGATTTAAAATCCATGGAAGTTAAAGTATCAAGCAGAGGATCGTAGACTCCAAACTTAGTATACACCTTGTTAGTTTCTGGGTTGTGCAACCCTTCAGATGTGGAATGGACGGCGCTTTTAACATCCAAACCCTTTTTATCCACCTTCCCAGTTGACGAAGCAACTGTAACTTTTGGTTGAATCTCAGGACCAACTTGAATAATTTGCGTCAATTCGTTGTCGATTTTTCCAGTTTTCGGATTAACAATTCCACTCAAAATTATAACGTTACCTTCACCATCAAACTGTACAGGTCTTTCTTGGCGCGATCCCGTAGTAGAATCTTGCGAGTAAATTTTCTTGTGCTGCACATCAATTACTCCGTACTTTGTAGTAATATTGCCATTTTCCTCAATTGAACCATTACTAGTGTCTTTATGAACAAATGTGGGATCCAATTGTCCGGTGTTCGGATTTCGTTTGGCAGTCACAGAGGTAATCACCACAACAGGACGCCCACTGTCATGTACGGTAATGATTTGACCCAAACTATTATCGACTTTCCCCGATTTTGGATCAACAACACCACTCTTTAATATGATCCTTTTGTTATTATCCTCGACCTCCAAAGGTACGGACTTATCTTTCGACATAAATTGTTTGGTTTTCAAATCGAACTTTCCATACTTTGATAAAATACACTGCGAATCGGGATCAAAGGTAGCAGTTATTGTTTCGGAATGACCTTTATCAACCTCGATGGTACCCGTCTTATCTTTCTTCCCCGTTATGATAACTAATTTAACCAAACGCGCTGGTCGCTTATTCGGTGATATACTTCGTTCTGATACGCAAATGATTTGACCAACAGTCGGATCTCGACTGCCCGTTTCTGGGTTTAGAACAGCACCATTTGTTATGAGCATTTGTTTTGTTATTGGATCATAATGTCCATGTAATACGTCCTTCTGCCCTGTTGCACTGTCGGTTATGGTCAGAGTACCATTCATTAAATCTAGAAGACCATATTTGGACTCGATGGTACCATCATTGAGATTTTTGGAAGCTTTAACTACATCCACATGCCCATTATCGATATCTAATTTTCCTAGCTTTGTATCTTTCTTTGCAGTAATGACATATAGAGTAACTTCTTTCGGTTTTACAGCAGGTGTCGCAGCAGCAACCGGCACAAAGGCGGGTGTGACCACGGGTGGTTCAGCAGTCTTACCAGGGTGCGCATATTGCTCACCTGCTAAGAAAGCAGCAGTGTCATCCTTTATATCTTTCTTTGGAAACGCCTCGGTTACAGGTTTAACTTTATCTTTCTTTATATTATCCTCTTCACCCGGTGCATAGTTAAACGCTAACCCGGTAGCGCGTTTGCTTGATGGAGAAACTTGCATAGGTTCCTCGTCTTTCGGAGAGCTTTGGTTTTCGTATGAAAATCCCTGTGGTTTACGTGGAGTTGGCTTGTCGTCGTATTGATCGTAGTCGTATTCTCGGGTATATCCAGGTAGCTGAGGAGAACCTACAGGTGGACCGCCTTTTGGTTCTTGCGCTTGTAAAGGTTCCGTTAACTTTGGTTTTTTAACCTTTTCCTCTTTTTCTTTAGGAGACTTTTCCCGTTTCGAACCAAACCCAAAGCCGGGACTCTGTTTCACACAAAACATGCAAATAAAACATGCACTAATGACAATTTATAAAATAATTCTACAGAAATTAAATTCATAGATTTTTCTACCGATCGATGCTCAATTCATTTAATCTTTTAAAACAAAAAGTCTTACCTTAACTTTCTCCTTCTCTTTTGTAGTTTTTTCCGGATCTACGTTAGAATTCAATTGCGGTTCCGTATCCATCCCATTCTGATTCATCGAATTTACATCACGATTTTCCTTATCTCTCTCGTCCTTCTCTTTCTTTTTACCAAAAAGCCCACCTGTTGGTAACACTGCAATACCACCAACTGGTTTCTGTTAATAAAGTTCCAAAATTATGACTCTTCATTAAAGAACAATAAAGGTAACATAGCAGACACCACCTACTGTATTTTAATAGTTATACTTTTGACTACAATTTAAAGTACAAAGAAAAGCTATACAGTAGTACTGAGGTCTGTTTCGTTCAAAGTATTAAAAGTAGTTAAATAAGGCTCTAGCGGGCTTCAAGGTCACACATCTCAAAACTGATTGGCAAGTCAAATCACTGAAATGATAAGCACTCTAAAAATCCCACTCGTATTATACCATGCGATAAAAAATGAGTTGCTGTCGAGTCACCTTTGGAACTTTTGTTTACATGGGAAATTGTATTTAACTTGAACTTCCAAAGGCGACTCGACAGCAACTCATTTCTGATCGCCCGTTATTAGACAGGTAAGCATGTACCTATCTGTATTAGTCATAATAAAAACGTATCGAACTACTCAAGCCTAATCATTTTCTTATTCAAGGTATTGAAACATACTCAAAACTGTTTCAGCAGTAAAATATTACAGAAGGGGGGGGGGAGGTACGGTATTTTCACTGCATGCTATGTATCATGTCTCACTTTTAAAATGTGTCTTTTGCAACCTGTGCAAGAAATAATTTCAAGTTGACATCATGACATCATGTTTTGAGGGTGGAGGGTCTAGAAATTTTGAAATGCACAAGAAAGTATAAATTGTGCACAACTCAGATAAAGCGCATATTTTTTAAATCAAAATAGATTAGTAAATTATTGAGTTATAAGATAGCATGCAAAATGTATTGATGTTTAGTTTTTTTCTAGATGATTCATGGAGAGGGGGCCCTTTACACATACACATTTATAAGGATATTTATCATGGGGATCTCCCAAACCATACAAGATACAACAATGGAATGGACAATGGAGAAATAATCATTAACTATATTTTTTTATATGGCCTGTAAAAAAAGTACATAGTGTTGTATTAAGTAGCATTTTTTATTACGAATACAGGCACACACAAAAAAACAACAATTAGAAATTTTTGGTTTCAACAGGATGGTGCACCCGCACACATCGTCCTAATTGTGCAAAAATACTTATAGGACATATTTTCCATTTTCCAGGAAATTTGTGTAATAGGTATTCTCACACAATTGGAGCATTGTGTGTGGGTGCAGGTGGTTCTTCGAAAATATTAAGGTCTTTGGTATTAGAATTGCTTATGTCATTTTGGTTCCTTCGAGCGGTTCGTGGATTAATTCTTCTCTCAATTTTAAGCAAAATTTTCAAGAAACATAATGTACCTCAACTCAATTGGTTCCGAATCTTCATTGTAATTATTGGTTGTAAACTGTGATTGACTGATGATGAGCCAACAAGGTGACGACATGGTTCGTGTGAGATGTAACAACCAAGAAAAAATGACAGGTATGGTGAATTAATGTATCCAGGTGACCAGACGAGGTCAAGTGGAGGAGAGACATCCGGAAACCCCTTGGACGTCACAACAGCGGCTGCCAACCAAGGCAATGGTGTTAAGCAATACAGTGCATGAACAGAATACAACAATTTCCAAGTCAATTGCTAGAAGTGAGACTTCACAGGATAGGCAAACAAGAAACGAAATGCTTAAGACTATGTTAGAAGCCAAACAAAGAATAGCTGACCTTGAGAAGAGGTGACAGAGATGGGAATTTCCTTAGACCAGTTTCGAGTATTGTGTCGGTTACTCCGAATTAGGTTTTCCTAATTCGTAAGGTAAATTCCGGAGTAGTATAGAACAACTTAAGACCTTCTGCAGAGGCACCTCTAAAAAGCATTATGCTGGTCACTCTATAATTGGACGCCAAGCCTGTTGAAGGCCCAGAACAAGAGAGGGATAATAAATAAACAAATAAACTCGAACAGCTCATGATCGAAGAAAAGTATGAAATACTGCTTGATGGATTGGATCAACAGGTTGAAAGAGACATTGGACTATCAGAGGGTAAGGTGCAAAAGGTTCCTCTGGAGCAGGATTGGACAACCCACGGGCCTGATCCGGCCCGCCGATAAGTTTTGTCTGGCCCGCTAACAGAATTCATAGTTAATACTTCATACGACCCGCCAATTTCATTAAAAATTCGAATTAATTAATTAATATGATTATGTTACACGTGTCATGTAGTGGACGCAATCCGAAGCTTCCAAGATGTTTAAAAGCCTCTTTGATGATGCAATTTCTTGTTTCAGACATATCGCCAGGTATTTTCCAGAATTTTCGTCGCGATATATACCGGGTGGGGCAATAAAACGACACGTGTTTTGGAATTAAGCAACATTTGAAAGCCATATATTGCAACAAAACTTAAGAAGACAAATGAAAATTTGGAAACAAGCTGAATATAGGGATTTATTATCCATGTCTGGAAAATGTTGTATGCAAAATCATGTCAATTTTCAGGAAAACTTAAGTGTTTTTTTTAATGATTTTTATGAAAGCAAAAAATAGGTCAAGATCAAAAAGAGATAGATAATTATTGATTTCTTTAAACATACTTTTTATATAAAACATAATAAATATGTAAAATATTTATATTTTATATTTATATTTCAATTAACAGCTTACTTTGTAAACCACATCTTAATTTTATTGTCAATGTCTTGTTTCTTGAGTTTTAAATGTACTACTCCATTTTTTGTTTCACTTTTTTATGTATCATGACCTGTCTAATTTTAAATACACTAACATAAAATAAATTAAAGGTTGAGTGGAAGAGCAGACACGGATGATATCACTGTCTGAACTCCGCCATTTAGACAGGCTCTGTAAAGAAATTGTCTATTAAAGTCATTTATTATTATTATTATTTGTATTTTCAACTGTGGCCCGTGGTGTATTAGAAAAATTTTATTTTGGCCCCTTCGAAAAAAAGGTTGCCCACGTCTGCTCTAGAGGAAAGACAAATCGCTGCCTGTTGAGGAGTGGCAGATGAAGGTGATGACATTTGGAGCCACCAGTTCACCATCTTCCGCAATCTACATAAAAAACAGAAATGCAGAAGAATTTGAGGATTCATCATTAGTATTTCATCACCCAGGACTTGAATTTTTAGCCCATTGTATGTAGCTGTTGGAAGAGGCAGAGAGAGAAACGCTTTGGAATGGTCTTGTTTACATGCTTTTCCCTTTGAGCTGTTCATTTGGAGACCTCTAACAGTCTGGACACTGACTCAGCGATCATGGCGAGATGAGGTGCATCTAAGACGCTTATGAGTGATAATGGGACAACCTTCAAGAAAGCTTCGGAGAGTAAGTTCTTCTTGGGTTGCATAAGGACAGGATCTCATGGAGGGAATTGAATGGTCATTTATTCTTCCAGCCAGTCCTCACAGCTGGGAACGACTTGTTGGAGCTGTGAAAAAAGCACTTTGGTCTGTTCTTCATGAAATGGATCCAAGAGAGGAAGTACTGAAGATCGTAAGTGCGGAAGTGGCGCACTTTATTAACAGCCGTCCTCTTAAAACCTCTTAAACTTGAGCTTACAGGAAATGTGGATGCAGAGGTTTTGGGTTATGAAATGCTTTCAAAACCAAGAGGGGGGGGGGGGGTGTATGTCGGTGTTATATAATAAAAAAAACTATTTCTTAGAAAATAGTAGATTGGTTGTGATTAGTAAAAAACCAGTTATGTCATTTTAGTGTTACAGTCCTTGGTGTTGGGACTGCCACTGACAATGACCAATCCTGTATAATTAAAATTATTACTGCCTAGTAGACATTAAAGAATTCCAAAACTTTTTGTATAAAACTGTATACATTTTTTTGATATCTTGTATATTTTCCCTGATAATCGACCGTTTCCAGACTTACATGTTCACAAATTTTATAAACGTAGGGTGCAGTGTCGCAACCAGAGGGGGGAGGTTGCCGGGCTGCAGACTCCCCCCCCCTCGTTTGATTATCAAATTGTGGCATGTATTCAGCACCCAAACACTTCAGTACAAAATTTATAATTGACCGGTTGTCCATATAACGCAGCCCCCCCCCCCAACCTCCCGACTGGTTGCGCCACTGGTGGGGTGCAAGTGAGGAAGGAGGGAAGGGGGAGAGTTGTGGTTACTTTCTGTGTACGTTCAGATTGACTCGCCCTTCATAGTACCGAAACGGTTTTGAGTAATTTATGATGTCTCTAATAAGAAAAAATACAGCTTATTGAAACTAGTCACCTGTACTAAACTGTACCAAAATCGAACCATAACCTGCAATGTATGTCGAAACAGAAAAGTAACCTGCTTGCTCATGTACTTAAATAGAATCTTTTTGCTGCTTCTGCACGATGCACGGCACAGGCACTAATTGAAATGTCTATTGCACATGCGCAGATAACTAATCGCAGTCAATCACTCTAACTCTAAACGTTATAAAAGGAAAGTACCTACCTTTTAATACTCCGAATGCCTAAATAATAATAATAATAGTCTTTATTTGGTTTCCATTAAATCATAGTTACAAAAAAAAGGTTTAAATAAAATTTTAAAAAAAGGAAAAGAAAAGAACGGAAAATAACTACTACTTTCAGAAAGCAAACCATAAGGGGAGGTTCAGCATAAACCGCTCTTCCACCTAACCTCTGAAATGTAAAACAAACCATAATTCGTGATAATGAGTAATGCATTTTAATCATTAAAATGTGTGAAAACCAAAATAAGGCATTATGGGGACATATTTATACATAATGAAATTTTAATTTGGCTACACATAGGTACTTATTGATTTTGTAATAAAAGATTTCTAAGTTTGATACGAAATCTTGAAAGTGGCAGATCTTTTACTGCTAGCCGTATATTGTTATAAATATGATGGACTGTGTAACTGAATGACCTTTCAAACAAAGCTGTTCTGTGATTTGGGGGCGTAATTAAATTCCTAAATCGTAAGTTTAGATGATGTACATCAGTCCGGAATTCTATTTTTTGATATAAGTATTTTGGATACTTTTGAGTTATTATTTTATGACACAAACAGGCCATTTGCAGATACCTCCTACTACTCATATTTAGCCTACTATCTGTACACTAAAAAATATATAGAAATCGATAGAAGTAAACAACCCAAGGGCGAATGTACAATCATAGGAAAAAACAATTGCAAGAGAAAGTGCCAAATGTTATCAATCTAGGCAAAATTTTTGAAATGTGAAATGCACACAAACCTTTCCAACAGAATTCCCTGTTTTTGTCAACTCTCCCTATTAAAAACTACTGAATAATAATCTGTGCTTCATGCTGAGATCTCGCACCATCAGACGGATGAAAGAAAGGATCAGTATTAGTTGTAGTTAGTTTTCATTATAAATACCCTAAAAAGTTATAAATATAAACAAAAACTTACAATAAGGGAATAAGTTAAAATTATAAAAAATCGGAACAAAAAGTGGCAATTACAGTTACAAATGTGACAAAAAGTTGCCACAAAATAATAATAAATTATAGTAGTTGTGGTTTAATCCTTTTTGGATTGTAATTGATTTTGGGCCTGTGAAGGGAGCTCTTTTGGGACCCCAATGTCAATTTAAAAGGTTAACTCATATGACCTGTTCATGTTGATCTACCAATCAGTAGCGACAAATGTGTGACTAGACGTGCGCCAGCATTAACCTTATTTAGCCACAGCAGTTTATATCTAAAATTGTACAATAACGGCGCTGTTTCTTATAAAGCCATAAACTTAGTGATAGAAATGGACAATACAAAAATAAGCACAGACAAAAACGCTCTAAATTAAATTCATCATAGGAATTTTCATTGAAAGAAATAAAAAAAATCGCAAAATGTCGATTAGTTTCTTGCACCACTAAACGTCTAAAGTAAGTTCACAAAGAAACTAAAGTAAGCTGAATAAAACTTTTCAAATAAAAGACACTGTCAAGCCATCGATCACTGAAATATTGTTACGTAACCATAAGAAGCGGAGTTGCAAAGCAAAATGATTATAGAAATATGAAAACACCTTCTCGTTATTTTCGACTTCAAATTCGCCTTCCACAGAGCTATCGGAATTAGACGATGTCGCCCATGTGCTTCTCTTCCAAGAAAGCTTGTCATTTTATGAAATCAATATCGACTATAAAAATATATCATTCGAATTGAAGTGGTGTTGCACAGGCAATGAATCACTCTTTGGTTTTATAAACGATTTTGAAAAGTGATGCTTGCCATAATGCAAAAATGATACATAAATAGTGCATGGTTCATTACTAAATTCAATTTAAACATGTGCTATTGAATGTCCATTTCAAACAATGTAGCGTGTAACAGTATTTTGAAGACTGCTTACTTGTTTCTCCTACAAGAAATCAAGAGCAAGATTCAAAACTAATCTCTATGTTAGTCCTTGGAGACACTAAAGAAAGTTCAATGATTCTCACTACAATTAAATGACAAATTTTACACTGAATTAAAAACCCCAAATCTTCAACAGTTTTGTCTACAATTAACAAAAAAAGACATACCTTGTCCTTCTCTTTTTTCTCTTTAATTTCCTTTGGAGATTTCACTTTAGCGGGGCTATGACTATCAATATCAGGAATATGTTCCGGCGGATGAGACATCGTATGCCGTTTATTAGCTTCGTTATAATCATCCTCCGGACGCGTACCTCCCAAAGCTAAAACGGGAGCAGGCTAGGAAAAATCAACAAAAAGGCATTCGCTTACCATCCATACTACGAGATGCTAAGCGGCGACCGGAGAGGGAACGTTCGAATTGAGGTGCAGGTCTTTCGATCGGCGTACGTTTCGTTTCGTAGTGAGTTCGGCCAGAGTAGCGGAATTTTGATCCCAATCTCGGAAACAAGGAAGCTTTTTGATTGGGTTCAGGTGTCATTAATCTAAACAAAAGGATGCGTATTATTAGTGATCGTGTTACGTGGTCATTGTCTAATTATATAATCTGATATAAGACGGACACATTCTTTCTTTTGTGTCTAGGCACGTACGAAGGTTAGAAGGGGAAAAAAGACCAACATTCAACTTCTTTAGTTAAAAAAAGGTGCGCATTAAAAACAGATGGCGCTGAGTTAAGTTTCCTTGTCCAATTTATTTACTCTTTAATTTAAACCTTATACTCCACTGCAGCTATGTAATCTTGTTCTTTTACTGTCTTGACTAGGCCTTACCATAGAGAAAATACAATAAGTTACAAACAAATAGGATAAACTGGCATTGCTAACGTTCGTCGTACATTAGCGTGCCGATATGCGGCCCCCTCGTTCTGAGATGGCGCTATAGTTAGTCGAGAAGCGCCTAGTTACGAAATGCGTTCTCGTAAATCTAGTTTAGAAAAAGGTACGTAGTCCCTTCACTCTCACACTTTAGACTCTTTAGTTTCATTAAAATTTTTCTCTACGTTTTAAGACAAATACAATTTCAACCGAAATACAGTTCAACAAACGCCCAACGTACTTATTTGGTTTCAGCAATGGAGTAATTTACGACATTTACTGTAATGGTCAACAGTCAACTGCAAGTGTACAATCTAATCTACTATGAAATATGACTTAGAATATGACACTTTCCTATACAATGTGTAAAAGATAATTCGCTTAATCCGAAGAAATATAACAAAACAAGAGGCGTAAAAATTAGTAAAGAGAGGTTTTAATTTTGATATCTAGAAATTGAAATTATAAAGGCTCTCCGGTGTGAGTTGTTTCTTCAAATCTTCAACACGGAAGACAACTTGCATCTTATTCTTACCAGACCACATATGCTCTACAATCTAACCAGTAACCAGCAATGCAATGAAAGGTAGATCGGCAAAAATTGTACTTTTTTGCGTTTTTTAGCGCTGGTGCTATTGTTTTGCGTGTTCTCCGTCGGTCAGGAACCACTTTTGCCGTGTTGAACTACTTTTACGGGAATGGTCCTAAATAGAATATATTAGTGGTTACGTCATAATAGCCCGCGAAATTCGAATTGCAGGACTTGTCTGTTTTACTGTCGGAAATATTGACCCCTATCGCCCTATCCATTAAGGTTCACTTTTAAATAGGTCCTCTTTATGGGCTTATACTGACCTTATGCGCATTCAATAAGCATATCAACCCTCTTATATCGAAACACTGATTATGTATGGGGCGATAGGGGTCAATATTTTCGACAGTAAAACAGCCAAGTCCAGCATTTTGAATTTCCCGCCCAAATTTGACGTCACACTAATAGAGTCTATTGGTCTCAAATTTTACATGCGCATGCCTTTAGTGGCAAGTAAAATTGTTGATGAATGGCTCCATATTAATTAGTGTGTGGTCTAATACTTTCGACAACCATTGGCAAGTAAAACTTTTGAAAATGGGAAGGGCGAGGGGAGGGGCAACCACACGTTTTACCCATTCATGTTATTTTAATTAAAGGTCTCAACAAAAGGAACTGTTTTCTACGAACTATCGCCCTTTTTTTGACACTGAAAAGATTAGAAATTACTACAAACGAATTTTTGAATGTTTAAGAAATCTTTTTTGAACCTTTTTGAATCGATATTGAATTTTTTCAGTGTTATATTTAAAAAAAACAGAATTTAATATGCTATTTTTAGATTGAAATATACAGGGTATGCTATTTAAATAAAATTAAGTTAGATCCAATAACTTTTTTACCCGATAGTACTGTATAATTATTTATTTTGAAAACGGCAGATTATTTATCAATAATTTTTAAGAAACATTTGTTTGTTTCTGTTTTTACTAAGAATATATACGGTCATTCTGGAATTGAAAATTGCTTGATTTATCTCCCTATCTCTGAAGCAAAAGTGTGCAAATTTTTATTTTACCATTGCATGCTTGACCCAAAAAGAGCCCATAACGCCTATAAAAGTGTCGAAAATGGGACACCCTGTACATGAAACACTATGTAAAATTCCAAAAGGAAAATAAAAATGTATTTTCATTTAAAAAAAAAGTTGTTGGTTTTAACTTATTTTTGAGCATGTGCTCTTTTTAAACTTTAAAATTTAATACGGTAAAATCAAAATTTTCGCTGGGGTAAGAAATACAGGGAAAACCACAAAATTATTAATTTCAAAATGATTATCGCCCCGTATTACTTAACTATGTTGTCAGCGAACAGTGTTGTTAAGACATATGATTGGATGTTTTTACAAACAATAACATCATTCTTAAGCCGGCCCGTGTGTCACAGTTGAGTTGAAGCTGGACTGCGGTACTAAGGGCAATCCATTTTGATGTCCCATTTCAATTTCAGTTTATAAGAAGAATTTCATTTCAATGCTTTCATAAATAAGAAAGTTGATACTGTGCATGCGCAAACCTAAATTTTGAAACTAACCTTAGATTTTCCTTTGTTTCAAGTGGCTATATATCAAATTTCATTTAAATGCTTCCATAAATAAAAAAGTTTGCAATTCGGTTTATTAATTAGTCGAGATGCGAAAAGGGCACTGTGAATTTTGAATCGATTCGACTCAACTTTTGGCATTGCGTATTATATGGCTAAAGCTATGCCCATATTGAATTTGAAGTTAGACAACAGTTTTAGGACAGTCTAGGCTAGGCCATTGTTTAGCAGCAAACAATTTGTAATTATCTCTTTTAAACGCATTTTTTGCAAATTTATTTGTAAAACGGTGGCTTTTAATCTCACTTTGGCCGGCGGGATAGCTGGCTGGCAGCAAATGAGACCCCGTAGAAGATCGCTTGTAGAAAGATGAGGAGTGTACTTGTACCTACCGGGCCGCATAATTAACAATGTAATCTTTATGCACTCGAATTTAAATAGGGACAACAAGTTTGTCAAAACTCTCAACAAATTTATTATTTAATGAACCTTCGATCTCACTATTAATTGTTGTGTGTGTATTGGATTTCGTTTTGCACATTTTATAGCATTGCAAGTAGGTAACAAATTATTTGACAGAGTACAATCAATGTATTTTTTACGGAATGCATCCTCTTGAAAGGTCGGGCAGTAAAGAAAAGAAGAAGAAGAAAAATTCATTGATTTATTTAAAGAGAATGTACGTAAATTTATCAGTTCAAGGTCAGACATTATAAATGAATTCGTAAAGCCGCGGCTTTGAGTGGTTCATAAACGCGCTAATTCAGCTACCCAATTTAGTGATCTGTCCTACATAACAGGGGGCGCTGAATAAAAATTTTCCCACGCTTACATCGCCATCTACTTATGAGGTGTGTGAAAGGTGGCCACAAATTAATAAGCGTCTGGAACTCTTATTGTATTTACTCTGTGCCCTTACACATGTTAATCCATTGTCCAAAGGTAACAATAAAATTGAATTGAAAAAAAAAATTGAATCTTAGGACCTTACGGCATAGCAAGTTGGTTAAGTAAAAGCAATGATGCGAATTTTAGTCCTGAATAATAATCTGAAAAGAAATTTGAAATATCTTCAATAGTTTTGAAAAACCAAAAAACGAACATTTCTGATTTTCATTTTTTCTAACTTCTACCCAAAAATATTATTCAAACACTTTTTTATGGAGAATTCGAATATCCCATCCCGTTTCTAATGATTCTTCTTCATTTTTTATTAGCGCCATATTGGATTTTGGCATTTTGAGATTACATCATATTTTCTCTTTACAGAGTGCTTTGGAAAAACAAAACTGCCACGATGGCAATGTTAAATGAGAATTTACCAACATGCTTCAACTGCTGAGCGCACTGAGCTTTAATAACGATTTGTTCTACTTAGGAGTGTGGGAATCGGCAAATTATATTTCTTCTGTTATTCTTGAATAATTTCCTTCAAAATAAAAAAAATCCAACGCGCTCGGGAATGTCTAGATAACGTTTTTTGCAAATTTTTGACCTTCCCACTCCCTTACGTCACGCTTAAATCATCAGCTTATTAAAATGTACACTTTTCAACACATAGTCAACCGACTTTACTTTAATCTCACGCGCTGGAGTAGTTCTAACGCTCACACAAGGGCTTATATGTGACGGAAGTACTCATCCTCTCATTTTTTTTTTAAATTTCGATTCAACTTGTCTCCATATGAAACATATTTTTAGCGCATTTGCTATTGCAGCCACTTTCTCTGTCCGTCCGTCGGTCCGAGGCCTTAACTACTCCTACATTTTTCAAAATAATAAGTTCGTTCTTTTTGCATTCGGTAGCGTATAGCCCTATCACCCGAGCCAAGGAAAATTTTGACAATTAAACTGCGCAATGTCAACTTCCTTATTTATTAATATATTTTGTTGAAATTTTAACCACAGATACTTCTGGTGAAGTCAAATATATCGCATATAGTAAAAATCAGATGCGCGCATGCGCAGACTGCGCAATGCCAACTTTCTTATTTATGGAGACCGAAATTGTGAAATTTTAACCCATGTTGTTTTTAGTGTAAGGAAACGTATCGCATATTATAAACATCAGATTAATGCGCGAATGCGCTGGATGCGCAATATCAACTGTTATTTATCTAGATATCTTTTTGAAATTTTAATCACAGATGTTTCTGTTAAAGGCAAACATAACTGATCTTGCAAAAATTACATGTGCGCATGCGCAGTCAGTGCCAACTTCTTTATTTATCACGATATTTCTTTGAAATTTTAACCATAGATGCTTCTAGTAAAGGAAAACATATCACATGTAGTAAATCGAAATCTAAAAATGTCATTCGGAAAAGCAAACACATCGCACATAGTAAAAATCAAATCCACGCATGCGCAGACTGCAAAATGCCAACTTTTTTCTCTCTAAAGTTTAACCATAAACGCTTCTAGTAAAAACAAACATCGTGTAACTGCGAAACGCCAACTTTTTTGTTTATGGGAATATTTCTTTGAAATTTTAATCATATGTGCCTCTAGTAAAGAAAATCACAACGCACATAGCTATGGCCTTTTGTGAAGTACTGATCATTCATGGAAAATGCGCTGAAGTTACTCACCTTCGGGTGAAAACCTTTTTACTTGTTTTTAGTTTCTGGTCAGTATTTCGCTACAATCTTAACAAAAGCCATTACATTAAAACATTTACCTATCTATCTAGTTTTATCTACAATAGAGCATGTTTGCTTTGCTACATTCTCTTACCTAAAGAACGTGTGATGTTCCACACAAGTTTTCCACAGCTTTTTCGCAGCTCTATGATTCGCCAGCTTAAAACCAATGGTAGACTCAAACTGCTCAAATTCACCGGGACGAATCTTGATGTAAAAATTATGACGCTTATAGCTAATTTTGAGTATTTTTGGCCAGGCGAAACGATTAATTCTCAATCGCTCTCTATAAACTAACAGTCCTGAGGCACATACACCTAACAATTGCAATTAATGAGTTGTTATTAAACGATCAAGTGTACCTACCTAACATTATATCGACACCTTCCGAATCCTTAGCAGGATGTAAGTCTACGCCATACATGGCCAATTTTTTCGCATTCTCTAAATAGTTTAATTCCGCTTCAGCCGGCGTTTGACCTCTGAAAATAAAGAAATTTAGCACAACTACTGTGAACATTTCCACTGAATCTACTTATGCGTTCGATGAAGCTCCATCACTTTATCTTCTAACTCTTGCGTTTGGTTGGGGGCAAACTTAAATTCGTGTAAGTAATTGCGACCCATACTGTCCGGATCGTAATCCCCCAATTCGGATTGTACTAAGTATGACCCGAGTAACGCGTGGGTTACAAACGAACACGGTAATCGATTGTTCAAAATATCGTTTCGAATTTGTAAGCATAATTGATAACGGGTAATATCCTCTTGAAGTTGAGCTGGATCCGGCGGGTAAAACTTCACTTCAAAACTAAACTTCCAGGGTTCAACTGGAAACAAAAGGTAATCGATTTGGTTTGCAAAGAGAACTACGTACCTTTAACGAATTTAGTTACTCGTTTTTCTAAATCTAACCAATTTCTAGAGTCATGACGATCCGAATATATTAAACCGAAATAATCTCTTTCAACTAGGTTAATGGCATCACAAACTTTATGCAATAATTCGAGTCCTTTCGCTTTTTTCTAGAACAAATACAACATTAGCTCAGTACAACGTATTAAAAAAGTTATTTGGAATTGTGTTAGAAATAGTGTTTTACAAACTGCTAATATTGAAAAACGAAAACATCACGAAATTAAGCTGGCGAATTTCTAGCCTGAAAATTAATAAACGGTTCCGTTACAGTAACCCCCTCCTGTTCTTGACAATGAAATTGCTCAACAACTTAATATAATACAAATTATAGTACCAATGCCGATTCACAATACTTGCTCCATACTAAAAACCAAGCGATTCTTCCAAGGTTTCAGTTTGCCAAGTGTGTTAGACTGTTATCATTTAATAGCCACTGGAAATGATATGGCCTGTGGAAACCCACATCCCAGGTTCGGAAAATCGGTGTGGTTGAAGGAACTGTGTAAAAGTATCAAGTGAGCAATTTCCTACTCCAGTCAAAAGACCTTGAAATTGAAACCATGGCACTAATACATAAGTAGATCTGATTTTGCACATTATCCTCTACTCCACGTTACATAAAAGACAGAAAATGTATGACAAACGGCTAGAATATCTAAAATTTCACTTCCAATATGGTTTTCTGTAGCTTCTACATCATAGAAGTCAAATTAGGTAGGTACATAATCGCTATAGATAAGTACCTAAAATAAACTAAGTGTTTCCAACAATCTTGCAAGGTTAATGAGAAAAAGGCATAGTTTGATTAAAATTTGTTTTATCTAAATCACTTCTACTTATTTCCACCATTCTGAAAATGTAGAAGAAAAAGAATCTACGCCAGTTTACAAATATTGATGTTTATATGGGTTACAGAGATTTAAATGTCCATTTGTTTCATCATATCAGTCTAAAAATAATCTCTGAAGTGTTAATAAACTCGCTACAAAAATAAAACAGTAAGTAATGAAAATTGATTACCTCTATATAAATATCAAGAAGACTACCATCTAGCATGGCAATCTGAGCTAAAGCTGTCCGACCTGCCGTAGCAGTTTTATTTTTAATTGGAGAGGCGTTGTCCATTTCGGAGTCGACTGCCATTTTCTTCTCTTCTGGCATTTTAGTTGAGAGATCTGAAACAAACAATTCCAATTAGTAAACTGTGAAGCTATAAATAATGAATTTGTCAGATGCGATTAAAATAATAGCTACATATAAGAAGTAATAAATAAATACTGATTGATTTTATGTGTGCGCTTGCTTCTGTCTGGGCTTGATGGGCTGAGTAAACGAAACAAAAAGCGTACAAGCAATTTTACAGTTCGATCGATCAGTAAAAACAAACAGAATTCCTAATTATGAAAATAATTGCTTTCCATAGTTCCATTTTGACAATTTTTGAGCATCAACATGATGGACCATCAAATTGACGATAATTCGGATTCAAGTATAAAAGTTTTACAAGGAGGTAAATCATGCATTGGCTAACACCTCATCCAGAAAAACTTGCGCATTAGTTTTACTTTTACTTGAGGTGTGTGCCTACATACAAAGATCTTTAACAAAAAAATTGGATTGCGCAAGTAGAAAAGTTAGGTTGCGCATGCGCAATTTATTTTTGCATCTGAATAGTTGCTTGAGGTTTAAGAAATATTTACTAACAGAGAAACCCAGACATTCATATGTTCTTTGTAACAAGGATAGAAGAAACTCTTTTTTTTAAGGTTTGGGCAGTTTTTGGGCTGTCATCACCAACGTACACAACAAAGAGAAATTGCCATTGGAATCTCATCTTTGCAGTTTGAACATTCTACAACTTGAAATGGCCCCTCCAGCGGTATCGTTATACCCACTGGTTGAATCAAGCATTCCCGAGTCACTACTTTAAGCTTGGCAGAGAAGCCTACTTTGGGCTCAAGGTGGATCTCAATTGGTGTCACAAAAGTTTAGGTAGAAGTTTTTGAGAAATTGTATGCGTCAAAAAGTACAGAACAAAATACGGATTTCCCTTACACCTGAAGGGTTTCAGTCAACTACATCATCACCACAACAATCAAAATGGAATGGTAGGAGGGGAGAACACCAGAATAAAAGCAATATTGAAGAAGATAATGTTCCCACAGCCTCCGGATTGTTATCAAATGTGGTAGGGAAGGATTTATGCATCTTTTGTGATAAAAATTCGGCTACCAAATGAAGGAAAGCGAAAGAAATGGCCTATGAAGGTAAGGAGAAAATCGTGATTGAGAAAAATGCTGGCTTCAGGTGCTTGAAAATTGGTCACCCTTCCAGGAAATGCAAGAAGAAAGTTTGATGTGAATAATGTCATTATCAAATTGTATGCTCACAGGTTAATAAACAAAAGTCATCGAAGAAAGAGGATGTCATAGTGGGAGAGAAAATACAGCAGAATATGTATGATCAGTGCACTCCCCAGTACTTGAAATTTTGAAGGTTAATATTGTTGAGGAAATCGGGAAAGCAGTCTTAGTTCAGAGAAATTAGAGACACCGGAAGTCAACACAGTTATATAACTACTGGAGCAGCACAACAAGAAAATGCTGTAAGAATTTCTCGCAAATATAGTCTTTGGAGGACAGCTGTCGCCGCATGTGAAATTAGGCCGTCATTTATAAAATTGTACAATTGAGAGACCCCCCATAAAGTTCTAGAATTCTTCATAAATAATCATATGTTGAAAATATAGGAGCCCACTTCACGCAGCTCCCTATTGCGTCAAAAATGACCTTTTTTTAAAATTCTGAAAAAAACACCAATAGATAGACCAATAGTTGCTGATAAGTTTTTAAAATAATTCCATGAAAAATCAATGCAAAACCCAGTAAAAACAGTACACACTGTATTGAATACAACGAACACAACACAACAAAAAAAAAGCAAAAGTCGGAAACTGCTGGTTTCAACAGGATGGTGCACCCGTGCACAACACCCAAATTTTAAGAGAGTACCTCGGGGAGTACCTATTGGACAAATTTTATGGAAAATTTCTTGTCATAGAGGAAATTCTTTCGAAAAATTCCCTTAAAAAGCCTTTATGGATAGATTGCATTCTCGAGTGTATTCTGTCACCCTGAGACATTAATAAAGAAACTTTTAAAACAGAGTGCATCCTAATTTAGAAAAAATGCCCTAATCAAAACTCAAAATTTGTATACAAAATTCAGGTGGAAATTAAAAAAGTTAGTACAAAATGCAATCTATAAAATTGATGAATTCGTAAACATCTGCAAATAAATTTATTTACTTTTTAATTTAAACCTGCAACTAAGTAATCTTGTTGTACCCTTACACAATGTTAATCCATTGTCCAAAGGTAACAAAATTGAAATGAAAAAAAAATTGAATCTTATTACCTTAGGGGATAGCAAGTTGGTTAAGTGAAAGCAATGATGCGAATTTTAATTTTTAGTCCTGAATAATAATCTGAAAAGAAATTTGAAATATCTTCAATAGTTTTGAAAAACCAAAAAACGAACATTTCTGATTTTCATTTTTTCTAACTTCTACCCAAAAACATTATTCAAACACTTCTTTATGGAGAATTCGAATATCTCATCCCGTTTCTAATGATTCTTCTTCATTTTTTCTTATCAACGCCATATTGGATTTTGGCATTTTGCATGTTGAATATTTTTCATAGCATTTCAAATATTAAAAATTCCTCTAAAAAATCCTCTAATTTCAACTTAACTTCAACACTGTTTTGTATTTCTTCGTAACAAAGTAAAAATCCTTCATCTTTTTCTAATTATAAGTCTCTATTCAAAACTATCTTAGCGAAACTTTGAGAACTCTTGAAGGGTTATCTCGAGGGTTATCTGGAACATGTTATAATACCTATGTATTATAAAAACTTTAATTGTTTAATGTTTCAAAGAGCAAGACTGGTGGGTAACCTACACTGATTCGTATTTCACCAGGGCAGAAATACCAAATAGATTCACTCTGCCAAAATTAAATTACTCAATCATACCATCACATCTGCACGACAATGACATCATTAAAGCAAGCCTATCACAAAATGCAATTAATTATCGCCAAGGTTGTGAACTATTATTGTGATTTAATTTAATCAGAAATGAGTCAGTGAGTGATCTTATCATAAAAGTTCAATTCAATAATTATTTATAACTATTTTTTTTAGGACACAATCTCTGCTCTTTGTACAAATAACCACAATGAGGAAATTTTAATTCATTCGTAATTTTTGGCAATGGCATAATCTCTAAAAATATAGCATAATGTGATATCCGAGGTGATATCATTCAGACAAGAGGCATTTATATAATGATAATCACTTACCAGTAGGTACTTACTGCACATTCCTTAATTTGATAAATTAAAGGAAATGAGACATACTTCTAGGAACACTAAGATACATGTTTAAGAAATTCAATTGTTTCAAGAGTTTTCTGTATTGAAATATGCATAATGGAACTATTTTGCAAGCATTTTTACACCCACATGAGAAATTCTGTCAGATTATTTAAAACAATGCATCTAATAGGTCAGTGACATTCAGCAAAAAAGTACACCTAGGTATTTACCTCACTTAAAAGTAATTGCGATAGACGTCCAAAGCAAGTTTTACAAAACTGTTCACATCTGTATTTGACACAAAATTAAAAGTAGGTTAGAATAGAAATTCAGTTTATTGATTTTATTATTTATATGCTCAAGACATAATATGATCTTTATGGTTTATTTAAGAGGCGGATAAATATAAAGAAAGGGTGCCTTTTACAAATCGTACCGTTCAGGTACCTACCTCACGATGAAAACAATTGCTTTGCAATGCATTAAAGGGATTTTAACGAAATTGTAAAACCGCCTTCGGGTATTTGTCTTACTTAATCTAACGCTTACGTTATTAGCAAATGTTATCCATTAAGTTTGATTCAAAAGTCTCAGATAAACGGCACACACATTCACAGCAAACTGGGATGGGCCACTAACTGTAAACAACAAACGAAACGACTCGTACCATCTCGCCCTCGAACTACCTCGTCCATTTAAAACTAACCTTTAATGTCGCAATTAAATTTTATTCACCGGCAATATTGAACTGATTTGACGATCGCTTCAGATTGATACACTCCGACAATTGTGGTACCCGTCTAATAACGACGATAAACGGTACGAATTATAAAAAAAATGTGTAGATTCGTGACGGTACTACTTTTTGTAAACGGTCGTGTATAAATACACACTTGAAGATTTAAATGGTTACGTCATTCGTATACATAGATTGTCACACCCTGTCAATACACGAATTTACATCGCGAACTAATTTGGATTACAATTGGGAATTCGCCGATTACGAAATTTAGGCGTTTATCCCCATGCACATTAAATAGTAGGCATTTAAAGATTATTGTCAATACTTATTGGCTCATTGACCTAATTGAATTAACATTCCTTGTATTTGTATAAGGTAATCTACGTGTTGCTTTGACTCATTGCCAATTTTAAGAATTCGTTTGGTCGCTTTGGTCTGGTGTACCAATTGCAAAGGACATTTTCGTGATGTTTACTTCATTTTATTTATGCTAATATAAATATAGGTACCATATACGTGATTGATGATAAACATAACACATCATATAACTCGTACGTCTATGCCTAATCATTCAATAAAAAAATGTCCTAATACAAAACACGTAGAAATATTGAAGCACGAGGCCACTGTGGAGCCGAGTACTTTAATTTCCGAGTCAAGTAGTGTCATTTTACTGAAGTTGTGTATTGAATTTTACCCGAAATCGTATTTTAATATGAAATTGCAATTTTCACATAGAACCATTGTATAATCAAAGGTGGCTAACATTCTAATATTTTTAATCATTGATTAACCTTAATCATCGTTTGTGAAACCAGGCAGGGATGTTGGTGTATTGTTTGTCTACTTTTAAATGACAAAATCCTTCTGAAGGGTGCCTAACTTTATGCACCCAAAATAACTTCTTAAAACAAATAGATCTGGCTGTCTTATTAATTAAATTGATTATTGTTGCTTTGGCTTACGTATTTTTACTTTCATTCGTGTGCGATGTAATCAACTGAAGAAAAAGTTGATATTGTCAATTGGTATAGTGACGGTAACAGTTTAAGGAGTGTAAGAGATTTGTTTTCTGTAAAGTTAAAGCAAAAATATTCAAATTAATTACCTAATGACAGTCAGATGCTTATTTGTTTTAAAAAGTTACTTTAGATGCATAAAATTAGACGTCCTTCAGAAGGATTTTATCATTTAAAAGTAGACATAGGAAAAAACAACATGTAAATCCATATATCTACTTTTTAAACATGTTTCACACTATGGTGACGCTCACACTCACACTCAAGGTATGCTCAAAATTGATACAATGAAATCAAATAAGTATAGGAAAAAGTGCGAAAAAGTTGCGAAGATCAAAAAGAAAATGGAGCCGCTAGTAGTTGCTGAAGAAAAGAGCATTTTCTCATGCAGTAGGTATTGTTGAACGAATTTCGACATCAACCCCAATGACTGGAAGAAATTGGAGAATGGATGAAAGTGTTGAGTTGTTAAGGTTAGTTTCTCCGTGTAGGTATTGTGAAGAAAAACTGAAACTGCGAGTCACAAATCGTAGCGATCGCGGCCGATAGCTGTAAGTTATTGTTCACACGTTCCAACTTATCGCTACGATTCGTCTAGTCTAATGTTTTCCTAGCTAGAGAAGGAATTCAATTTTATTGGTTAGTGTTTATTTATACATATTGGCTCCACCCTGCTCTTCTCATGAGCTTGAATTTTATGGTGCAAAACAAATAATACAATTTACAAGGCAAGTGACAAGATTGATAAGGCCAATAGTGAGATTTATTCGCCTCCATCTTTGATTTAGTATCACAAACTGTGCAACCAAAGGCGTTTTCTTTCGGTGATCCAAACGCGTTTGGATTGTCAAATCACGTTCTTTCGAAGTGTGATCTTATGATCATGATTGCTAAAATCGTGAACAAACTGAACATAAAAGTTTTATGATCACGAATTCCTAACCTATAAATGCAAGGATATTTTTGCTCAAATGTTAGATTAGTCAATATTTGTAACTGAAGAGGAGCATAATCGTGCAAGTACTTCCACTTGTAGTTAAATTATTTTCATAATCCAAACAAAAAATACGTAATTCGAATGCAAATGTGTGCTACGTAAACTTAACCCTACTTTTATTTAAATTCGCGTGTTCTTTCGTAAAACGTGATCCTACGAATCACGATCTTGAAATCATGATCGCGAAGTAGCCGAAAGAAAGCGCCTCAATAATAGAATTCATCGGTCGTCTTATTTTCAAACTCGTATGTCGAATTCGTTAATTTTTTGCAAACACAGTGTATGTTTCAATTTAGTGATTTTGGTTTTATTGTGTTGGTATAACATACTGATTAGCTGTCAAATTTTCTAAATTTCCTTTCCTTTCATAAGTTGACGACCAGTGTAACGTCCTGGTTCAGCACTTTCCATTTTCTGTAGGAAAATCGGTTACCTCGACCAGGAAATTTGAATAAACATGGTAAATATGCTCCGTCCACATACTAGCGATCAATAGATTTACTGTTATTGTATCTTTTCCAGTGCCATTAAAATGTTTGGTTATGTGCACACGTGTCTGAAATGTTTTTCTCTTTCTTTCAGGCAAGCTTAAAAGAAAATCCCGAAAAACCAGGGCAAGAGGCTGCACCTATCCATCGCATTCGTATTACCTTAACCTCCAGAAATGTGCGATCATTGGAGAAAGTCTGTTCTGATCTCATTACTGGGGCAAAGAAGCAAAAGCTGAGGGTGAAGGGTCCAGTTCGCATGCCGACGAAAGTTTTACGCATAACTACACGTAAAACTCCTTGCGGAGAGGGTTCTAAAACTTGGGATCGTTTCCAAATGAGGATTCATAAGCGCGTGATCGATCTTCACTCGCCCTCTGAAATTGTCAAGCAAATTACGTCAATTTCAATTGAGCCAGGTGTAGAAGTAGAAGTTACTATCGCTGATGCATAAGTTTTATCTATTTTGATAATTAAAATAAAATTTGTGTAAATTTTCTTTTATTTCATTACACCAAATTGCAGATATTTGTAACTTTTGGATGTACTGTGCGATCAAAAATTACTTGCTGTCTAGTCACCTTTGGAACTTTTGTTTATTTTGTTAACTTCCAAAAGTGACTCGACAGCAACTCATTTTTGATCGCCCGTTACCAGTTGTGTATTAAGAACAGTGGCTCCATGATTTAGAAATATTTTAACTGATACACCATCTATTGACTAGGCGCTGGACACTAACTTCAATGTGTATTAAATCAAAAGCACCTTATAAATTTGACAGTGAAGAAAATGCAACTTTGACCTCGATGACCAATCCTGCTTGCTGCCTAGGAATATTTCTGTAATAGTATTAAGAACCCAAAACTTTTCGATATCTTGTATATTTTCCCTGATATCAGGGACGGACCTAGACAAGAAAATTGGGGGGGGGGGGCAGACATGACATTTTGCCAACTCAACTCAAAATTTCCAACTCAAATGGGTAGTATCTATTAAGTATTAAGTGGTATTTCCAAGTCTAATAAATCATGTAGGATATCAGTATACGGTCTCTAATACTAATTAAAAGCATTACCAAAATACCAACCTTGTGTTGAAGAAGGAAGTGACTTTCCTATTAAAGTCTTTTTTATAGATTTTGCCGCAATTCCTCATTCCTTCAATGGTCGATTTATCTACTTTCGCGGCATTCGCCAACTGGTAATGAAAATTACCAACTCTTGTCAAAATTGCCAACTAGTTAAGTATTGGAGGGACAGCCTGCCCCCCCATAGGTCCGTCGCTGAGTATACTACGCAAAGTACACTGGCAGACGCTTCTTGTCCAGACCTTTCATTTTCTCTTCGAGAGTACACACCCTCTTCTGAGATTTCGAAATATACGGATTTGAAAGTGTTGACCCCTACCGAGATATGTGTCTTTCAGACATTCCATTTTCTTGTTGAGAGTGCTCTTTTCCAAGCAATATGTAAAGGCGTTGAGTTATTTAAATTGGGTCATAGGCAAATTTACATTGCATCAATTGTTTCAGTCATAGCTTCCTCGCGAATCATCTGCCACAGTACTGTAGAAATTGTTGCTAGATCAACAAATTTGTTCAAATGAGATATAAACGTATAAAATTACAATCGGTGCTCGAATTGTCTTCTACCAGCAACCAAACAATACTTTTTTACTTGGCACTGACAAGCCCGCATTACCACTCAGCTACTGTGCCCACTCTTGTATAAATTGTACATCAACATCTTTTCAGCGGCGGAGCGGAATACATGTTGCCGCTTCGTTGATGCAATTTGAAGGATTGAGATCGAGAACTGTCATGAAATAACTATAAGTGCTGGCCAAGATTTGAGAACAATTTGCGCAATGTAAATTTCCCTATGGCCCATTTTAAATAACTTAACGCCTTTACATTGCGTTATGATAATTGATAGGTGTACTTTCTATGGCCCATCTTTAAAAAAACACCCTGTATGGTTATACCGGGTGATTCATTATAGAAGTGATGACAGTTTGAATTTCCCGCAAATCAAAAAAATTATGAAGTTGGTAGGTACTTACTGATAATCATTTATTTAATTGCAGTGGTGTATCATCATGCTTTCAGTAAATCGTTTACTTATTTATAATCTACAAATACTGCTTCTGTTTTACCACAAATTATAAACATAACACTAGACACAGTCACGTTTCTTACATATTTTAGTGCATCAACTCTAAAAATGGTTCAAAATGGAAAAGTAATAAACCGCAAATGGCACGCAACAATTAACGGCGACACTGGTTCCTTAAATGACAGTCATGACAGAACAAAATTACTAACGAAATTCAAACCGTCAATTTAATAATGCAAAAAACACTAAAACCTTACGCGCGAAATTCAAGATATCATCACTTCTAATGAATCACCCGGTACTACGTATAAAAAGATCGACACTTCTGTCGACTTCGTAAACCTCACTACGACCCAGTCCTGTTTATGAATGATCGAATTATAAGTGTACCCCATCAAGAGGTCAAGTTCCTGGGGTTAACATTTGACCGTGAATTAAGATGGTTTAGACACCTGCAAAACATTGTTACTACAAGTAGGAGGTTGCTGAACATAGTCAGAGTTTTAGCTCATAATAAATGGGGTGCGCATGCTAAGACTCTACTTAACATACTTATACAGAGCATTGATTCTATCAAAAATTGATTATGGTAGCCCTGCCTACCTGACATGCGGTAACAACACTTTATTAGGAGCACTAGATAAAATCCAGAACCTTGCAATAAGGTATTCTCTTGGAGCATACCCAACAACTCCTGTCGCCTCACTTCACGTGGAAGCAAACATTATTCCTTTAACTCTTCGCCGAAAGCAGATTCTGCGGTAAACTATTATCTTAAAGTGTCTCTAGATAACAGTCACCCGAACCATCACTTGCTTACAAATGAGATCACAAATGCTCGTCTAAATAGATGTAGAACGATAGGAGAAAGAGCTAGAGAAGAACTGAGACACTTAGAACTCCATGAAGCAAATTTTGCAGATTTGTCTAAAATAGTTCGAGGCAGGCTTGTAAAAGCTCAAATAAATGAGCGTTGGAGTGACCAGTGGAGGACATCTGACACATTCTTGAAGAGGGTCAAGCCCAGCCTAGGACCACTGTTTCTTGTTAATACGAATCGTTCCGCTTTGATAAAACTATATAGACTCCGGCTTGGCCATACTGCCTTGACACATTGTTTTTTTGTTGGCCGGTGAAGATCATCCTCATTGCGTAAGGTGTGATGTAAACCTAACACCGGAGCATATAGTTTGTGTTTGTCCAGAATACCAAGATGCCCGTAACCTCTATCAAATAAGTGACATATGGGAAGAGAATTTTAGCACTGTAAATAAATGCTCAGAAGTACTGCGATTTCTAAGCACCATAAATGTGATAAGTAAACTGTGATAAAATGTTTGTAATAATATGTCCTATGACTGTACGTTTGAGCTGAAAATCTGTGATATATATGTAACTAGTATGCATCTTAAAACTGTGATATCTTAGCTGCTATAAGTAGGAAATAGATTGGCAAATGGCCTTAGAAGCCGAAGCCTCAGGTGGGGTTTTAGTGGGTATGCCCAAATAATGGGAGAGTCCCACACTACTCCAGACCTCCATCTGGAGTGTGCGTAATGCATTTCCCCACCTGTCCAAAAAAAAAAATAAAAATAATTATTGTCTCCATAGACAAAGCATTGTCTCCTTCAGACGTTTCCCACCCTCCAACATCATAGATCATGAGTTGTGCGAGTGATAACAGCGCAAAAATATAAGTTTCGAGAAGCGCCCCAAGCAGTGACGACTCCCCCCCCCCCTCCGCGCCTGTGCTGAAAATAGAATCATTGAATTTATAGAAATCATAATCATTGAATTTATACGCCCAAAATCGTATTGAACTAACGTTTACCACCCCTCCCTATATAAAATTGTTGGGGTGTAATTTAACACCTTCAAAACTAAAATTGACTTGCTCGATTAACCGGGCAAAAAAATACAACGAAATTCTGGAAATAATGGTTAGTAATTTTGGGAAAGTGAAGAGCAAGTTCTAACGAAATTTGATTAGTTATTTTTAATATAAATACCAACGTCACTTATCTTGTGACCTTGGGGAAAAACAAAGGGCAATTTACAACAAATTCTGGAGAGAAACCGAGGAAATTATGTGCGATACAGAAATTCTCAAAAAATATATGATGAAACGATGAAAAAATAAGAAAAATCTCAGGACCGATGAAATTCTAGGTAACAATGAAGACTATTTGGAAAAGAAACTTTTTTAAATAAATACTTTCTCATTTCAATGTGTTGTATGGGGCTGATTAAATTCTCTTATATGCTGTCCGAATTTCCATATGTATGTAATCAAGGAAAAAAAAGAGTAGGTCAGACCTGAAGTTGTAATTAATGCAAAATAAACGAAAGTATAAAAATAATAAATTTACTTATTACTTTTATTTTTTTAAATTATAATATTTATCGTAAGATTACTGTTTTATTACTGCAATGGAATGAATACTTCAAAGCAAAAATCTAAACGCAATATTTAAAATAATACTATAGTAGTAAATGACAAAAATCACAAATATTTCAAGTACAACTTTGGTTACCTCACCTTACAATTAATTATAGACATACAAATAAGTTCAAACAAAACTATTTATTACTACAAAAAATCATAGTGTGTTAATACAAATGATGATACATTCTAAAAATGAAGCATGTGAAGTCATATAAAGTGAAAGGGAATTATACAAATCAAGACTGAAAATTGTTAAGTGTTCCTATATTCTAATATTTTTTTGTTTTTTTTAACATTTATTATGTATATACTTACTAGGACCTTAAAATGACACCAAGGCTTACTTAGATAATATTAGCTCATACCTGTTCAACAAAACATACTACAAACACTACCTATATCTAAAGCATACAGTAACATACAAAAAAACGATGAGCTTATGCACATTTGAATTTGTACTTTTACAATAAATGATTGTTATATAGTACTTAAAACATACCTCTACCTCCCGTCTATCTAACTAATTACACTTTATAGAAAATATATTTCTTATAGTATTTTAGTCAACACACCTAAATATAAACAATGATCTCTAATAAAAGAAGTAATTCTATTAATTAAATTAAGTAATATACTAGTATTGTAACAGGTATGAGAACCGGTCTGGATGTTAACTACTCTATGAGATACAGCATACATATATTTTGAGCTCCAAGAGAGGATGGCAAAATTTGCGAAGTCGGTGATAAGATAGCGAATCCAAGAAACATGAATGTGCGAATTAAAGTGGATCGATCTGGGCGATCTTTTTCAAAAACCTGAAATTAATAAAACAAATAATATTAGCTACATTTGATTTTTAATGTCAAATTCGGGCATATTATGTACTATTGATTTGATATTTGTGTATTGTTATAAACACCTTTCTGTTGTCATTTTGGCAGAACTATGTAAATATTTACATTGGTCAGTGGCCAAATTATATTAATTAGGAGGTAAAAATGGGCAATAATTTTACGGTTTTAAGTGTTAACAAAAAGATCTGTCAATTTGCAAAATATTATCGTCTTATTTATCAACCTTCAAACTTAAACACCGTAAATAGCCCATTGTTTTTGAAAACTATTTCTAAACAATTACTGGGAGTAATCAAGGTACGTCGACCGTAGTAAATGATAACAATTTTTTATTTTTTAAGGATAAAACAATATTCGAATGGATTTGTGGCAAATCCATACCAGGGCAGGTAATATGTTATGGTTCATTAAATAATTGTTATAGCGTTCATAAAAATAAAAGAGAAAATGTGCCAAAATTTAAGCTGGCATGGATTATGTTTACATCAATGCCAATTGATCTCACTTTTGCGCAGTTAACTTTATTTTTATATGACTATTAGAGATAGCTTATCAATTATCATGCATAAAATGATGTGCTTTTGTATAAAAATAAATGTGTAAACTCACCACAACCACATGTCTACATTTTAACTGTTCTTCGGCCGCTTCTAAAAGTGCAATAAAAGCCTCTCTTGATCCTTCAGGAAGCATCGTGGGAGGTAGTGCGACAAATAAAGTTTGTTTAAGCAAGACTGCATCCCAGGGTTGACGAGCTGTTTTAAAAGTAAGCCTTAGTGGTGGTGGACCTTCGTTTTCCTTGTTAGGGACATCAGGACCACCACAGAGGCCCTGTGCCCAGAGACACCTTAAAACAGTCGGCGAAAGACGCACTCATAGCTGAACGTTTACTATTTAACATAAACTCCTCCCTGAAAATAAAAAAAAACATGTCAATAGGCTTACTGAGAATATAGAAAAAATCGGAAACACAATTCAGATACCAACCGGCTTCATACGCTGTTTTAGAATAATTACCAGATATAACACATAATGTTTAATAATAACCCACCTTATCTGTGCCAAAGCAAAAGTTCTTTGGGAATTATACATTGCCACACAATTCATTGCAGTTTTGAGTCGACTATTGGCGTTCCAAGCGAAAACAGGGATTTTTAATTTGAATAAGTTGAACTGCGCCCTAAAATTGTTTTGTATCTCTCACTACCTAAAACATGCGTACAATACTAAGAACTGCAAACTTGTGGTTATAATATCGGAAACCTATCTAAGACTGAACTGTTGATTACACATATCACTGGATATTGTAGGCAAAATGACGAAACATCATAAGTGAACCTTGACGGTGGACAATTTTTGTACAAAAACGATCGTTCACACATAAAACATGTAACGACGGTATTTTAAAGAAAGTTTAGGCAGCCTATTTGATTCTTTAACGCAAAATATTATTAAGTGTATAATTTGAGACTTTGTGGGTGTAAAATTTAAATGCATTGTGTTCTGGTTCGAAAATTTTCTTGCAGTAGTAATCGGAAGCCAATAGATTAACCTTGAGATTAACGAATTTTTTATGATTTTCCAGTGCCGAGATTTACAGACGGACGGACGGATGAATAAAAGGCTCATATGCACAAATTTTCCCTAGAAGGGACTTTTTTAAAATTTAAAGTCAATTTGTTTTTATGCAAGCGTTAAAAGTCAGTCAGGTGGCATTACTAGCACCAACAATACGGTTCAAGATTACTTTCACAATTTTCTTATAGAATATACTCTCAATGAATAAATAACAAAAATTGTAAAAAAAACATACTTCGCCATCAGAACTCAAACTTTGAACTAAAAAGTGAAATATAAAAAATAAAGGGTATGGCAATATTAAATTTTGATAATTATTTAGCCTTTTTTTAAGATGATGGACTAACAAATAATCAACTAATAAACTGATTATCCAAATTAGCTATGATTACTTAATTAAAATATAAAAATATTTAATTGTAGTATCATTAACGTTTTTTTCGTAGCGTTCATAATTAATAGGATTGTTTGGGATCGCGTGTTTTCAGATTCTTTCTAATCGGGCTTGTGGCAGTAATTTGATGATTACAGCGGCAGCAAGTCTGGGAATTGTAGCAAACATTTGAGAATTGTAGTAATTTGCAAACGACTTTTTTGTACACATCTGTAGTTAACTATGTTTCTCGGACCAAGTCGAATGCGCAAACAGCTCTATCCTTGGTCATAGTTGTGATAAAAGAAAAAACTGCTTCATAAAAAGGTGTTTATCGAGGATGGCGTTTTTTTAAATTTTTGTTTTGAATCTAAATAAAAAATATCAATTCAGAAAGTTCGAAAAAATGTTCAACAAATGAGGTGGCGTGATATGTCAGCACATCCTTTGTTAGGCTGTGATTACTAGCAAATATTAGATTATTAAAAATTTAAATTTTTGGCCATTTCTGCTGATTGTGATTTTTTAAGGGTACCGATTTGTTTAAGGGTGGCCTTGAGAAACTGTTTTAAATACTTTCTAGGATTATAAAAGTACTGCAGGTGCAATTAGAACCGCTAACAGAGATTGCGTTTTCAAACCAGGTGTCAAATTCTTGACAGAATAGCTTCCTAGCTGAAACCAAAAATTGCCAACATATGTACGCACTTACAGACGGGAAAAATTTATTCTTTAAATTGCTTAGAATGATCTAAAACGTCAATTTTTACGCATGCATTTTGTTTGCTTTTATTAGAGGGACCTACCATCCAAATTTCGTTAAAATTGCTCCATAAATAAGAAAGTTGGATGTTGCACATGCGCAACACTCTTTTTGCGCATGCATTTTGTTAGCTTTTATTAAAAGGACCTACCATCTAAATTTCGTTAAAATTGTTCCATAAATAAGAAAGTTGCATTTCTGCGCATGCGCAACACGATTTTTGCGCATGCATTTTGTTTGCTTTTATTAGAGGGACCTACCATCCAATTTTCGTTAAATAAGAAAGTTGGATGTTGCACATGCGCAACTCGATTTTTTGCGCATGCATTTTGTTTTCTTTTATTAAGAGGACCTACCATCCAAATTTCGTTTTAATTGTTCCATAAATAAGAAAATTGCATTTTTGCGCATGCATTTTGCTTGCTTTTATTAGAGGAACCTACCATCCAATTTTCGTTAAAATTGCTCCATAAATAAGAAAGTTGGATGTTGCACATGCGCAACTCGATTTTTTGCGCATGCATTTTGTTTTCTTTTATTAGGAGGACCTACCATCCAAATTTCGTTAAAATTGTTCCATAAATAAGAAAGTTGCATTTCTGCGCATGCGCAACACGATTTTTGCGCATGAATTTTGTTTGCTGGTACAGGGACTTACCATAGAAATTTCGTTTAATTGCTTCAGAAACAAGATCGTTGCGTTTTGCACATATGCAACACAATTTTTTGACTTTGACAATTTTTGTCTCCGTTTTTTGATAATATAACCCGGCCCAATTTTTTGTAGGTTGTACACAGGAAAATAAGGTCTTCCAAATAATAGAATAAAAATTTTAGGTTGCTATTTGAAAAAAAAAAGTTCGATGCCGTTACGGCGCTCCAAAATTTTTTTTCAAAAATCCGGCCCGTTATTTTTCTCTTCGGTATGCCTAAAATATACAAAATTTCAACAAAATCTGTCGAGCCGTTTTCTCAGAAAATTGCCAACAAACGTACGTACGTACGTACGTACATACAGACGGAAAAAAATTTTATTCTTTAAAAGTTGCTTAAAATGGTCTAAAACGTCGACATTTGATGAAATTTTGAAATGTTCAAAAAACGGCTATCGCAATAGCTACCTAGCACATGCTAGGAAGCTAAAAATGGGATGAAGTGCGAAATTGGCGCATCATTTGTTGGACTGTGATTATGGACCTTCACTAAAATTCGTCTAGAACTGTACGACTGTTATACTCGAGATTATGCTTCTATATGAATAATGTTCAGTTTATAGGACCCAAAAATTCAATAAATTCAATAAATGACCGATTTCCGTACAATTTTGCGAAACAGTATCGATTTTCATAAAAATTTGGATTTAGGTTCTACTTACCCTCTTCTTCAAAGTTGCCCCTGGAAATGATAACTTTTGAATTTCAAATAGAACCCCCTATATATTATTACATATTTCGATAGAGCATGGCATTCTGAATACGTATACCACTTCCACTTTTGACATTTTAATCTCAAAATATTTTAATTTTTAGATTTTAGCCGAATGTTAAAACAGTTGTAATTGAAGTGGAAAAATTCATTTCACAACATAATTTTGTATGAAAAAGCTTTGAAAACAAAAGTCGGTTTTTTCGATTCGATTTTACAAAGCTTTCTCAACTAACATTACTATGTCATGGCACACAACATTTAAAAATTTAAATATTTTAGTATTAAAATGTAAAAAGAGTGTCAAAATTTTGAGAGTCATAACGACTTGAAGAAATTTAAAAAAACACTAGCCAAAAACTCTACAAAAAAGTTCATTACTTTTTTTTGTGAGTTCCTTTGTTTTTGAGAAGTTTTGAATTGAAAAGTTAAACTATTTATTTTATTTTTCTAAATTTCATTTTTCTCTAAAAGTAAGCATCAGAGTGAAAAATGTCAATAACAAAAAAGATGAATCTTGATGAGGTCTACAAAAAAGGCGCTAGAGGGCATTTTCTAAATGTAGTAGTCGGAAAGTCAAGTCAGGAGTTTGCCTGACAACTAGTTTTAAATGCTTTTGTATTTAGAAATTTTTTTTGTAAAGACAGAAGTCTCTTTAATATCTGTAAAAAAGCAAAAAAAATAAATAATACTAGGGGTGCCGCGAGTTTGAGAAACACTGTTGTAGATGATTAATCTTGAGTGAAAATGCTTAATATATTGACGTATATTTTTAAAAATCCATCATTTCTCAAAAAAAAAAGGTTTCTTGGCTAAATAGTTCATAAATGAGTCCAAAATGATCCGTACTTTTCCATACACATGTTTAGATTTGCCACACTGCCTTCTGCGCATGTGTGCTTTGAGTTAGTGCTTCAGGAACAAGAAACTAACAGTCGCGCAAGCCAACATATCTTCTTAATTTTTTTTAATCTGTCCACAAGCGGTTCACTACTGGCGCATTTACTTTACAGAATATTAAAAAAAATTAGGTAGTAGAGGGGACCAAAACAAACATATTTTTGCAAATAAACTGGAAATCCGCAGTTCCGCTTGGGTATGGTCCCAGTCTAGTGTTGTGAAGTTACAAGTTTTTTTTAAACTGCGTAATATTACGCGCAAAATTACCAATTGTTTATGTTTTTTATGGTATTTTATGTAATTTATGTTTTTTTTAATATTCCATAAACCTTATTGAATTTTGTGAGTGTTTGAAAACAAATACACTTGTTAAATAAAGTACCCAAGCAGTAGGTATTTCGTCATCATGCGTCGTTTGGAAGAAGTTCCAGATCGCGAATTAGATGCTGTAGCCTGTAGCATCTTCATTAAACCAAACTAGGCTCAACGGTGAATCGTTTACGTTGGTAGTACAGTTGATGGTATGTGGTAGTACCGATCAAAATGTATCAAATAGCGATTACATTTATGTACATTTACAAAAATTACTGTTTTTTAAATAAAAAAACGTAAGTTACGTAGATTTCATAAAAGGCATAAATTAAATTACATAAAACAACCGACCTCTTGTAAAGTTACGTGTAATATAACAGTTTTTGATGTAACTTACAAATCGTTATTTTACAATTCACATCACTAGGTCCCACACTAGAAGTTCTTTTTAGCGCATTTTTTAAGAATGAAAAAAATGTGCTATTGTTTGCGTTTTGTCCGTCCGGACCCAATTCTACCGTTTTGAAGTACTTCTAGGCGAATGGTCCTCGAGTCCTGAAATTTTTTGCAGTATACCTCGAAGGTGTGCCAGACGGCCATCAAATTTCGCTGTCTAAAAGGGGGCCCCCCACGAATTATTTCCTGAGATGCTGTTTTTGAAAGTAAAACGGATGGACGGACAAAACGCAAACATTAACACATTTTTTTTAATTTTTAAAAAATGCGGTAAAAATGGGATTGCGCAAATACAAAAGTTGTAATGCACATGCGCAATATGTTTAGCATCTGCATAGTTGCTGAAGTTTAAGCAATATTTACTAACACATAACCGAACATTCATATGTTCTTTGTAACAAGACATATAAAATAAACCTTTTTTGGAGGTTTGGTAAGTTTTTGGACTGTAACTGTAAAACAATAGCGACCTTTCATAAATCCTGAAGAACATGTGTATCAATTTTCAAAGCGATCAGACGTTTCTACACAAAGTTATCGTGCACACGGACAGACAGACGGACAGCAATACAAAATTATAAGTTATTATAAGTAAGAAATAGAAAGTTTATTTCTAACAAATTATAGTTCAACGATTTAATAATAATAATAATATAATAATAACTTTCTATTAAGAGACATAATCAATAAATTCTTGCACTGAATAGAAAAACTTATTTTCTACCTTTTTCGTTTTTAATTGATTTTTTATTATCAACGGGATTAAGTAGTGGCTTGTGTGTAAAAAAAATTACGTATGTGCATCGATGAGACTTCAGCGCATTTTTGGCGTGACGGATCAGTATTGCATTAGCAATCAGTATTTTATCAGAAAATTTTAATTATAAAATAAGGTTTATGCAAACATATATTTCTTTATTAATTTTCACGAACTCTAATAATAATTGGACGATGGTATGAACAGTACGACTCGTAAACCGAACAATCAACAGTGTAGTTGACCATTTTGCCAAAAACTCCGTCAATTATTGTTCCGCCATTCGTTGTCACTGTTCGGGGAGAGATGATCACTATATTGAATTTCTCTTGAAGAAATTTCTCTACCCGATTTCCGACAGTTAATGGGAAATTAAAGTCTCCCATAATCAAGACGTCTTCAGTTGCCTCAATGAAATCCCCGATCTCCGATAACGCTGCAATCAACAAGTTGTTGCCTTTACTAGGAGCATCAGTGGTTCAAATTTCAAAGAAATATCTCCATAAATAAGAAAGTTGGCATTGCGCAGTCACTGCGCATGCCTACACATAATTTTTACTATTTGCGAAATGTTTGCCTTTACTAGAAGCATCTGTGGTTCAAATTTCAAAGAAATATCTCCATAAATAGGAAAGTTGGCATTGCGCAGATCCGCACACATAATTTTTAGTATGTGCGCAATGTTTGCCTTTACTAGAAGCATGTGGGGTTAAAATTTCAAAGAAAAATCTCAGTAAATAGGAAAGTTCGCATTGCGCAGTCACTGCGCATGTCTACATAATTTTTACTATGTGTGAAATGTTTGCCTTTACTAGAAGCATCTGTGATTAAAATTTCAAAGAAATATCTCCATAAATAAGAAAATTGCCATTGCGCAGTCACTGATAATTTTTACTATTTGCGAAATGTTTGCCTTTACTAGAAGCATCTGTGGTTCCAATTTCAAAGAAATATCTCCATAAATAGGAAAGTTGGCATTGCGCAGGGACTGCGCACACATAATTTTTAGTATGTGCGCAATGTTTGCCTTTACTAGAAGCATCTGTGGTTAAAATTTTAAAGAAAAATCTCAGTAAATAGGAAAGTTCGCATTGCGCAATCACTGCGCATGTCTACATAATTTTTACTATGTGAAATGTTTGCCTTTACTAGAAGCATCTGTGGTTAAAATTTCAAAGAAATATCTCCATAAATAAGAAAGTTGGCATTGCGCAGTCACTGCGCATGTCTACACATAATTTTACTATTTGCGAAATGTTTGCCTTTACTAGAAGCATCTGTGGTTCCAATTTCAAAGAAATATCTCCATAAATAGGAAAGTTGGCATTGCGCAGTCCCATTCCGCAGGGACTGGGCATGCGCACACATAATTTTTAGNCGGGATGGACGGACAAAACGCAAACATTAACACATTTTTTTTAATTTTTAAAAAATGCGGTAAAAATGGGATTGCGCAAATACAAAAGTTGTAATGCACATGCGCAATATGTTTAGCATCTGCATAGTTGCTGAAGTTTAAGCAATATTTACTAACACATAACCGAACATTCATATGTTCTTTGTAACAAGACATATAAAATAAACCTTTTTTGGAGGTTTGGTAAGTTTTTGGACTGTAACTGTAAAACAATAGCGACCTTTCATAAATCCTGAAGAACATGTGTATCAATTTTCAAAGCGATCAGACGTTTCTACACAAAGTTATCGTGCACACGGACAGACAGACGGACAGCAATACAAAATTATAAGTTATTATAAGTAAGAAATAGAAAGTTTATTTCTAACAAATTATAGTTCAACGATTTAATAATAATAATAATATAATAATAACTTTCTATTAAGAGACATAATCAATAAATTCTTGCACTGAATAGAAAAACTTATTTTCTACCTTTTTCGTTTTTAATTGATTTTTTATTATCAACGGGATTAAGTAGTGGCTTGTGTGTAAAAAAAAGGTCAAGTGGCCTTTCAGGTAAACAAATCCTTCCCTTAATTTCCTCCTAAACCTCGTCCAAAGCTCTTCTTCAGCTTTCCCCATAGTTACAAAATTGTGATCAGAACAATATAGGTAAGTAAATGGGTAAGCATTTCAATAATAAAACGTTTGAATCAAATTCAAAACTTTCGTCACATTCATGAATCCATGAAACCAGGGCTCTCTACTTTGATACCCTTGACTCCTCGACACAATTTTATTCAATGCTTCTTGGGCTTATGATTAATCCGCCACTGCCTATAATACAGTGACAAAATTATTGCGCCTAAGGCAACATCTGTTGTGCTTGTGTAACGCGTATTGGTAGTTGTATAGTAATCCTCGACACTACAATTTGATTACATTTTTGTGTAGATAAATTAAAAATTGCTTCAATTATCTAAATTGGAATATAAATATTTTAAAATTCCACCTGGAACGTCATTGTATATTTTGGTGTCAGTTATCTTCACTTTACAGATTAAGATTAACCATTCGCAATGTTCGAATATAATAAGATTTGTTATCAGACAGTTCAAGTGCCATTTACCATTCCGCAATTGGGATATTTATCACCATGCAGAATGGAGTTTTATCATACAGAAAGTAAATTAGGCTGTAGGTATTTTTCTGCATGAAAATAAAACGTTGCAACGCTCGAATGTGGCAATGGAAATGTCATTGCATAAATACTTAGTTATTAAAAGAACTGTATTTTAGCTAATTAAACAAAGTAATTTCACTAACTATCATTAGCCTTACTACGAATTACGGATAACATAAATAAATTGTCGATAACAGCAATAATAAACGATTTTAAAAATAAATATTCAGTTTAACTTTGGACTACAAACAGTGGAAAATTCCACGTTAAGAGTACAGTAGACCAAATAAATAGTCGCCTGCATCAACGCCTACTTGAAGGTTTATAATTAGCCGTGTGACTAGTTCACTTCACTAGCACAAAAATGTAACCTTACACATATTACTGATAATAATGTAGGAAAGTTCACCTAAAAATCATGACAACTACCAATTGGTACAATTTACGCGCCCACGTGCTCCGCGAGTGTATCAAAACACACATCATAGCCATTCGGCCACCCATAACACACATTTTACTTTTGAATTTTGACCTGTCTACGTGATACAAATAATGACAACAGCGAAGGGATTATAATTAAAATATCTACTTACATATTATTTCTTTTTAACACGGCAAGCATCTCTTCTAAATTACTCTCTGAATTATCTGGATTACTTAATGCTTCTGAAGCACTAAAATTCATAATTAAAGAAAATTAAGCACTTAACGGCACACGTTCACTTCGTAAGGAGTTTTCGCATTGAAGAAAATTAACATTTAATAAGACCCGCAATGACAGCCAACATCCGATACCACCTCCACATTTCCTTTGTTCAATGACGTTCATTAGTCACTTGAACTACTCGCGATCGCGCATTGTAACTACTCGCACGAGCGACATTTAAAATGCATCGGTTATTTGCTGGTTGCATTCTGTTAACACCATTTAGTTTAGTTTAGTCCGACCACGGTCCGTTTCCGCAGCTCTTTTGTTTCAGCCCTTTTACAATACAACAAATGTTCGCAAATAGTCAGCTATTTCTACGTGTGTGTTCGTTCGTAACACACTTTGGGAAATATCGGGCGATCAAAAATGAGTGACTGTCGAGTCGCCTTTGGAAGTACAAGTTAAGTACGATTTCCCTTGTAAACAAAATTTCCAAAGGTGACTCGACGGTCACTCATTTTTGATCGCTTTGTATTATAACGAAGTACGTACACCAATAATAGAAATCATATGTCCATGACGCGAATGCGCGCTATTTTGGCCATGTTTATATGGAGATTCGCAATTCAGCAACACTATACACGGTGCCCATTTTTCGAGTGCCACTATGGCGATCTCGCTTACCTTAAGAGATAGAAATTTGGTTAAATGAGGGCAAGTTGCGCATTTTCGTGCTGAATAATAATCTGAAAAAAAATTTAAAATATTTTTAGTAGATTTAAAAATATCCCAAAAAAAACGAAAATTTCTGTTTTTTTGGTTTTAATTTTTTCATAGTAAAGTAGATAATCGTACTAGACATTTCTAATTAACACATTATTCAGACACTTTTTAATGGAGATTTCGAATATGGTATCTCATTTTTAATAACTTATAAGATGACCGAGAAACACGTAGCAACTTTAGTTTTTCTTATAGGCGCCATTTTAAATTTCGATATTTTAAGATTACATCTTTTTTTTCACTTTACAACGATACACTTAGTGGTTCATCAGTATCACATTTTTCCTAAATATACATAATTTTTAATTTTTTGGGAAGAATGCTTTGGAAAAACAAAACGTTCTTTTATTGTGGACAAAAATTTGACAGTTTGATCCATCTGTCTGGTTGCAGCATTGGCAGGGAACTCGTGTTGAGAAAATTCGATTTTCATCTGAACAAAATTGAACCTTCGTTTTGCAAGAAAATTATAATTCAAATTAGAACAAAATACAAAAGAATGAATAATATTTTCGAAATAAACAATCATTAGTCGCGAACAAAAGAATGCAAATGCAAAACATCGGGTCGTATGAATAAAAATAAGCAAATGCTTATACTTGCAAAATTCAAAGTAAATACTCGTAACTGCCCCTTCATGCTGGTCTGTTTAGCAGCATTGCACTGCGTCCTGTCCTGCTGCTCAGCAGCGCTGCTAAGTCGCCCAGTGGGAAGGAGCACTTACGAGTATTTACTTTGAATTTTGCAAGTATAAGCATTTGCTTACTTTTATTCATACGGGCCATCGTTTGATAGACGTGGCGGGGTGACGGGTGACTATACCATATTGCAGCGGTCTATTTCCATATTTTTAAAGAGAGCGGATTTTTCCGGGAAGAGGATCCATTGTAACCCGACAGGAATGTCATCAACGTCGATTATTGTAGCGAGTGCCCAGTGGCCTCGCTTTAAAGAAAATAAAGAAAAGGTCGGCCAAATGCCGTGGATCAAATGACGAGCAATATTACTCACTTGCCATAACATATAATAAATTTTAATAATATTAATTATAAAGATTAACAATAATATAATTAGTGAAATACTGAAGCGTACAGGTGAGCTACTTTCTTAATTACGATTCTAGGGGTCTATATTTACGCAATCCGGCCAATACGTCTTGTATGATGGTTAAGCTGGGTCTCGAGATGTCCCTGATGTGTTTTATTAGAAGGTGACTATCAATGTGCGACGATGGTGGTCATCAAGGGGTGGCCGTTTACCTCGCGTGGCCATCGCGGGAACGGGATGTTTATTGTGTCCACCACTGGTCCCTGGTTACTACCCTTGGCGTCGACAATTATCGGCCTCGGAAGCGTATTGGAAATTCCAAATGTAGCAATAACAAAAAAACCTTGTGAAGGCTCACGTCTTTATAGTTTGAAAAATGTATGATCGAGCGAGCAATAGCACTCGTGCCGCTGGTTGACAACGAAAAGGAAAAGCCCAATGTTGGCGCGGTGTATGTGAGCGCCGAAAATTTGTAAGTGGGAACGAAGAGATAACTTACGGAAACCCGATCTATACATGATATACAGCGTGTACCGTAACATTATTACCGTAAGTTGTTTTAATATATTTTGCATTATATAAAATAGTGTTTGGTTATTTTTTAGGAATCTGATGCATATTGATTTTGTTGAAAGTAACTTTGATATTCCTAAAGAAATCGACTAATGAGAACCAGATTCAAGCAAAGAATGTTGGTTAATTTGTTTCAGTGATTGGTAAATTTATTTGCATTTAATTTCAGTATTACTGCTCTTTTGAGTGGATTGAAATTTTCGTTCGTATTTGTGTTCATTAATTAATTTATGCAATCAACAAAAATCATAAATAAAATAAATAAATAAATTTCATTGAATTTCAGATTTTAGTTCTGTTCCTGCTTACGCAAAAAATATGTTGTATTCTCTGCTTCCGCTTATGCTCTCCTTGCATCACTATTAAATATTGAATGGTTATAAAAATACATATCCAAAAGTTGAACAAAATCTGTAGAGCCGTTGGGTTTCCAGATCTAAAAAGTAGGATTACTTGAGAACGCCTTTAGACCCACAGTTGGGTCCTTAGAAAGATTGTACATGACTAAAGGGCGTTTCCCAGTCTACAATGAGTAGATATATGAGACTATGTTTACCACTCTGAGTTGATTAAATAATATTGAGACCAATCTTGATGTTATTAATCTTGCAATACGTACGCTCTTTCTTACAGAACCAGTATTTTTTTCAGTATGTACAAAAATGTATGAAATTATTTAGTGCAATTTTGCACATATTTTATATTGTGAACTCCATGATTACTTCTAGGTAAATGCAATGTTGTATTAGTGGATTTATCTTATTCTCTAAGAAATAAAAATTACTTCTGTGAAAAAATATATATATATTTCCAGACAATAATAAATGCTTAATTAGAATTCAGTTCAGACACCATTTAATACTTAAATCAGATCAGATGTTGCCCATTGTGCAACCTCAGTAGGTAAGTAATTTAATTTAGGTATAGCTTCCACTATTTGTTCTGGGGGTAGCAACAGTTCAAAATTCTGATATTCTTTTTGTAGAGCCGATAGCCCCACGCCGGACACAGGGCCGATCAATCTCAAATTCTTAAAAAAACATTAAAAGCAAATTCAAATCAAGAAAAGTTTACCTGTAAATGTTCAAATGCTTTCAAAACAGTGGCTCTTTGAAATTCTTGAATGTTGGAATGGCTGTTGACAAATGCATTGTAACGAGTCAATATAATTTCAAAATTGAATGTAAATGTATCATTTATTTCAATATAGTGCTTCATCGCGATTAACAAACACACCTCTAAGACGCTAAGGTCACGGATGAGACGGAATATATCTTCAGACTCTAATAACTGATACTGGTCCTCAAAATCTTTTAAAGTCAACCTTGTTTTTCGGTCATTTAATTGTGAAACTACAAGAAACTGTCAAAAGTATAAGTATCAAAACTTTACAATGGAAAGATACCTACCATAAGATTGTTCAAAGTTTGCTCACCAGGATCTACCTCTAGAACCCTTTGCATGAATGTGTGAAACTTTTCATCATCAATTAAATCCTCAATGTGTCTATTCCATGAGTTTACATACTTTTTACTTAACCTTGTTGACGGTTTCAAGCATAATACATTCTGGATTCTCTTCAACCTTCTGTCAATTTCAAAAGTGTGATCTTCCTTTGGAGATAAAAATATTTGGCGATGAGAAAAACGAGACTTAACTCTTTTCTCCAAGGATTCAATAATTTCTAATTGGAACGTAATACCTAAAAGTACCATAGATAAGCACACACAAATTGATAATTATAACTAAGCACCAAGAACACATATCGGAGTTTGCGCCGATTGTGAAACATCAAACAAATTATATAACAAAGTTTGATTGTGATGGGAACAAAATAAATGAAATTCTTCAAGTATAAAAATAATGCTCTTGGTAGTTTCTTTGCTTCCGCTCTTCAAACATGCCAACAAAAATGCTAAATTTTCTGCGAAACTTCCAAAAACCTTCCCATCAACTGCATTATCCAAATTCATTTGAGTTGTAATTGCTTTTAATGCTAATCTATCATCGGTGTGGATCAATCCGTTTAGGCATACGAGAATTGCATTCTTTTCAAAAGAATCGTTTTGTAATTCTTGCAGTATGCTCTTAACTAACTATAAAAGTATTATTAATATATTTGTTCCACGGTAGTAGTATCTACCAAAGTTTTGCCGACAGAACGAAGACCTAAAAGGAGGGCGGAATTTGATTCCCCTGCGTAGATACTTTCTTTTAAGAGGTTCAAAAGTTGTTTGCGCTGTTTTTCATATCCAATTACTCTCTTATTGTTTAACACGTTTTCTTTAAGTTGTGAACGAGTTACAAGAATATCTTTACTTTCGATATTCATAATACAATATATTATTCTCCCGAAAAAATTTACAAATATATATTTTTGGTTAGGTAACGTTTAAAACTTTAAAGGTGTCTAATAATACAAGGTTAGCATTATATGGTAACAGAGACACAGCAAGGACCCAGGAGCTTATCACAAAAACGTAAGCTGCAATTCACAACCATTGAATTTTCACAACCACCAAAAAGACCATTGATAGACCAAGGCACCCTCGGACCGTACCTATTTTTTTTATTTTTCTGCATCGCAACCAAGGGTCGCAACTTGAAATGAATTATAGGTTCCGATTCGGCATTACTAAGTACGATTATTTTTTAGGGTTCCAGTACAGTATCTGTTCCGATTCAAACATTTTTGGTTCTTTTTGACCGACAGAAGCTGGCGTGGTTATAGTTGCAATCTTGTGGTACCAAACGAATTCATTTTTGGTGTAAACAAGTCGATTAAAAAAAAGGGGTTGGAATCTAAACCGAAACCCGGAACCGACACAAGTAGTTCCAGGGCTTGTAATGTAAAATGTAAAAGCGTAACTGTACTTATGAGTCATGACCATATTTTACCTACGTATGACAAAAAAATTTCCGTGGCCAATTGTAAACTATGCCATTCTGTGAGATTCAGATAAATTGTTAACATATTTTAGAGTTAGCTCATGACATCAGCTGGGGCATGAATAAAATAAAGGAAAAAACATGTAGTTCATTTGATTGGTCAAGAAAAAATAATATCTTGCGAGTTACAATTCAAAGATTTTTATTTATTTATTTGGAACCTAAAAAAACTGAAACCAAAAATTACTGAAAATGCAGAACCGGTGCCGGCACCGGAACCCTTAAGAGATAATTCTATAAGCGGAAGTGGATTCATATGGGTTTCAACCCCTGATTTTCCTTAACTAAACAATTTTTTGCTCATCTGTCTACTCTCAAGTCCAGTAAGAATCTTAGTATTTTTAAAATGTTCTAACTTATTTCATCATGCAGTTGAGTCAGTATGTTAAAGGAATGTTGTGGGTGGGCGAATTCTTGTAAGCCATAAATAAGTATTTAATTTGATTTGCGGAAATTTTGTTTTTAAAGGCATGGTTTCCAATAAATATGTTTATGGTAATAGTAATACTAATAGTAATATTTATTCTTGTGATTGTGTATTTACAAACGTCATAAAAATAATAATTATATACAAAAAGTTTAAAAAGTTTTTCAGTTGCCTATCTTTATATCACAGATGTCTGTATCACTTAAAAACTCGTCTACTGTGTAATATGCTTTACTTAGTAAAAAGTTTCTTACTAATTTCTTAAAAGTTTGAGGATTTTCTGTGTTGCAGGTGATATGAAGATGATTATAAAGTTTAATGCAAAGGTAAATGGTAGAATTTCATACATTGAAGTATTGTGTGTTGCCTGCATAAATAACTTTTTCAGTTTTTAATCTTATACGGTCCGTTGTGAAATCGAAATAAGAATTAAAAAGCTGTATTCATTTATTGATTACTTTAACCATAATACTAACATAAGGAAATACGAATTCATTGCGAATTGTAGTATCGTGATTATGTTTGAACACAACCAAATGTTTACAATCCGCGTTCAATAAATTCCCTACTGAAACTGAACCAAAAAAATTTATTTGAAATGCGAAAACAAAATGCAAATATATCTATGGCTGCTACATTAAGAAAATTCGAAGATTTAAAAAATGAAAAGTTTAATGAAGAAGATCAAATTACAGTTACATCGGAAGAACAGGTACATGAAAAAAGCGGTGTTTTTACAGTAGGCTTATAACTGCATGCCACTTACGCTAATACCTAACCTTATTTTAGATCCAAGTTGAAAGATCTGTTCAAGAAATCTTCAGAAGCTTCAGATTAAGATGTGATATAGATAGTAATTTACCGAAGTTATTGAGATGGGAACATATACAAGCACTAAAGCACTGGTTAACATTTTTACCCCCTGGCTATAAGGTACATTTTCCATACCAAATGATTTCATATGTGTAACGTTACCATTTTAAGTCTCTAGATGCAAGTCGTACCTGGATCTGCTATTGGATCTTACATAGTTTATCACTTTTAGAGGTTAAGTTATCTGATGACTTGAAAGATTCGTTAGTCGATTTTCTGAAAAGGTGAGATAGTAATGTTCTGACAAATTCACATTTATTTTTTAAATTTAAAAAATATGATTATTCTACTTACTAGGAGAGATAATGTCTAACTATTGTAGATGTCAATGCTCGGATGGAGGATTTGGAGGTGGTCCTGGGCAAATGGCACATACCGCAACAACTTATGCTGCCGTTTGCGCTTTGTGTATTATAGGTACACAAAAGGCGTATGATGCTATTAATAGGTAAGTGTTGTTTAGTTGCAGATAGCTTATACAAGACAAGGAAGTTTGCATGTTCATGTTTTGCAATTTGTTAATTTTGAATTTTTGAATGGACTACTTCTTATTTTACTGTACATATGTTTTGCACAAGAGTAAAATCATCTTGTCCATTATGTGTCACGCTTCGAGTAATATTGTGAGCGCCAAAGGTGAGCTCGGCATTATTAAAGCGTATTGGAAAGATCACATTAAAATCGTTGATACGTCTTTGACATTGACTATTACTTATACACATTTAAAGCGTATTTAATAGTTTCGGCGTAAATAAAATGATATTAAAATAATTATCTATATGCATTAAGTAGTTTGTCGCAGCATAAGTAATAAAATCGAAGTTGTATAACGTTTGTTATTAAAATTTTTCTGTGGCTAATAATAAACGTTATACAATTTCGATTTTATTACTTATGCTACTCAAAACGTTTATCGACAATGGAGATGTTCATCAAAAATAGTTTGTCGCATTTATAGCAGTATAATTGAAGATGAACATAGCAGTCTTAAGGCTAGATTGCCATGGCGCGGGTTCGAATCTAAGCTCGCGCGTTTTTGTTCCTATAAAATATCGCTTCAAAGAAAATAGACTGTGTGAGAGAGAAAGAAGAAGTCACTTTTCTGTTAATGTTCCACATAAAAGTCGCTTTTCTGTTATTATCTGAAAAATGCGATGTTGTTTTGTTTTTCTAATTATTGGATTCAAGAAAAAAAAATACACAATTTTGATAATTTAATTTTCTAATGTACTATACAACTAAGAAAGTTAGCTATAGTGCCGACTTCATTTGAAACAGACTGTACAGGGTGGCCAAATAAGAATGCGAGGTACTGTATCTGGGAACCTGTCCATCGTAGAGGTTTGAGGTAAAAAATTTATTCCTAAAACGGCCACGAGAAAAACCTGGAAAATATTTTTAAGTTTCTGCAATGGCCGCTAGGGCTGCAATATGGAATCTAAAAAAGTGATTTTTCTGTGAATTCCGTTATATTAACCTAACAAAAAAATGTCCGGTCTTTGAAGTTGACGATAATCTGAACAATTTTTGTTTGATAATTTTTCCTGTATCTCTAAAATGAAGTGGTAGGGGGTATTCAAATGTTTCCGTAAAGAACACCCTGTATCTTCGAAACGGCTGAACCGATTTAAACAAACTCGCGTTAATTCAAAAGAGCTATTCTTCAGTTCTATTTGAAGTTTTGTTAGTTTTACATATCACCGCTTGAGAGCTTTTTTAGACATTCCGACAGAAATGGTTAAAAAATTAAATGCGTTGGTTTAATTTTTTTTTCATGAAAAAGTAGCTAAATGATGCCTAAACAAGCTCGCGAAAACCGCATTTCGATATCTTGTTCCTAACCTAAAATTTAGGCCAAAGAAAATTTTATACCTTCAAAATTTTATTTTTTTAAGCCAATTTTTTGGGAATTATTTTTATTATATAATTTGTGGCCCTAAGGTAGATCGATTTAAAAAAGGAAGCTTTTAATGCCGCCGTAAATGCTCGAAATGCTGGCCATCACGTTTAGGCATCATTTAGCTACTTTTTCATGAAAAAAAAATCGAACCAATTATGCATTTAATTTTTTTGAGAAAATTAACCATTTCTGTCGGAATGTCGAAAAAAACCCTCAAGCGGTGATATGTGAAACTAACAAAACTTCAAATAGTATAATAATTGAATTTATAACTATCAGAAGCGCAGATCCCATATAACAGTTTGTGACCATGTGCCAACTGGCCGCCGCTAGGAGCAGTTCGATCGTTTGAAAGTCCGTGGGCGATCGAAAGTGGAGCGTTACATTGACATTAGATGGCAGCATTACAAACCATTTATTTTGACCATTCGAATATTTTCCTTTTTAATCGTCAGATGTCAGGAACTCCGGATGTTTTTTGTGTTATCATTGGAATGGTTTTATAAATAGGATTGGAATGTTCTAAAAATAGATCCCTTAAGAAGCATTGCGTAAATTTGTAATGTAAATAATAATACATTTAGACGAACGAAGCTTGCAGTCCTTGTCCTTGAAGGAATGCAATTTCATACATTCTATTCACAGGCAGTAAAATAGGCAGGTTCCACATTTTTACTGAAAGCGGGAGATTTTGTTATTAAAAAACGATCAAAAAAAATTTTAAGGCAAAATATTGTCCGTTGCAAGCAGGCAGCTACATCATTTCCACATTCACATTTGATAACTAAATTTCTCGAATCAGCTTTTTTTATAACCATGCAGCATTGTGCACAAATAAATCGGTCCCAGTTTACGTGAATTCGTATATCTACTAGAGCTGAGCGATAAATGAAATTGTTATCGATTTATCGATAAGTCTGTTCAGTCTGATAATTATCGATTAATCATTAATTGATAACTATCGATAATTATCGATAACTTTAATCACTTATCGTTAACTTTCGATAATAATCGACAATTATCGATAAATCGTAAGGTTAATTTTCGATAATGATCGATAACGTTTGATAATTATCGATAACTTTTTATAATTATCGATAACTTTTGAAAATAATTAATAATGATTGTTAGCTGCTGATAATAATCGATTATTATTGCCACGAAAATTGTCTATCTCTGATATTTATCGATTAATAAATAAGTAGCGGAAATTATCAAGAGAAAACTATCGATACTTTTTCATAAATCTCATCGATATATATTCTCAATCGATATATTACATCATCCATGCGTACACTCGCTAACATTTTTGTTTTTTTGGTATTGATATTGCGAGAGATAATTTAAATAAAACAGGATCTTTTGATGCTCAAGTTGTCTGAAATCAAAGGTGATCAAGTGGACGATAATCCTCAAAAATGAGTACAGCAGTAGGTTGTGAATTGTGATCATATGGCAACTCAACAATGCTCTTACATCGCTTTTGTTGGAAGTAAACTGGTATACCTAAACATTGAAAAGTTTATGTCGTTAAAAATTCTCTCGATAATTATCTATCTTAATAGTTTATAGTTGTGAGATTAATCGATAGATTATCGGTAATTATAGGTTTATCGACCAATCCTTTAACATTTTCGATAAATTACACTGGTCTACAGCATTTTTGCGCATGGGACATATATACCTTATTTTTATTGCTTCTATAGCCACAAATAAGAATTAGAACAAAAAATGGTTATGTATTTGTTTTTGTGTGAAAAAAATGCAAAAAACCAAAAAATAAGAATACCTATAGAATCCTACTTACATAGGCATGATTTATTAAATGGTAACGTTTCTACATTTATAATTTGTTTATCTTAGAGTCTAAATGTTTAAAAATGGAACAGTTTTGCTGTTTTTGTCATGTTCAACTGAATCTGATCTTCCATCATGCTTCCAACTTCCTGGCCTTGGGAAGGTGCCTAAGTTCCATTGTCTCGAGAAAGTGTTGTCCTTATTCCGAATAAGCTCCCATATTATCCTTAAATTGATCTAAATGAGAATGTAACCTGTGCATCTTTATTCTTTAGAGACATTCTATACCCCATGATACAAAACCAAATCCTGTCAGCTCGTCATAATTTTCAGCTCTATGGTTTCCCAGGAAACACTGAACGGGAAACCATGGACTATTGCCTTAAAACTGTTCCAGGATTTTTTTTCCTCTTTGCTAAGTAACCGCGGAAAAATATCACCCTCCATTTTTCTTTTTTTTTTTTAGGGAAAACAAAGATTCCAGCTTTAATTTTCGCCCCTGAAAGCTTTCAATCAAATCGCTGTAACTTTTGTAAAAGCAAATATTTTCGATGTCTTAATCGCACTTTTTATTTATTTTTGCTTATTATAGTCAGAATATATATTGTGTAAATCCCATGCGCAAAAAATTCTTTTTTTGTTGACCGGTCGACCATTTTTTTTAAATTTATCGATTGACTATCTATTAATCGATAATTATCGATAAGTTATCGATTAACCATTGAGAACAAATTTCAAACGTCAGAATTTAAAAGAAAAGAGGTTAACGACCTTTTTATTTTGTATCAAAATTGCCAGGTGTGACGTGTGATCCTAGATCAGGGGTCGGCAACCTGCGGCTCTTTTGATACCTATAAAGTTGCGGCTCTCCGTATTTATCTAAAGAAATTAGTTCATTTGTTCGAAATTCGCCTTTTTAATTAATCTTATTTTGTATCAAAAGTATACTTGCAGCAAATAATTATCTAATTTTTGACACTTGTTTACTTTCTGGTATTCTTTTGTTTTTTTTATTATAGCCAGCCTACTCCGATGTATAAACACGTAATTAATTAATGAGTAGGTACTTTTGTGAAAAATATTGAATAACCTAAACACTGCGGAGTTTAAGCACAGGGCACCCCTTATAAACATTTAAGAGAAGACAAAAGCGAATAGCGAAATAAAATAGTGGTAGTTCCATTTGAAAAAGAATAGTTATAGCACTTTGAACAAACGGCATTGAAACAACCAAATATTCAGGATGTTCTATTTAAAAAGATCAGTTATTAATTGACATCGTAAAAATGGAACACCCTGTACATTCAAAAATAATTTCTGTAGATCCGCAACCACCAATATTTTTACCAGGTATCTATCAGCTATGTAGGAAAAACCGACGGACTGTTGCAGGACCCTGTATATAGCCAAAAACTATAATATTGAATCAAAAATTATTTGTGGCTCTTTAAGAACTGGGAAATTTTGTAAATTGTAATTTTTGGCTCTTCCGTTTCAATAGGTTGCCGACCCCTGTCTTAGGTAGTTTAACCGGTGGCAACGGTTTAACCGACACACACAAAAATTAAGAATAGATAGGTAGTAAGGTAGGTACATTTAATTTCTGTTACAGTGATCAAGGATGCCTGCGTATTTTTTGCTTTCCTGTTCAAATGTAATTCAATCTTCCTTAAGGAATGTTAAGTAAGGTCACGATTCATGAAAGGAAGAATGTTTATCTTACGTCATTCAACATCCTGTGTGCCACATAAATGCCTTATAAGTACGTTTCTTGGGTATCTAGAATTCTGTATACAACAATTACAAATCGAGATAGTGGGTTCATTACAGATTCCTGTATAATAATTAACAAAGGTAAAAAACTGACATTATTATTCATCTTTCTCGATGGTAGAGACATCTACGTCTTGTAATTTAAACTATTGAAAACAGTCACATATCCTGCCATTTAACCTGCGCTTCTGATAGTTATAAATTCAATGGTATAATATTTGTAGCTGAAGAATAGCTCTTTTGAACTAACCAGAGTCTGTTTAAATCGGCTCAGCCGTTTCGAAAATACAGGGTGTTCTTTACGGAAACCTTTGAATACCCCCACCCCTTCATTTTTAGAGATACAGGAAAAATTGTCAAACAAAAATAGTTCAGATTATCGTCAACTTCAAAGACCGGACTTTTTTTGTTAGGTTAATATAGCGGAATTCACAGAAAAATCACTTTTTTAGATACCATATTGCAGTTACCCCCCTAGCGGCCATTGCAGAAACTTAAAAAATGTTTTTCAGGTTCTTCTCGTAGCCGTTTTAGTAATTCATTTTTTTACCGCAAGCCTCTACGATGGATAAATTCTCAGATACAGTACCTCGCATTCTTAGTTGGCCACCCTGTACATTGTAAAGGACGCTTGGGGCAGTATTTGTGTAATTGTAAGGTTTTCTTGATTTCATTTTCTTTACGCGCTGCAAGCGACTAGTCTACAGTCGTCGTACGAAAACTGTGCCCCCCCCCCCTCCCCACCACTTCCTTAATTACTAAGATAGTGTAAATTATTTCTGTTTCTCATTATTATTGAGATTCACCCTACCCAAAGCCAAGGTGTTTTTATTTACAAATCAGCTTTAAATTTAGGAACTTTGCTCTAACGGAACTCTTAAGATAACCCACAGTCAGAGGCGCAACCAATGGAAATTCTGTATATACTTTTCCAATATACTCCCTGAGGTTGTACATCGTTTTAAACTTTACCAATCTAACTTTAATAATAGAAGTTTTATTTGAAATAAGCGAACTGCAAACCCTTTTTGTAGGGACAAGCTACAACAGTTTCTCTGTGACGTAAAGACGGAAGATGGGGCATTTTGTATGCACAGAGGTGGCGAAATAGATATACGCGGTGTTTATTGCGCTCTGGCAGTTGCAACACTCACCAATATTTCAACAGAAAAATTGTTCGAAGGAACAGCAGAATGGGTGATAAGGTAATTTTTTTAATTTCATTCAAGTAGAATTCTTTTCGCATTCCTAAAAATTGTAATTAAAAAAATTAAAATTGTAGTATGGAGCAAAATCAAAATGACGATTTTATTATTGTCTGTAGGATGCTGTAACAGTATAAAGTATGACATGTTTGTTTCAGTTGCCAAACATACGAGGGAGGCTTTTCAGGTTGTCCTGGTTTAGAGGCTCACGGTGGTTATGCATTTTGTGGATTAGCTTCTTTGTTATTATTAAACAAGGGACACCTTTGTGATGTAGATGCATTACTGGTAAATATTGTTTAAGGTAGTTTTTATTAATTTTATTTATTCAATTTCTTTCGTTTCTTTTTTCTTTAAATTGATATCTTGTATTTAGTAAATAAATAATTAATAAACATAAGATTAGAAATATCCCTTTGTTGATGAAGGACTCCATTGTGTTTGAGTAAATGTTTAATAGAAAAAAGAGAAGTAAAATTGCGACTCAAACAGTTTTTATTATTATTTTTCTGATGGCGATCGATTTCGACTAAAAGTTATCCTCAGGCCGAGCTGGAAGTTTTACATTAAAAAGTGTATAGGAAATTCTAAAATAGTGACAGTTAAATTATAAATTGTACATAAATTTGATGTAAAAGTTGCGTAGAAAAAACATGTTTTAAATGTACAATTTATAATTTAACTGTAACTATTTTAGAGTTTCGTATACACTTTTTAATGTAAAACTTCCAGCTCCGCATGAGGATGACTTTTAGTCGAAATCGATCGCCGTCAGAAAAATAATAATAAAAACTGTTTGAGTCGCAATTTTACTTCTCTTTTTTCTATTAGAAATATGCCATTTTTTTCATTCTAGAGGTGGATAGTAAACAAACAAATGAAATTTGAAGGTGGATTTCAAGGTAGAACAAATAAACTGGTAGATGGCTGTTATTCGTTTTGGCAAGGAGGCGCGTTTCCATTAATTCACAGTCTGCTTGCTCAAGGTTGGTTTCCTTTAGTCGTCAAACTTCTCACTATACATTTTTAGAAAATAAGGAACCGAAGTGGTTATTATTCGACCAAGGCGCTCTTCAAGAATATATTCTAATTTGCTGCCAGTATCCTGCCGGTGGTTTACTCGATAAGCCAGGAAGACCACGTGACATTTACCATACATGTTACGCATTAAGCGGATTATCAATAGCCCAGCACTCGATCGATGGCGAAAAATTGATATTGGGGTCACCCGAGAATAAATTGGTAATGAAATGTGTCAATGGACTTCTTCAGTTAAAATCGTACCTTGAAAGAAGTGAGAACAGCATTCTTTTTCCCAGCATATATAACAGATATTTCTAAAGCACCTAACTATAATAGATAAGCTTAAGCTTCCACAGAATTTTTCAAGGTCAATTTTAACCATTCAAGTCTGTTTAGAATTTATTTGAATCACGTTGCAATTGTAGGCAAAAACTCATCCTATATATAACATTGGACCAGATTACGTATTAAGAGCGGGATCGTATTACAGTAAATTAGACATTCCAGGCAATGAACCATCTTTTTTATGACAAAAAATACATCATTATACCTATTGTTCAATAAGAAGAAAAGTAACAGATTATGTGATTACATTTACTAAAGGTTTTTCGTTGTTAGTTATTATTTGTATTTGGTTAACAGTTGTATGTATTGAAATAAAATTATAAAAACAAAATTTTGTCTCTAAATTTGTAGCAGTACTTGGCCAATTGGTTCTTGCATTAGTATAATTATCTAATGTAATCGTGAGCACGAAATAGAAAACTTTAACTTGAAACTCTTATCTGAGTAGTAATTTGGGTTTGGTTAATCACAAAACGAACCATCAATGGCCGTATGCACCGACAAATTTAAGCGAGGTTTAGCTTAAGCGTCTATGGCGATTATTGTGAGAATGGTTGCCATGGATTTTAAGCAACGCTTAAACTAAGCTCCGCTTAAATTTGTCGGTGCATACGGCCACTACAGAACAAATTTTGATATTCACTATTGAGGTGTATCACTTACGTTAAACTTAACGTGCAGGTTATCTGTAGAAAACGTTTATTTATTTATTTATCTATAGTTCTTTTTTGCAGATGATTTAAAAATTAAAAAAAAAATACTCCTACTACATTACCTACTATATTACTGCTTGTTAGTTGTTACCTTTGTTGTTAAATTATTTTGGCAACCGTCCGCCCCTAGGCCTGTGCCTTATGGTAAATCCAGTCTTGCTTACAACAAATTTGAGGATCGAAAATTGTTATTTCTACATACTAAAGTGATGGAACAGAAATTAGCCTGTTAAAATTTTGCAATTCGCTTTCCTTGTTTCAATTTCTACACTGTACAATATAGTGGATATCTAGTTTTCTGCAGAATGTACAGTTACAAGCCATCCACTCAAATTTCCCGCTCGTTTGACTGTGGCGCTCTCACAATATTAACGTTCTCTTATATAACTTTTTTTGCAAAATTGTAAGTTGCACTATTTATGTGTGGTTATTCATATGCAGGCTGGAGAAATATTATGCTCTAATATTATAACCATTCTCTATGTCCATAGACAAAGCACATTATGTCTTCTAATAATGCAAATATTCTGGGTATAGAGTAAATAACAAAATGCGTAGTTTCTTTATTTAAGAATTACAGATAAATTTGCATATAAAAGTGCATTACATAAGTGGAATACTGCAATAAATGCTTTATCTAGAACAGTGTATTTATTTAAATTTTACAAGAGTGTTAGGCCAACTACCTACTCATCATCGCTAATTACATTAAGTTTATTGATATAGTCGTGCAAGCCCTGCAATCTTTTTTTTACACGCTTTTGATCATCAACAGTACATCCTAAAAGTAGAGATTCGAAATTCTTATCAAGTATGCCTTGCACATTGTGCGAAGAACAGGAATTTAGGTATGCGATGCACTTTGACCTCATTACCTCGGCGTCGATCTTCATGCCAACTACTAACCCATCAATCAAATGGTTAATTTGATGAAGTGCCTCCTCTTGCGGTCGATCTCTTTGTGTATTGATTTGTAGCTCCACAGTGAGGCACCTATTTACTATTCGATCGGCAAAATGTAAAACATCATCACGATCATCTAAAAAATAAATTAGTCATTCATTACAATTGTTTGCGCTAATTACTCTCAGATAGTTCTGCTAACAAGTTAGCATTCTTGACAGAATCCAAAGAAGCCAGCAGGGCATCCCGATCGTCCTCTAATTTAATCGCATCTTTGCGTAATTTCTCAACGTGACCTTCTAATATATCCAGCAGTTCAATCAGTCTTTGCTTGGGAGTTTTAGATTCGCTCGCTAAATTTTCGTCGATTGTAGGTAGGTTAATTGCAAGTTGACTGCAGCCCGGTGCAGCTATAAAATTTAAATTAAAGTGACTGGCGTTTCGAACATAAGTATAACATACTAAACTCTGTTTGACAAGGATCGACGTCCATTTCAGAAAAGTTTGACCGGAAGTTTAAATCACCGAGAGTCACTTGTATTATTTTTTAATTGTTAAAATGATAAGAGGAATTTGCCTGTTTTTTACGAATTATTTAAAAGAAATCGAAGGATTGTGAGGTTATAACCGCAAACAATTTCCTTCCCTACTACATTTCGATCACGAGCCGGACAACTTGTAAGGTCAGCAGTTGATTTTAATGTTATACAGGGTGCTTCATCCGATTTAATCTTGCCACTTTAAACGCTACTAGATTTATAGCACGATACTTTAATTATTATGTTATAATTTTGTAAATCAATACCAAAAAAGTTATGTAACCCAGTAGTTTACAAATAGAAGATTTCATCTAGCTAGGGAAATGGTGCGAGGAACCATCTCTAAAATACTAATGGCATTTCTGCGAATTGAAATGCTGAATTATTGTACACCTTAATGAGCAAGGATATGTTTAAAAGTCACATTTTATTACAGTACTTTCAAGAATTTTAAATGTGATCAGTGCAATTAAGCAAACACCCAATAAAAATAATTTAAGAAATCGTTGCCTACCCCCATAATATTTCCAAAGTTTTAATTGTGAACAGTGCAATTACACAACCAACAATAAGGATAATTTAAAGAATCATCGTCTAACGCAAAACATTTCCAGTCTTTAATTGTGAACATATTGCCATTACAAAACAAAAAATAGGAGAATAAAAGTCTTAAAAATGGATTAATTTATAGTAGTAATTAATCTGTAACAATACTAAAAGCGCATCGAAGTCGGAAGATATGCCAGAAAAACTGAAATCTGCCAATTTCGTTTTTATTTTTATCTGATGTTATTTGAACAGATACAAATAAATAAAGGTAAGAAAGTATCTTCTCCAATGCTCACTATTTAGTGTTTACTGGGATAACATCGCCGCCCTGGGCTTGTTTTTTCAAAATTGCTTTGACGAATCTGCAGCGCACATTTTCTCTAGATACCTATACTTCTCAGAAGAAAGTTTACAAACGGTAATAATAAAAGAAATTGTAGTTTAAACAACCGATCCGCAAAATATGTAGGTAGTGAAAATTTTGGAAATATCGAGGTATTTTTTACCTGATAGAGTTACATCTATAGTTATGTGGAATGGAAGATGCAGAAAAACACAATAATGTTTTTGATGAAAGAATCTTTACGATAGTGTAATAAATAGAATAACAGATGCGAATATTTTTCTTCAGCGTCTTTGTCGCTGTGGAATGTGGTACAGATATTTGCCCCCTTTTTTGGAATTTAAAGTTGCAATGATTACGTCTTGTGCAGCCTTTAATTATACTGCAAGCAAAGAGTAACCATAATACTCTTTGCTGCAAGTGTTCAAAAGGGGGTCAAATATCTCATAGAATTTAATAATTGTTTCATCGCCGTAAACTTACCTATTTATTCACGTGGAGTTTACGGCTTTTAAGATGTTAAGTGAAGTAATTAATTTAGTAAAAAAACGAAATTTCTTTACGTACGTTCTGCCAAAGAGACTCTTTGGTTCTGCCTTCACCTGTATAATGTGTTGCCTAACCATGTTGAAAAATAATGTTCCTCAATTTGTCACTGCTACACCTGCAAACAGGTTGAAATCTAGTATAACATTATTCAACCAAACATAGTGCATGGACCAAGGGCAAGGTATGGACGAACCTACGTGATTATTCTCTTGTCAATGACGTGGTCAATTTATTGAAACGACTTTATAAAGTTAATGCTCTCAGCTAATTTATTTGAGTTCCATTACGCACTTATTTATTATCAGATCGACAGATTTAGATTAGTGTAAAAGTTTGTAATGAAAATATATTTGGTGAGTACACTGTATATAACCGGAAGAAAATTTGGCAACAACGCAAAAAAATTTCAACTGCTAAATTCGGAGGTCAGCAGTCGTCAAGTGTCATCTTTACGTTGCACGTGAATTGTAATTTTGGGTAAAAATTATATTAATAATTACATTTTCTCTTCAAAAATAACGCAACGAATTCGCAGCACTACAAGATGACAGACCTAGACGATTTTTTCGCGAAGAAGGACCGCAAAAAGTCCAAAGGAAAAAAATATGCTACCTCAGAGGAAGTTGCAAAGAAATTAGAAGACAAAGATACCATTAAAAAGGTCGACAAACCACTTAAGAAGGAACGTATACTGGAAGGCGAAGAGGGTGGTGCCCCCTTACACGTAAATATGATTTTTTCTAATTCATTGTGATAACAATTAATGATATAACCCTCATTTTGATTGTGGTTAAGAACTTTACTGGAACTTTCCGATGGCAATTGCTATTAATTTTATTCAGTATAACTTTGTGAAGGCCTTAGTATTGTAATGATTTCTTTTTCTATTTTTTTGGGGTTCATTAAATGTGTAGCCTTGAAATTATTGTCTCTTGTCTTGTCTACTCGATTCAAAATTTTGCTTGAGGTTCAAAATCTATATATGAAGAATGAAGTCACAAATGAAAGCGTTACTTTAAAAGCTGCAGTCGAATCAATAGTGTTACATTTCTGTGTAGTTTAGATGTGCTAACTCGACTTCATTCGCCACAAGTAAAATTGATAGATCGTTATTTTCTGTTTGATGGGTCTGATACACTGAGAACACCAATGTTAATTTCAACCGTATAAGATCCGTTGGAAGTCCAGGACTATTCCTACCTTCAATATGGTAACATAGATAGTTTATTGAATAAATAGAGTTGTGTAGGTATAATTGAAATTTCTTTTCATAATAAATAAATGAAGTGAATGAAAAACATTTGCATAGCTATACACAGAAGACAATAGCAACTAAATCCCTCCCATTTTCCTACCTCCTCTGACACTCCATTCTCGAGATATGATAATATTGTCTTTAATTATACCCGAATTGCACCAAAAAAAATCTACAAAATAATGCAAGGCGAAGTTCAGATCAGCAAAAAACAATGCATTTGTTTTTCCACTTTAACCTTGCTTGATGATTCCAAAGTAATTTATCACATACACACAATACTAGCAATTTATTATTTATGATTAATATACGACCAATCAGCTTGGTGATTGCTTCAAATTCTAACCAATCAGATGATTTTTTAAGTGATTTAAACGCTAGGTAGCTTTTTATCAGCGATAGGAATGCGTAAAATATAAAGTGGTTGTGAAATTTACTGTCTTTTATTAATCTCCCTAAAATACATTCAATCTTGGTTTTAAATCAGGATAATTTTCTTTTTAATTCACTCAAATTTTGTTGGCTCTTGTAAAAAACTCTCGATCAAAAGCATAAGATAAAATCGCACTTTTGATCTCTGGTTTTTTACGTTTTCGTGTAAAAATAAAATTATTTCATTAAAAATCATGCTCAAGTATTTACCCCCGATACATACAGGGTGTTTTTTAAAGATGGGCCATAGAAAGCACATACCTAGCATACATCATAACCGTAGGTGTGACAACAGACAATGTAAAGGTGTTGAGTTATTTAAAATGAGCCATAGGGAAATTTACATTGCGCCAATTGTTCTCAAATCTTGACCTTGCGCTTAGTTATTTCACTGACAGTTCTTGATCTGATTCTTCAAACTGCATCATCGAAGCAGCAACATGTATTCCGTCACTCGAAAAGGTGTTCATGCAGTACAATTTGTATAAGAGTAGCTGAGTGGTATGTGAGCTATTCATTGCCGAGTATCGGGTATTGTTTTGTTCACTGTGGAAAACAATTCGAGTACCGATTGTAATCTTATACGTTTATATGTGATTTGAATACATTTGTTGATTTAGAAACAATTGATGCAATGTAGGTAAATTTCCCTATGGCCCATTTTAAATAACTCAACGCCTTTACATTGTCGTATGGTCAATCTTAAAGAAAACACCCTCTATATAAAAGTTGATAGCTTTGTTTGTTTGCTGGCTATGGTTATAAAAGAACCAGACGGCCAAGAAGAAATTTGTTAAAGCCATTCAATAGTCGCTAATGTACAACTATAATGTTTTATTCAATTTTTTGACTAGATGGCGTTGATATCTCAATTTGCGAAAATCACAATTCTTAGTTTTTGATCAAAATTTTGTGAATCTCTGTAAATAGTTTTAATTTCCATACGGCATGCGATTGAACCCGGTATAGCAAGACTTTCTTTCCCATTTAATCAAAAAATCTTACCGTTTCTGAAATCACCATGTAGTTACTTTTACTAAGGACACCTTTTATGTTATTCGGTACTATATATAATTTTTTGGATGGGTATTTGACGTTATAAATTTCAATTTTAAAAAACAGTTTTTTAGAACCCTTTAGAAAGCTTATATTCTCATGATTTAGTGCACATTTAGGCACGGGTAGAACTCTGTTATAGCATATGTTTATCTTTATTTTGGGCACTCTGTATCATTTTTAGTTTCATCTCAGAATTTGATACTGCAGAGCTTTAAGCTCAATAAATGGCTATTATTAATAAGATCATGTTTAGTTATAATGTGCATTTAAGGAACAAGATGAGTGGCGAGAATTTGAGGAAGAAAAGAAGGACTATACTGGTTTAAAAATTGGCAATTTAAGCATAAATTTGCCAGAGGGAACTCCCGGCAATGCCGAAAATTTCTCGGAACAACAACAAGGCGATGAGAGTGGCAGTGAGGTGGACAGAAAAGCAGGTCCGTGGAAAAAATTGGATTCGGAAACGGCTGAAGTGGAAGTTCAAAAAAAGACTGAGCCCGTTATTCCGGCGCCCGCTCCTATACAACCTTCAACTCCGAACGTATATGTACCGCCCGTTATGAGAAACTCTCAGCAGCAGCAGCACCAGCAACAATTGTCTGCCAGTAGGCTACGGTCAAAAATGGCGCCAGATATTCATAATGAAGAATATTTTCCTAGTTTAACGGGTGCGAAAGGGGAACAAAGAAGGTATCTTTTCACTTCCACCTAATGTAATGTTTGTAAAATGTTTTATGTTTTCAGAAACAAAAATGAAGGTACTTTTGAAGTGGTAGCGCCTAGCAAGGCGAGTTCGCATCGGCAATTGGAACAGAGCAAATTTTCAAATCAAGGACCAAAATTAAGTCTCGGCAATCGCTTCAATACGCTCAGCAACGACAGCTAGTATTACAACGTTCGTTTAGGAAGCATTAACATCTTGTAGTGGCCATGAGGAACAGAACTTCAATTTCTCTTCATTTAGTGGTGTTCATATACTCTTTAATTTTTTCTAAATTAATTCTGTTCGGTAGTAATTGCAGTGGGACTAAGTATGCTGAACTCGTGATTGTGTAGGACGTCTAGATAATTTATAAGCTGGCTTATCTTTAATTAGCATAAAGGACACATTTCGTACACTTTTACATAATTGTGCGTTCAGTAGTATTTTGTTACGTTCTTATATTTATATTTCTATACCTATCCATATTTTTTAAATGAAACTATTTTTTCAATTGGTACATAAAGAAATTGATAAAACGATAATAAAACAATTTTTTTATTTACAACAATTCAGTACACGTTTTATGCTAAAGGAGATCCGCTAATTTAGATTCGTCACTAAAACAATTATAACAAAATTAGTTGTTTGATATCGTACTCTGGATTACGATCATACCTTGGCACGTACTGAAATTGAACTTCACCTTCATTTGTGTAATGATCAAGCATTGGTAGATTTAACAATTTTTGATTAAATTGTTTAATAAAATATATCCATACTTTCATATTCTTTTCACTACCGTCTATGCATTTTACAAAGTGTTCTTCCCGCACATAAAAGGTGGGATGTTCCTCCAATTCGTCCAAATCTTTTAAGATGATGTCGTCAACTTCATAGATTTCTCCTTTGACGTAATGTCCAACACCTAAAAATGCGTATATGTAATTTTTGGCTTTTACCTTTAATGTAGATTTAGCTTAGTTATGAATGGAAGGATCATAAATTAAGTAAAAGATTAGGGTTATTAAAACTAATTGATTACATTAAAACCTGTCTTTATTTTGTACATCCATGTCTAGACTGTGATTTTCCTGTTCTTTTCAAATGTGCTGCTCTAGCTTTGGTCATGCTCATTAAAGGCCAATTCATACTATAGCTAAGGTGACGCTCCGCTCAAAATATTGTAACATGCTATTTCAATAGGAATATTCACATTTGATGGTCAGAACATGTTCATAGAAATACACGCTACAATAATTGACCGGACCCGTGATCTGACCGATAATGTGAATCTCCCATTGCAGGGTGGGTGTCGGTCTCTAATAGTATTATTGTTTAGTCTCATTCTCTTAACTATTTAAGACTATTTTGCAAATTGTGGATGAATGGAGTCGACAAAGGGAATGTAGTAGCCCCCGATATAAGATCCTTCTGATGGTGGAGTCAAAAATCTCGCACGAGAACTTTGACAATTTTTTAAAATAGAAACATTTTTTCTAAATGCGCCATTTTATTCTGAATGCGTAAATAACAAATAAATAAAAAACAGTGGATAATGATCCATAGTGAAAATTGGACGAATTAATTTGAACACTAAGATATAACAGTGTTTGACAATTGATTCGAAGAAGATTCTAAATAAAACTATTGCCTCCAAAACCTACTCTACAGGCGTAATGAAAAATAATTTCTTTCAAAAAATGCCAATTATCTATCGGATATAGGCATAGAATGATATATAAAAGTGGCCCTAAAATTTAAATCTACATTCATTTCTGGCATCAAATAGTATATTTCATTACCAGTCCAGAAAGGAATATTTTCCCGTGGGCGCATGACGTTTCCCGTGTGAGGCGAAGCCGAACACGGGAAGTCATGCAAACACGGGAAAAGCCTTTCTGGACGTGTAATGAACAATATTTTTCATTATACCTCTCCGAAAATAACGGAGAATAATTATTTACATTGAAGTCCAAATCCAATTTGACAACAAATTCTGTTGCTTGTCTTATGACGCTTAAACGCCCATTATCTTCAACATCATCAATAAACGAGGGAATTAATTGTCTCGCCTGCATGCTCCGAAAATTCCGAACACTAAAATAACGTTAGTAAGTAACCATTTTATACTTGCAACTTGATTCAAATATTGCTCCCTTGTTATGCATATAGAACTTTTGGGATGTAGCCGACCATATGACGTTTCAAAAAGGCGATGGTTTTGCACAATTTGCTACCGTTCACGTTTTCTTCAACGGACCAGTTACAAAATTTTTATTTTCCTTTTCCCATCTCTCTTTTGATTTCGCTGGTAATAGTTGGGAACTGGTTTCTGCAGCTTCTCTTAATATATCTATTAGCGGGAATTTCGACTTCACCAAAATCAATTTTTAACACAATGGTAAAAAATCGGTTGACAATTATTATAACTGTCAAAGTCAAGTCGCGGTATGCATGGCAACGCATGGGATAGGGATAGCTATGGCAAACTTGATTTTTCGTAGCGCGCCGGAAAAAGTTTTCCAGTGCGCTCGCACGGGAAAACCCTACTTTCGGTGCGCTTGGGATACATGAAAAGACAATACTTTCGGAGAGGTATAATGAAAAATAGCTTTTGACGTTTTATGATTGATTATGATTGCCTTTGAAAAATCGCAGCAGCCTTGGAAACTTTTTCAAGAGTTTCGGCCGGTCATTCAAAAAATTCCTTAGATTTTAAGGATAAAAAACTCATCTTGAACGGTTTACCGTTTAAGTGATGATAAGTATTTAATGGACCTTCAAATTTTAAGAGAAAAATTGACAAAGCACAGATTTTCTCTTATATATATGAATACTACTAAGCTTTCAAAGGCCAAGATGGCGCCATTTCCGGTAGTAATGGAAGCGGCGGAGCCATCTTAGCATTATTTTATTTCAATTCGTATTGGTCGATTATGGCTGTGATTGTGAACCAAATTTCAAGTTTCTATTTCAACTGCAAGTTTGAAAACTAACGAACGGGCTTGCATGTATAGGCTTTGCTCTGTTATAAAAAAACTGTTAAGTACTCGGTTTTCGCTTCGAGATTAGGGCTAGTGGGTTGTTACAACATAGCAAGGTGTTGTTGGTTGTTACCCTTCCGCCTTCCCCTCAGGAGTTAGTCATCATTTTGAATAAGATACTGGAAAAAATTCAACATTGTATATACATGAATTTTGTCAACGAATCGGCATAAAATGTAGGTACTCCAGCTAAAATTTGTGCTTTTCCAATGTACGATGTAGGTCGTCATATTGGAGAAGATAGTAGGCAAAAACTGCGTCGATGAGCTCGAATGAAATTTTGGTCTCTTAACAAGATACTAGACAAAAATTCCATTGATTCACCTATTTTGTCTACAGTAAATGACAAAATGCACTGCCTCGATGGGCGCAAACAAAATTTTGCCCTCCTTGGTCATTATTTTGGAAAAGATACTGAACAAAACTACATTTGTTGACCAATTTATTTGAGAAAACCGCCCAAATCGATGGACCCAAACAAAATTTGGAGCTCTTCAGATGTTGGTCATTGTTTTGAATTAGATAGTGAACAAAAACTTCATCTATTCTATTCGCTTTGGTTTGGAGAACGGTAAAACGCACCATACTGATGTGCGCGAACAATATATGTTTTACGCTCCCCCTACCTTGGTCGTGACTTCGCGCAATAGCAATATAATTTGTGCAGAAACTTTGTTTACTCACCAATTACGCAAGGAAAATGGTAAGATGACCAACATATTAGTTTGAACACCTCTGTTAGATAATTGGTATACATATCATATATCTCCCATGTCGGCCTCAACTCAATTGTTGGTTGTTGCCCTGCTCTAATGTACGTCGTGACTCGTGATCTAGATATTGCATTTAAAAAAATGCTGTGGCTAGCGCAGACACCACCCGCACATTTGCGTATGCGCGATTCTGCCCTTTTGTGTCTAAGAATATGTGTACCAAATTTGGTTCCAATTAGTTCAGCCGTTTAGTCGGAAATCAGATCGAGATTTTGTGTGATTGGCATTCCTAGACAGGCTTTATGGTTCAGTGGTAGAGCATTGGACTGTAAATCCGGAGGTTGGGTGTTCGAACCTGGGTCGAGGTGAATTTTTCATCTGTGGCAGATATGGAAATTACCTTAGACCAGTTTCGAAACCTAATTCGTAAGGTAAATACCGGAGTAGTATAGAACAACTTAAGACCTTCTGCAGAGGCACCTCTAAAAAGCATTATGGGGGTCGCTCTGTAATTGGGCGCAAGCCTGTTGAGGGCCCAGAACAAGAGAGGGATAATAAATAAATAAATTCCTGGCGCCTGGTGATTCAAAACGTGTATTCCCGAAAAAAAAGTGGGAGGGTCATTGTTCACCCCCATTGCAATATACCTCCCTTACTAACGTGCGGGTGGTAAAAAATGTGCTATTGTGAGCGTTTGCCTTAAATTCATTTTCTTGCATTATTAGGAAGATTACAGATAAAAATGTACTCTTTTATCAAGTCTGTACAAAGTGAATAACCCTCCCAAATATATAGGTACGTAAATAATTATATAAATCAAAGCAAAATTTGTATTACATAACTAAGCATCCTCAAATTTTTAGATTTACTATACCACTTTCTTTGCCAGTTACAAAATGATTGAGTGAACAGAATGGGGGTTTACAGTATAGTTGAATTCCGCAGTTTTAATTTAATAAGCGTGTACCTGAAACCATAAAACATTTTTTTGGACAGTAAAAGTTTATTTAAAAATAGAGGCTGATTAGCAAAAAAATAATGAACATGTGCGGTTTTAAAGGTTTATTCAAAACGATATGATTGTGGCGGGCTCTGTGACGTAATAAGCCCGACCAATCAGCTCCTAGAACCATTCTGATGACATAACGACTTGGCAATATTGCAGGAGAATGGCATTTATAACTTGCGTCATCTGTCACAGGCACTTGTCACTTTCGTGCTAGATGCAGTTAAACATCCCTCTCAAAACGTCAAATGTGACAAACGTCAGACCCTCGCGTAAGGTTGCCAGCTCACTTCTACGTGATTGGTTGTAGGTTTGTGACGTATTTAGTCTGAAGCGTTTCAAATTCGGACTAAAAACACAGCTTTTCAATAATTTATTTTGGGTTTAGTTTACTCGCAAATAAACATTGAGGACACAAGGGTCTTTTTATTTTTAATGTACTTTGTGGATCAGAAATAAAAAATGAAGGCGGGATGACCCCATTGTAATCTTTTATAGGAGATGATATAGTCACTCCATTTTCCAAAGCTTGGTTAACAATATTTTCATTGTGCTTATAGCTTGATTATTATAAGCCCAGTTTAATTTTTAAACAATCATATCCAAGGATACAATTTAATGTTTGATCTATATAAGCAGAGTGCCAAGAGCTCATCAATTCGATATTTCCTAAATCCACACTAGGTTGCTTCAGTATTCTAGGTATTTTTTACATTCTGTCTAGGTATAGGTAGTAAATTTTAAGTCTTGCCCTGGCTTGCTCTTTTTAACATGTTTGAATTAGTCTAGAGTTTTGAATAACTCTCAAAACAAGTAAGTATAGCTCAGGGTTGCCAGATTGCGTATGGCCGTCTGCCGGAAACATAAATCTACATACATTGCGAACAACCCCCCCCCCTCCCGCCCTCAATGGTTTTTAATCCCACCAGTAACAACTTGTCCAAATTTAGGAATTTTTTTATTGGTATAAGTCTAAGTAGACAAATAAAACAAACTATACTTTCTTCATTCTTGCAATATAAGTAATAGAAGGGTAAATACAGTGCACTTAATTTAATAAATGAAACATAAACATCAACATCGCAAAGAAATAGTCAAACCGGACTACTAACTCCAAAATCGCAACGCAATGGTGTTGATTCGACAGGAATCACACACTCGCAGACCGACAGGCGGCAGACGAGTAGAATTTCAGCGCTCATTACGTGGTAACATTTCCTTTTGAAAGCAAGATCTCTACGAAAGTTTTTATTTGTGATTTTGTCATATTTAAAAATTAAGGTGTTATTAGGTGCTTAAAAAGGAAGCGTTTGACCTATTTGAAAAGTATTAAATTGAAATTTATTGTTCTGCCGGAGTTATAGTCGCGCCTGCCGGTGGCCGGAGAGCACGATGTAAAACCTGAGACTCCGGCTGAATGCCTGACATCTGGCAACCCTGGTATAGCTGTATAGTAAAAAGAATGAAAACAATGTAGATACATTACTTATACCTAATAACTTCGATGCAATAAAATAATGTAAATGTTGTTCTACGAATCGAATCCACTATTTGATCCTGATGAACCAGGTAGGTTGATGTATATATAGTCAAACAGTTAATCGCAATACACATATTTCACAAGTACAGAACAATTCAATAGTTCTAAATTACCTACCTAATTATACTTGCATCACCAGTATACTGAGGTATGATATTCAACCGGATTAACTGGATTGATAACTTGGTTGGTACATTTGACAATGGTTACCATCAGTTATTTCGATGGTAATTTACTTACACCAACTCGGTTGAATTGTCATAAAACCCTATAAGGAGACAAAATGACATATCCACATATCCCACCTGCACTATGTAGAAGGAACGGAACATTGTACCTCGTTGCAATAATCAATGGATACTTCTCTATCGTTTGTGCATTACATATAAAATTGGAGTGGCCAGCTTCATTCTTATAAAACCAATGATGATTGGGTTCATTTGTCTTTAATGTACCATAAACAAAAACGTAGTGCCGTGAAGAAGCCATCTGGTTAGTAAAATTCTGTTCCACAGCAAAGGCTCTACAAAAGAAATTCCCTTACAAAGTGTGACATTATTTGGAGTATACCTTTTGAAACAATCTTCACAGAGAAAAAGAATAATTATATAATTTAAATTTTTATTAATCATAGAAATAACTTTTTATTCCTTTTAAGGTTAAATATAATATGGCGGGAAATTTAAATCTTTATTTAAAGCCTGATCCAATCCTTACAAGAGAGGACTTCTTCTGTTTGCTTGATTTACTGTTGTTCGATAAGGAGGAAAATCGGCCCAATTCGGTCGTCAGACAATTCAAGTAGTTGGATTCTTCACAGTCATTCTGCGCGGAAGTGCCTTGGATTACAATACAGCTTAATCCTCCATTTCCTTGTGTGTGTTCCTGTTGATAGGACACTACTTGCCTTATTTTATCGAGTGATGCGATCGTGACTGTATTATCTGCAATATCAAAATGTATGAGACTTTAAAGTGTACAAGGAAGCAGACAGAGCTGGGTCGAGCGTTCTAAAAAACCGCTCGAGCGACGAGCACTCTTATTTTCTTAAAAATGCTCCCGAGCATCGGTTGTTTTGCAAAGCGAAACCGCTTGTGAGTTCCGAGCACTCCTAAAAGTGCTCGAGCGGTTTATCGTGAGCGCTCGGGAGAAGTGCTCGTGAGCGGAAAAAACGCTCAAGAGCGGAAAAAGCGCTCGTCGGTAGAAAAAAAGCGCTCGAGCGCCGAGCACTTTAAGTAAACGCTCGAGTATCGAGCACCAAGCGGTCGCTCCGAAAAGTGCTCGCAAGCGCTTTTACGAGCAATACCCAGCTCTGGAAGCAGAGCCGAGCGTTGCGGTACAGCGCAGCAAATTTTAAACGCGTCAGGAAGCATTGGAACTGGCGGACTGCTTAAAACGTGCGGTTCTGTATGTTGACAAGTGAAAATCGAGAAAGCGTAGCAGATCGAGGCGGTGCGAGCTAGGGGGACTTCAAATTATTGTAATTACATTAAGGGGGGATTAACCTAAGTAAGAAATAAAGATAGAATGAGGACGGCAATGCTAAATAAGTTTAGTGGGAGTTAACATTTGGAAGTATCTACATATTGAGGAAAGTCAAATAACGAAGTGAATTTTGGGCATTCTTTTACATGCACCAACATCTGATTCACGCAAAGTAAATTGTGTCATTTTGTTCTCGCGCATCCTTACCCATTGGCGTTCTATGTTGTGTTTTGTATGCAGCATTTTACATTTTTGTGAGTTTCAATCTTTGTTTCTGAAATTGAGTTGATTTAACCTTAATGCAGAATCACACATTTGATACCGTTATCCTTTTGTTTGTAATCGTTTATGTTTTTGGTGTAATGCGTGCTTAATTTATGTTTTGATTACATGGTCTTGTCTTGTCTGCAAGGTTTTTCTCCGTCGTACTCTTTTTACCCTTGGCAGATTACTTTTGCGAGAGTACGGCACCGTTTGTCTTTGCCTGCTTTGCTTACATTAATGTACTTACATCAACTAAATTTCCGGGCTTTCACAATTTCAGCGTTTTATTTTACGTTCCTTCCCTAGTCTACTTCAGGTCATAGCGTTGTTTACAACTATAACTAACGTAAAGGCAGGGCGCGTTAGATGTTTGATCACGTGCCATTTTTCAAATTGTTTAGTTTTGGAGGGTATAGTCATTCGAGTGGCCTTTTTTAATCGTTACCGGGTTGACTTTATTGCCCTGTTTTTGTAGTGTGAAGTTAACATAGAACACTATAGACTAGGGATAGTTTTTTTAAGTGTTAAGACATATCTTCCAGTTTAGTATTAAATAGAGAGTGCGGTATTTTTTGTGCATCGAAATAATTAGAGAAGTTTCATAACTTTTTCATTGCCACGCCAAGTCGAGCACAATTGTTTTTTTTCAATTTCATTCAAATTTTAAAGATACCTAAAAGATACCAAATTTCTTCAAGATCAAAATTTATGAATTTTGAAAAATTTTACAAAATCTAAAAGGGCATACTTACCCTAAAACATGAGCAAATATGTTAAATCCTCCAATGTGTTATGGTTACTGATACAAAAAAGCTAAAGAAGAAATGACAATTTATTCTTTATTGGAACTTGTGAAGACGTACCAAATTTTTGAGATAATTAATAAAACTGTCGTAACCTGTAGGTATATATGTAATCCTACGTTTTCTGAACAACCATACTCTAATTTGCTTACATGATATATTTAAATGTGCAAGTGCCAAATTTCCAGTGCACCAAATTTCTTGTCCTTCACTATATGTGTCTTTCACAAATGGATGCGGATCCAGTTTTATAGATACTTCGGAAGCACTCCAAGCCAACTTTTCAGTACTCAATGATAATCTTTTTGTTTGTGACAGTTTCGACTCTTTCTTTCCCGATGAAGGTAACGAGTGAGCTGAAACTTTCACATATAAATTATTGTTATAAGCCCAGTTAAGTCGCATGGTTACATGGAAATAATTATAACACATGACTAAGGGTCAATTATTTAAATTGCCAAACGCTTGGTAGGTACTGGACAACTTTTTACTCTATGGTATGGTACTGGGCTGGGACTGTCCATTAATACTATATAGCTTATTCTCATTTACCTCTTACCCTGCACGGCATTTACCTCTGCTTATTTTTTTATGTATCTCTTTTTCAGGTTTCAACGTTTCGGAACAGGATTTCTGAAATAGGCTACTGGAACTTTGTCCATTTCCTTCATGTGGTTCGCTCTAAAAACCGCACAAACTTAATGTAAGAACTATGTTATGTTCTTCAAACTACAGAGGTTACTCCAATAGCGAGATTTGTATAGTTATACCCTAATCTATTGGTTCATTTTAAATTTCCCGCAAGTAGACGACGTCACACTTTATGTGCTTCGATTGGTCAATTTCAAATGAGTTCAAATGCTGATTTACCGTTTTAGCTTTATCCCTTAAATAATTTAGTACTCCTCGCCTTCTTATAACACATTCGTCCGGTGTAAGAATAAACTTCCCTAATATATTAACCACCGAGTGTACACCAGCGTCTGTGATCCAATTATCAGCTAAATTTAAAGACAATAAAGTTCGGTTGACACGCAACACTTCAGATAGAAACTCAGCACCCGTGTCAGATATAAAATTGCTAGACAGATCGATAGCGCGCAGGGGGTGATCGTATGGCAGTTTCAGTTGGTTTGCTATCAGTTTCGTGCCTCTGTCATTAATTTGACAAAATCTTGCTGATAAATAGAGTAAATGCGTATCTTTGATTAATATGTAGAAATTTTGAAATGGATTTGGGTTTCCATTCACGCTTAGAGTCTGAATGTTAGGGTAACTTTGCACGATAGTTTTGACGGTTCTAATATCAGTATTCTTCAAACCACAATACTCCAATCTTTAAATAAAGGATGTTAATCAAGAGTTGGTATTCTTGCGAGCTTACTTTAATGTCCGGAGCACATCGAACCCGTGCAAAATTTTCCTTAGGGATATTAAAAGTCCTCTATTTACAATCACATTTTTGAAAATTATGCAGTTTAAAACGGCTTGCAACTCGTTAAATATTAACATTATCTCGGGTTCGTCTACTTTTACTTGCACCTTCTTTTCTGAGGAATTCAAATTTTTACTACTGGAACGTAAACCGGATATTACCGTAACTAGAGAAAATCCCAATTGGTTGTTCGGCGATTAAAAGTTTAAGTTTTGGGAAATTTGTGCCACAAAATTGTTTCCAATATGGTTTTAATGATTCTTCAAAATTCAGTTCCGAGATAAATTGCTTTTTTTCTTTGATGAGTGAAGATCGTTCTTTTCGAACCGAATGTGAGTTGCTCTTCGATGAACTTTTGTGTAGCAAAGATTTTTTAGACATTTTGAATGTTAACTGTCAAACTAACAGTAAAATCTAGAAGTTCGAAAGTTGATATACGCTTACAATTCTGATTTTTTTGTACAAATATTCCTTGGAACCTTGGGTCATACCAAAGAGTGGGTACTCTTTGGTCATACAGACGGTTTAGACTTGGGACTCTATAATTTGTTTTGAATAATCACCCCGCCTAGTTATGCCGGCGTCATGCGAAGGAGTTCATTTTGGACCTTTGAGTCAGTCTTGTTTAAATTATAGCTGTAATTGGCCTTTTTATACTCGAAATGAAAAAGCTTAGACCATATTAGATGGAATATACAGTGATATTCATGTAGAAGTAGACATAGGTATTTCCTATGTCTACTTTTACATGATAAAGTCTTCTAAGGACGCCTAACTTTATGCAACCAAAGTAACTACCTACAACAAATGAGGATCTGCCTGTCATATTAATTAATTTGAATATTATCCTTATTCTAATTTCGGTTCGTGTGCGATGTATTCAACTAAAGAAAAAGTTGATATTTCCAATTGGTATAGTGCCGGTAACAGTTAAAGGAGCTTAAGGGTGGAATTCATAGATATTACTTAAGTTAGACTCACACTTCACTAATTGCACACTTAGTTTAGTAACGCGTATTGTAGATCTCCGAGTAGTTTTTAACTTTGCGTAGTTGTTTTTTTACCTAACTGTCATTTCAATTAGTTTGTTTTGAAGTCCAAAACCGAAATTTATTTTTTGTACTCATTGAATGGAAAGATAATGTTTCCAAGCATCCTCGATGCACGGGAAAACGACTTTCCCGCATCGCGGTGTTTTTTAGTTTCCGCTGGAGAGAAGGGGTTATGCGCGTTCTTCGGTTGGTAGTACTTATTGAAGTCAACGAACGTCATGTCATGGTTAACTGTCATCTGCTGTAAAATCAATTAAACCGTTGGTTGAGGGTATTTAGTGCGATTAATCGGAAACAGACGTACACTAAGTTTTACGTAAATATATAAACAAGAACTTATAACGCAATCAAATTATTTTTCAGAATTGGAACTCAAGAAAAAGTAAAATTTATTGTTAAAACGTCTTAAAATGTGACCAGTGATATTCTGCAACTATTCGCATATGCAGTTTAAGAAAGCAAACATATTACAACGTAGTTGAGAAGGTTAGCGTCGAAAATCCAGCGTCGGAAATCCACAGTATTGCGTATTACCAAACTAACCTAGCAAATCTCATTGAATTAAATATTTTTCGTTAAAACAAAATATTAATGGTGGCGTATCACAGTGACTTTAGATATGATTAAGGACCCATGAGGCCATCTAAATCCGAAATCCACACGTTTTTTATTCATAAATAAGAAAGTTATTAAGTACGCGAAGATCGCGAAATCAGATTACTATATTACGGACGCTCGGAAAATCCGGTGGCATTTCAAACTAGTGGTGGCGTATCCAATGTGACTTTAGATTATGATTAAGGACCATGAGCATCTAAATCCGAAATCCACACGTTTTTTTTCATAAATAAGAAAGTTATTAAGTACGGAAGATCGCGAATTTTGTCATTCTACCTGCGCGTGTGCACTATTCTATTTCATTTTCATGGAATGAAGTTTTCAGCCGTTAAAATGAGAAGAAGCGACTGCGTGATCACCATGAAAGCTCTCAACACAATGAAAGTGCGCGATGAAAACCGTCTGGTGGATCCGTTAATACTGTTTAAAAGGATTTCAATTTTGAAGAAAAGTGACGCTCAACTGAAGAAATACCTGGAGTATGAATTGGCACCATACCCCTACTTGGCGCTGTTTGACGAGAAAGGGATGCGAAAATGTGTCAAATCTACACTCTATAAAATCTTCTCAGAGAGTGATTTGACTCAATATGATAAAACTAAGTCAACTTACGTTATTGATGGTGGCTTCCTGCTTCGTAAAATTCTGTGGGAGCGAGGGGAGACATACAAGGTAACATGTCAGAAGTACGTCTCATACGTTGAGCGTCGCCTACTGCCGCTGCATTCAGTCTCCACGCCTACCGATGCTTTCATCAGGTGCAAAAATGGAGAGGAAACAGAATGTTGATGAAATTTCTTAAATTAACGTTCAAATCGGCTATCCTATGGTACAATAAGTGAGAAGTACGTCTTTCATCAATTTAGGCGTCCATACAACCATAAGTACAAAAAATCATCAAAGAACTCAATATTAGACTACTCAAACGAACGCTGTAGGCTATCGGTTAGGCCTGGACTAACTTGCAAGTAAGCTATCGTGTAGGAAATTTTACGAGGAACATTTTTTTTTCAAAAGTTTTTCTCTAAGCCTGCTACATTTCGAGATATTAACGAAAAACTGATTTTGGGGGGCAAAAACGTGCCACAGCTCGATGAGCGGCGCAGTTGGGGGTCTGGACTTTTAGTACGTTATTCGAGACACCTAACCTGAGACATTTCAACAAAATCCAGCTTTCCCCCCCAAAATGTTTAGACCGATGCACTTACCGCCTGTACTATTGTGGGAAAACCGAGAAATTATGGAAATTAGGTACTTATAAATTAGCATTTTATCAGAAATCACTCATGCCGTGAAATTATTGAAACAAAAAATTCGTTCGTGCAGCGTATTTTTACGCAAATGATACATTCTAATTGACTTAATTTCTACGATTTCCCAAATTCAAAAATAATAAATGAGGACATGAACAAACGCAGAATTTGAAAGCTACAAGAAACCTATTTACAACTTTGCTGCAAAATAATTAGGGGATAAAATATTTCAATATAAAGAAATTAACATTGAAATCCCCGAGGAAATCCCTATGGTGCGTAAACCAATTCTACACCCTGTATACGTCACCACTAGTTTGAAAATGCCATCGGATTTTCCAAGCGTCCGTAATATAGTAATCTGATTTCACGATATTTCGTACTTAATAGCTTTCTTATTTATGAATAAAAAGGTGTGGATTTCGGATTTAGATGGCCTCATGCGTCCTTAATCATAATCTAAAGTCACATGTGATACGCCACCACTAGTTGAAAATGCACCGGATTTTCCGAGCGTCCGTAATATAGTAATCTGATTCGCGATCTTCCGTACTTAATAACTTTCTTATTATTGAATAAAAAGTTGTGGATTCGGATTTTAGATGGCCTCATGGGTCCTTAATCATAATCTAAAGTCACATGACTGATACGCCACCACTAGTTTGAAAATGCCACCGGATTTTCCGAGCGTCCGTAATATAGTAATCTGATTTCGCGATATTTCGTACTTAATAACTTTCTTATTTATGAATAAAAAAAGTGTGGATTTCGGATTTAGATGGCCTCATGGGTCCTTAATCATAATCTAACGTCACATGTGATACGCCACCACTAGTTTGAAAATGCCACCGGATTTTCCGAGCGTCCGTAATATAGTAATCTGATTTCGCGATATTTCGTACTTAATAACTTTCTTATTTATGAATAAAAAAAGTGTGGATTTCGGATTTAGATGGCCTCATGGGTCCTTAATCATAATCTAACGTCACATGTGATACGCCACCACTAGTTTGAAAATGCCACCGGATTTTCCGAGCGTCCGTAATATAGTAATCTGATTTCGCGATATTTCGTACTTAATAACTTTCTTATTTATGAATAAAAAAAGTGTGGATTTCGGATTTAGATGGCCTCATGGGTCCTTAATCATAATCTAACGTCACAAGTGATACGCCACCACTAGTTTGAAAATGCCACCGGATTTTCCGAGCGTCCGTAATATAGTAATCTGATTTCGCGATCTTCCGTACTTAATAACTTTCTTATTTATGAATAAAAAAAGTGTGGATTTCGGATTTAGATGGCCTCATGGGTCCTTAATCATAATCTAACGTCACATGTGATACGCCAGTCGCCACCATTATATTTTGTTTAATGAAAAATATAATTCAATGAGAATTGCTTAGGTTAGTTTTGGTTCATACGCATAGTCTGGATTTCCGACGCTGGGAGTTATTTACGCAACTCAAGATATTCAGTGCAAACGATGCAATGCCGTGACCAGTAGTAGCACTCATTGCAAAGGCAAAATATGTATTAACCAAAGATGTGGAAGTTTTAAATGTGACCAGTGCATTATTAAAAGTGGGTAGTTACAAAATTATGTTACCAACCAAACATATGATTGTGTTACCAACTCATGATTAAAAAAAAGCTAATTTACAAAACTTTATTAATTTTGACCTTTTTTTACGCAATTCGTTACAAAAAATATTGTACCTAACTCTTTCGGAAAGAATTTTCCCGCATTCGCACTAAATGCAGCACTCCCTACGGTCGTGCTGCAAACAAAGTGCTCATGCGGGAAAATTAACTTACCGAACTTGTTAGGTAAATAACTATAACCTACGGGGAGTAAATTAAGCCGCATTTTGCCAACACTCCGCCCACTATAAAATAAAGGCAATATAAATCACAGGAGAAAGCTTCGACGGTCTGAAAAATTTTCCAGAATTACCCTTTAATACAGTATGCAGCACAATTGTTTAATGGGATTCGTAACCTTTGAAGTTTGAATGGTGAGGAATTGACTTTAAACGTCGACCAACCTTTGAACTTTGAACGGTGATTGTAGTTTTAGTAGTCTGACTTTGTAGTAAGTGTGAGTGTGCGCATGCGCTGGCACTATCTTGACGCGCACAACCTTAATCGATTGTAGTAGACCAGTCAGTCTTGTCGCAGTCATGGCGAATGTACAAGCAAAACGCTGAGTGTTATGCTGAATGTGCGTGATTCTTATGCTATGACGTTTTCGCCCGGTGTATGGGCATGCAAATGTGACCCCTCCTGGCACGAAGGTCGATATCGCTTAGTTCTTTGTTGTGTCACAGAGGGAGCCGACATAGAAACCTATTAAAATATGTACATTTTCTCTATCTTTTAATGAAAACATGAAACTATATTGCAGCCTTAATTATTAATGTTTATAATCGGAGTCCATTTTTTTTTATGGCCCTATAGAGGGTATTATACATATACATATTGCGTAATTTATGCAGTGGATATTTTCAATAATTTTTATTTATTTTTCAATGTCTTAGCTGTTTCAATAATATGTTTAAAACTGGCTACTTATTTCACAGTAGGTATATGCGGAATACAATCTCGCCTTTAATGTAGTCTCTGTCATGTAATTAAGACGTTAAAGTATCACACATTCTGTTGCAAGTTGGATTCATCGATTATATTTTATAGCTTTTGTAAAATTCCTAGAAATAAATGCAATCATTTTGCAAACTGACTAATATAAGTTCCAAGTACTCCGTCTGGCTTATTTTTATTGACTTCAATCCCTAACTAAGTATAAAATTGTTAAAGCCTGCGTAGCTCACCTGGTTATTATACGCGCCAGCGTCCTATTTCAGGTATCGTAGATTCCAATCCCAAAGCCAATACAAAAAATGTTCTCCAGTCATGACCGATGACGCGGCTTCAAAACAGTACCTATCCAAGATGGCGGGCCAACTACCAAAAAATATCACGGGCCAATTGCCGAAATATAAGTACACTTACTGACTGATTACGCTATCGATGGTTCGTCTTTGTAAAATTGAAACTTAGGTCATTATTAGATCAACATGTGAAATTGTTGCTTTTATTTGATAGGTTGATAAGAGATGGTAAGATGATAAAGGTGCATGTTTTTCCATTATGTAGAATTACCTTATATTTAAAAAGGACGCCCCATTACGCCCGAGAGCGTTCGTTGAGTTTTTATCACCATTTTGAACAAAAAGTTTTTGAAACCCGGTACGGTTTTGCGTCAGTCAAACTCGTCGTTACAAAATTAAAGGTTGACCTGCATTGTTTGTTTTAATTGAGTGCATTGAAGATCATCATCAGAACCAGCAAGTAACAAGATATCGTCTGAATTCAACAAGTCCGCATAACGTCAAAATCATACAAGTATTTGAAAAATAAAATAATTGTGTTGGGAAAGTTAGGGTTTAATTTTAATTTTATTAATGTTTTATAATTGCTTTTAAATTTTGTCACGTGTGTTTACGAACCTAGTAAATTTAGAGTATCTTGTAATTTGGGCAAGCCAGAGTGTGTGATTTAGAAATTCTTTGTGAAACAAATGCAATTAAATGTGTAAGTTAGTGTCATTTTCAGTGACGAATAGGGGGATGATAGTCTCATTTATTCTTCTTACTTCTATACCTAAGTTCTGCATGACTAAACGTCAACAATATAAACCTTAAGGGCTAGGTAGAGGAACTCCTGATTTTTGAAAGCTGATAGGCTGGAACTTTCCAAAAAGCATTTAGAAAACTGATGCATAATCAGTTAATAATATTTATTCGATTGCAAATCAAATTAAGAGTGAATGAGAGTTTATTAATGTTTAAATTACATGTATGGGTAGCTGCTTATACATATATAAGTACATGTCTGAGAGTAAGAGATTTACAAATACTTACCTACTTCCTCCAAACTAAACATTTATTGTTTGCAGGCAAGTTGTAAATTTCAAGTAATTGTATGCCAAATCCCGCTGCCAACTTTTTTAAGTCCTGAATGTCTCGCAAACCCCATTCCTTATTTCGGGTCCTCAAATTGCGGTCGAAGTCGATATTGGACTGGGGCGTTATGACACCGTCGTTGGCATAAGGTCCGTATGTAAACAAAAGCCCACCACTTTTCAACAATTGCGCGGAATTTTGAAAAAGTCCCACTGCACACTGGGGTGGCGATATATGCATCATGTTTATGTTTAATACATAATCGAAATGCTGTTCTTTTAAATTCCACGAGGTATGCGGTTCTGTTACGTCAATGTAGATTGGATCTTTAACATTCTTTGTCTGTACCTGATCTGCGTAGGCCTTTATGCTGTCGAATAAGGAAACTTCATATTCTGACGTATGGAATGTTAGTGTAGGAAAGTGTTCGGCGAAAAATGACGCGTGTTGACCGGTGCCGGAACTAATTTCCAAAATATTTCCTACGGCATCGGACGGAATATGTTTCTGTAGTGCTTCAAGAATAGGTTGTCTGTTGCGATGCGCTGAAGGATAGCACACCTTTTTACTGCAATTAAAAAATAATTTTAAATTACAATAATAAACAAAATTATACAAGGGATCCCAATGAAAAAACAAAAAAATTATAGCAGAATACCTGGCTCCGGAGGTTGTGAGAAATGCAAGATATGGGTTTGAAGATTGTATAGGAAGTTAGTGGAGATCATTTCAAGCAATATAGGTACATTCGTTAGTTAAAACCTTTTTGGGCTTTTATTAATTTTTAACCGCGATTTCTCGGTGCCTAACCGATCGATAAAAAAGGTTCTGTAAGTAATTACACAGGACTTCACCAACCGAAAAACTAAAACCGTCTGAAACACCGGGATATCCGTGGCAGCTGGCTGGTATAGACTTGTGCAAAGTATCGGAAAGAACATACATAGTCGCGGTGGACTACTACTCAATTGAAACCTGGAAGTGGCCAACGTGAAATCCCAGAAGGTGGAAGAAACCATTGCAAAATTGCGAGTCTTACCTATAGCAAGATGGGGAATTGCGAACATTCTTAGAACTGATAACGGACCATGCTTCCATGTCAACAAATTCAAAGATTTTGCGGATTTCAGTTTTCAGTACATCGCCTGCATACCCTATAAGAGATAAAAAATGTTTCAAAACCCCCTCGTGGGTATTGCCGCGTAACACAAAGTATTGAAACGATGCATTGTCATCGAAAGCACATAAAATGTCGAATCTGCATATTGAAGCACGTCCACGTCCAGAGAAAGAGAGGAGTTAAGTAAATAAAATAAAGGTTCAAAGAAATATTACCATACATAAGAAAGTTGCCTATGAGCAGTCTGTGCAGTCACTGCGCATGCCCACACCTAATTTTTTACTATTTGCGAAATGTTTACGTTTACTAGAAGCGTCTGTGGTTAAAATGTCAAAAAAATATCTCCAAAATATGAAAGTTGGCATTGCGCAAAATATCAATTAGCGAAAAGCAGAAGTCTCTAGGTCGCCCAGGGGCCGAGATCTCGATGGAACGGACGCACGGACGGACAGACGCAAATAAACACGAGCACATAAGCTTTACCTCAACTTCGTTGTGTTACGCTAAAAAAAGGTAAAAATATAGAAATACCTGAAGATCCACAAATAATACCAAGAGCAGAGTATCAAGAACACATGATTATTTTCGCAAGAGGAACTGGAGGAAGCGATTCAGAAAAGAAAGTGAGAGATCACCAAAGAACGTTGCAGTTGAAGCATGTAAGGTTAGAGGGATATCTTTTTCAAATCTTCATTTAAGGCCAGATTTATCAACTTACTAAATTAAATTAAAATTCAAGAATTATAAAATCAAATTCACTTCCGCAGTTCAACAGAACCTAAATTAAACCAAAATGGTTCAATATCAGGCGTAAAAATGTGTATCCAAAATGTTTAGATTTGGCACACATGAAATAAAGCTAAATTTCGTACCTATGTATAGCTGGGTACTTATAGATAATAGTTTTATTAGACGATAAAGGGATGTTGTAACCATCAAATGAATTAACATTCAAGAGATGGTTAGTTTTCCTTTATTGACGTGTATAATACAAAACTTTATTTCATAGCAAAAGCCTTAGAAATAAATAATTATAAAAGGAATTCTTGAAAATTCTGTATTTAATTTAAACATCCAAAACGCAAGCTTAGGTTCTTTTGTCGTTTCCATGGAAACAATATTGTATCCTGTTCATTTTCATTTTATTTCGTGCTCCGCGTACCATTTTTAATAAATGACAGATGTCGCATTGGAATGCACAATACAAATTTATTTCACTTTATCTACCCTCATGGTTAAAAAGATAGGTACTTAGAGACTTCTCCTTTTAACCTATTAAAACGTCAATTTAATATCTGCTATAAAATTAAAATATAATAATGTTTACCTCATGTTTCCAAATATGTACTTGAAGATAAATGAAAGTGCCACCTATAAAAAAAAATTATGTTAAAAATCGAAATGTAGGTAATAACGGATAAAACTAAAAAAAGGAAATTTGCATAAAACTGAAAACTCTTTATTATACAAAAATAACAACGAAAAGTATTGATTTTCTGTTAATCATGGACATATTTTAAATAGCCACACTTTGTCATTTTATCTTTTGTAGGTAATTATCATTACATACCATAATTTTTTGATAAACAATAGGGGGATGAATGCTAAGTCGCCATTATGCAGTTGAATTGGAGGTACTCCAGCTGTAGGAAAGCCACAATTAGTCTAAATGCATGATTTTGGCATTACAGTTTGTGGAGTAATTTAATTCTGATGATGCAACAAAGTGAATTGCTATCACTGATGAGGTACAAGTCAAATGTGTCAAAAAATATAAACGTTCCTACAAAATTATAATATTAAATAGATGACAAGCCCTCTTTAATTTTTAAATTAGAGACCATTGAAGATCAAACACTAGCATACATTTTTTTATTAAATGGAAGAATAATCGCTGAACATCAGAAACTGTAGAGTCTCTATTTAACACTTTTGTTTGTTACATTGGCAAAATTTATTGCGCGATTGGAGTTTGACACTCAACAGAAACATATTCGGCCAGTATTATAACGCCATACTTAACTATGTTGTCAGCTAACGATGTTGTTAAGGCATGTGATTGGATGTTTTTGCAAAGAGCGACCTTATTCTTTCCTAAAATATCCAAACACATGCAGTTAGCTGACAACATAGTTAAGTACAGCTTTATAATACCGGCTTATTATGCTACACTATGCATGTAATGAGATGTAAATTATTATCTCAGATTACCTGATTTATATCTACAGACAAAAATAGATTATAATAATTTATTTACTACCAGTCATATTTACATATGCCATAAATAAATAGTTGAACAAAATCAAAAACCGGGAAACATTTACTCTTTAGAATTCTTGCTATGTGAAGTAGCGGGTAAGTAGACACTATGCTGTGTACTTTTGAGATGACTAAATAACTTATTTTTAGAAGGGAATTGAGATTTACATGTCACGCACACATTATCTTGATCCCTCTCTGGTTGGCGGACAGGAACTTTTGACTTATTTTTTACTTTGTTCTTACTTTTTCCTTTCTTTTCACTCTGTGCGTCACTTGTTTGTTCTAATTTAACGTCTTCTGTTTCCTTAAGAACGTCTGTCTTCACAGTCCCACTTTTGGGTTTTCGCCTCTTCTTTTTTGTAGAAGCCTCCCCAAAGTGATCCTCATCACCATTTTCTTGTACTATGAATTCATTGTCTATCTCGGAATCGCTATGGTAGGTGGTTTGAAGAACATTCTTCGCTTTCTTTGTTTTCTTTCTGTCTACATCATCGTGTACTAAATCATCAGTTTCGGCATTCTGGTCATCAGCTGCATGAAGATCTTCAGGAGTTGCATTTTCTTTAAAATCCTCAGCAGTCATAGTTTCCTTAAGTATTTTAACATTCTGCTTATGTTTTTTGCTGGTCTCATGATTTGCATATCCCTTAGTCGACTTAAACAGTTTATTACACGCTACACAAAATAAATTCTCATCTAACTCGCTATCCGAATCCTTACTCTCATCACCTGAAACCTCCTCACCAAACGTTTCAGCCAATTCCTTCTCTATATCTTTTAATTGTCTCTCGACATTATCAAACCTAGTCCACTCTGCAGCCGGTTGGGCGTCACTTAGCTCTTTTCTTCGCTCTAATCGTTTCTGCCTGCTCAATTCCTCTTGCTTTTGCCGGTTGTGTGCAATTTTTGCCTCTAATCGTCTGGAATTTTCCAGCACTCTTTCATCCCTTTTTTTAACAAAAGCGACCAGGGCTCGCACTTCCTCGTTTCTCTCCTTTTTTGCTTTCTGGCGAACTTTTTTGTTCTCCTTCTCCACCAGCTTAAAAATTCGACGGTCGCGAACTTCTTGAATATTATGAGGATTTAACCAAGCATAACTGCGTTTTGTGTTATACGAAGTCCAGTACGCATAAAATGGCCCTACAATATCATCGTAATCGCTTGTGGAGGATCCAAAGGATGGCGGAATAGATGAATCGGCATCGTCATCTGCATGCTCGGTATCTTCGGCGACGATCTTTTCGAATACTTGTCGATATACTGTGTAAAAGCCGTCAGGTCCGTCATTATAGCCTTTAAAGCAAGAAGTAGTGAAATACTGAAAGACGTCTAACGCGGAATCTTGATAATCTTTGGCATACAAAATTTGATCGCGATGCTTGTCGTACCAAGCTCGTTCTTGACGATCACTGAGCACATCGTACGCTTGTTGGACAAACTGGAACTGTTCCTTAGCATATTCCACATTATCTAAATTCTTATCGGGATGCCATTTTAAAGCTAATTTTCTGTAAGCTGTCTTTATCTGGGAGTCATCTGCATCTGTTTCTATTTCTAGCACCTTGTAATGGCATTTCATTTTCAACGAAATAGTAGTTTCACTTAATTTAATTGTAATTTTTAAAGAAAAAGAGAGGTAATGTCGAAAATTGGGTAATGTTAGGAAACAAAAATCTATCTTACCGAAATGTACGTGTAGGTTATGTGCACCTCACCCTCAATTAGCGTGAGGTCGAATGTAATACATTTAAAGATCTAAAATTGGGCTGTACGAAAAATTGTAGATATCAATTTCAAAAATTTGGATGTAGTACGATTTGAAAATATTTTCTATTTGGGATTTTAAATCTATTTTTTGATGTTAAATTAAAAAGCATCACTATTTGCTATTTACTATAAAAGTGGTATCGACAAGTTGATCGTTTTTTAATTGGTCTAAAGCAGAGGTCGGCAACCTATTGAAACTTGAAACAGAAGAGCCAAAAGTTAATTTCCCCGTTTTTAAAGAGCCACTAAACATTTTCGATTCAATGTATTATTTCATTGGTCTAAGTCATTGAGTTAGAAAACTAATGGAGGGAATATAATGGTAGAGGGGGTAAGAATTTTTGTAGACGGAAGTCGGAAGTTGCCACAGATAGAGGCCACTCGCTTGGATAGGTTCCCGTGAAGGTACATTTTGGCCGACATTTACTGCTTTCCATTTGAGTGCGTGAAGCTCTGGTGCAGTTCGTTTGGAGCAGCTCATTTTGCAAGTTGTTCATTTTTAACACATTTGAATTGACATTCACAGTACGTAAATAACCACAAAAGTGTTACAAGCCCCAAGCAAATAGGTGGTGCATGAGGGGACAAGGGAAATCCAATTTCGGGCGCGTCAGAGCCAGAGACATGGAGAGAGCTCGAAGCTTTCTTAAAAGGAACACAGGGCATCGTGCACGGTACAGCTTAGAGCTCCTCTTTCACTCAAATGGAAAGCAGTAATTATTTGACATATGAAAACGCGGGTCCTGTCACTGTCAGTTTTCCACCAAATTCAAATTTTATTATATTTGCCATTTTAAAGATCGGTTTGTGCTCTGGTTTATATAAATAACTAACTGCCGCATGGTGTTTTTATCACACGCAATTTTGTGAATTGAGAATGATTAGCTGCGTATCATGCAAAATTTCTCATAAAGGGAAGAAATAGGGCATTTCCTTTCATCGGTAAGACATGTCATTTATCATGTTGTAGGCGAGGTTGTAGGTACCTAGTTTATGTTTCTTAGTTTTCCAAACGAACCAGTACTTCGAGCAAAATGGTTACCTAACATTTGTAAATATATCTCAAGAACAGCTCTCGAAATTTGCTTTTGTGCTCACAACGCTTCATTGACTGTGATTTCGACCAAAGGTTGCACCGGAAAATGTTCATCAAATATGCAGTAGGTACTATCAAAACCTGTTTTTACAGCTAAACGTGTGAGTTTATAATATGGATATCAGGGTGTAAGTTTTTTTACGTGTGCGGATACATTTTGAGACTAATAAACAATAAATTATTATTGAATCTCTCTGCCGTTGTAATGAACCTGAGACCAACCAATCAATTGTAGCTATTGATCAACACAGTGAATTTAATGGGAGTTGTCAAGTTGTAGTGGATATAGTAAACTGGCCTTAATTATACTACTGGAACACCGATGTATATTTAGATTTGTAATCAATGATTATATTAAATCTGCATACTTTCCCATCCTTGTCTATTTTGTTTACTTCACCATGAGCATGTATTTTACTCCTTCTATACGTTTACTTTATTATTCCTATTAGTGGAAAGAAAATTATATCTCTACGCCACTGAAGTGAGACGCTAATGATAACGGAAGTGGTGTGGTACTTTAATCACAGACAGAGGCCACTTTTGGTTCTCGTGGTATACGTCTGGCCAAGCATTTGATTCCCTCCATTAGTTTTCTAACTCAATGGTCTAAGTACTTGGTTATATGCAGGATCCCGCAACAGTGTCTCGGTCTTTGCTAGCTTATATACCTGGTAAAAAAAATCTTTTTGTACAAATATATGGTTGTGCATCTACAGAAATTATTTTTGAATGTACAGGGTGTCCCATTTTTACGGTACCAATAAATAACTCATTTTTTTTAAATACAGCACTCACACTATTAATATATTTTTACTTGTTTCAATGTCATTTGTTAACCTCTACATGGTAACCTATTCTTTTTTTGGTTTTTTGTCAACGTTGTCATAATTCCCGATAAGCAAGCTTCAATTTGATGCATCATAGCCACCTTTGATTTTGAAGTTAAGAAATACATTGGATCAATAATGGTAATTCGAGTAAAGGGCAACACTTTGATCATGAGAAAGTTGGATTTAGTGATATGGGGTGTTCACAATGAAAATTTCTAAACCCCAATTAAAGTGCCATAACTACTGTTTTTCAAATTGAAGTACCACTATTTTGTTTTGATATTCGATTATCTTTTGTGTTCTCTTCAATTTTTATAAGGGGCGTCCTGTGCTTTAAACTCCGTATTTGTTAGGTTATTCAATTTTTCACAAAAGACCTATAATTAGGTACCTACATCTTTATTAACGAGCTCCTAGCGAGTTTATAATTTTGTTGTGTTTGTCCGCCCGTCCGTCCATCCGTCCGTCCGTCTGTCCGTCCGTCCGTCCGTCCGTCCGTTAGCACGATAACTCATAAACGAATGGACCGATTACGATGAAATTTTGCAGGTGGATTCTTTATCAAATTTGTAGATCGGAGTTCGTGAATTGGCAATGTAGCCCAAAAAATAAGGAAAGCCCTTTTGACATCTCCGTGAGTTATGAACCGAATAGCATGAAATTCAATATGCGTATAGCTTTAGCCATATAAAACGCAATTCCAAAAATTGAGCCTAATTGATCAACATTCACAGTGCCCTTTTCGCAGCTCGGCCATTTATAACCGATTTGCAAACTTTTTAGCGCATTTTTGCAAATTTATTTGTAAAAAGTAGCTTTTAATCTCACTTTGGCTGGCTGGCTGGCTGGCAGCAAATGTGGGCGCGTAGAAGAACTCTTGTAGAAAGGCAACGGGTGTACGTGTATCTACAGGGCCGTGAAATTTGTCAACCTTAGGGACATGGCTACATGATGTGGGGTTGGCGACATCTGGGCGTCATCCTCGAGCGTAGTATACTAACGTGAAGGTTTTTCAGTTTTTTCCTATCTTCTACTACAGTTTTGGTCCGATTCTTTTCAAATTGGTGTCGTCGGAAAGATGTTGTAAACGCGCACAACTCCTGCGTGGCGGAATTTTGTTTTTTGTCATAGGGGCGAAATTAACGACCTTTTGCGAGGCGCGCGCGCGCGTCTTCGAGAAGTAGTCAACTTCGGGCGCCTTTTACCTTCCGTTGCGAACTCACGCGGTTTAACGTTTCGTAAATCTCGAATCGCTGTCTCTCTTTCTCGTGTCGCCAATAGAAGTGAATTGCGAGTGAACGGGACGTCGGAAGGAGGTACGGTCAAAGGAAATGTGGTAGCCCCCGACACGATCTTACTGATGGTGGAGTCAAATCTTTAAAAGCGAATTGCGGGTGCACGCGGAAAGTGGGAAGCGGTTAGTGAATGTAGTAGCCTTCGACAAGATCTGTTATTGATGGTTGAGTCGAAAGTGGCCAATAGAATACTGATCTGCCACACAAAAATGCCCTGAAGTCCCTTCGATCTCAAACGAGGACTTTGATAATTTTTTTATTTATGAAGGTATTTCAATGAAATTTGATACATAGCCACTTGGAATAAAAGCAAATGTAGCCCCATTTTCCAAATTTGGTTTTGTGTAGGATGTGCAGTGCCAACTTTCTTATTTATGGAAGCAATTAAATGAAATTTCGTACATATACACTGTAAATAAAAGCAAAACTAACATCAGGTTTAAAATTTGGTTTTGCACATGCTATAGCCATACCCAGGAACACGTTTTCTATATTTGTTTAGTTTATTTTTATTGTTAATTATTTGGAACGAGTCGTAGTGGTTTGCAATTAGGTACCTAAGTCTTGTTGCAATTCAGCCTAAATTTTGAGTCGTCTTTTTTATATCCAACACCATTGGAGATAATCCAGAGCGTACCTATGTAAATTAGGTAACATATGTATAATAATAATATAACGACACAATATACGAGATGAAAATATACAGGGTGACAATTTGAAAACTTACCACCCCCCATATCTTAGTAAATAAACGAGATATTTAAAAAAATCAAAATCCGTTTCGGTAATTCGGAGGGGGAATCACAATGACATAGTTGGCGACGAACCCCCTCCAACCCCCTGCGCCCCAGCCACCCCAACTTTTAAATCTTAAATAGTGACCCCCCATGTGTGATACGTCGTTGGAAAGCTATGAAAAAATGCTTTCCAACCATACCAAATAGCATTACGTTTAGGTTAGTAATTATCGCGCAAATCAAAAAATAAACTAATATGATACATTTGAAATCTGTCGTATTTAAAACGCAACCGGCGAACATAGACGAACTAAGACAGAGAATAATTCAAGAATGTCGAAATATTGCAAAACCAACATTTGAAAAGGTTCGACAAGAGTTTTAGAATAGATTATAACTGGCGATCAAAAATGAGTTGCTGTCGAGTCGGCTTTGGAAGTTCAAGTTAAATACGATTTTCCATGTTTATTTTTTGATTTGCACGATAATTACTAACCTAAATGTAATGCTATTTGGTATGGTTGGAAAGCAGCTTTCCAACGACGTATCACACATGGGGGGTCACTATTTAAGATTTAAAAGTTGGGGTGGCTGGGGCGCAGGGGGTTGGAGGGGGTGCGTCGCCAACTATGTCATTGTGATTCCCCCTCCGAATTACCGAAACGGATTTTGATTTTTTTAAATATCTCGTTTATTTACTAAGATATGGGGGGTGGTAAGTTTTCAAATTGTCACCCTGTATGAAGATGCAATGCCGTGCTACTTTCCATTAATGAAGGACAGTCACAATCATTCATTGATACTAATTGTTTTTCATTGTTCATTATTTCAGACAACTTAATGATAGAAAATTGCGGAACGTTTCCTAATAAGTTATAACATCCTTTTGGATTTAGCATATATTTTTCCATTTCGTAGGTAAGTAGGTATAAATAACGCCTAGATTCGTAAAGAAATAGTTTTACATCATGCATTCGGTTAAGTTATTTTTTCTGTTGCTTTCTGCCGAGGTATTTAGCAAAGGAAGATCGACAAAAGAAAATGGGAACAATACCGAGCCGATCGATGCTTTAAAAGCGGCGTTAATCGCACACAAAAAGGAATGTGCAAGTTCGAATGACCCGCCACCAATTGATCGAAAAGTTGAAGTTAAAAATACTAAAAATTCAGGTAGTAAAGAATATCCGACACATCCACGTGTTGAATCTGGCCGGCATCCATATAGGGATTATAATTATGAGCACGATTACGTAGGCCAAAGAGGTGGTTATGAATTAGACCCTTACCCTACACGAGTTGGATATAATCCAGGGTACATTCGGTTGAAACGCAATAATGATGAAGCTGATTATGACGACGATCAGGTAAGTATTCTCATTTCTCAATATCACGTTTATATCTTCATTTTAGTGTTTGATTCAATGCCTGTTTGAGTATTTAGAAGTGGTAATATTTTTCACTTTCAGTGTTAAATGTGTGTAAACAGTTACCAATTTTTAGCTAGACGAAAACCAGTCACCATCAGAGTTTGCTTTAATTAAGTGGTTCCAGGAGAATACACCCCAGAATGAGAAGCGAATTAAGGCCATTCGTGAAATTCGTCGCTGCTTTGGGCATACAGCTGCTACTGGTAATTGTATCCATTCATTAATAAGGCTTACTTGCAAAGGAGGGTTCCAGGGTACTAAATCGATTTGGAGGGGGGGGGGGCATTCTTTGCCACTTTTTCTACCTAGCCTGCTGTAGTTACATTCGCTTATTACCATATGCCTGCACCCTCATCACTTCATACCGAACGAATATATGAATGTGCATAATGGTTGTTTGCCTCCAACTTTTCCAAAATGGTGAACATATCCGACTGTTTTGGAATTTAAATTACCTCAGCTCAATATTAAACTAGAGAACCGCAAAACGATCAAGTCCTATTGCAAATTTCTAGTCTATTGCAAACCCATAAGACAAAAACACTAGAACTACGGCTGGTTTATTATGGATCAATTTATCCCCTTCCCCTACCTTCACCGCTGTTAGCCTTAAAGGACTACGAGCGCGTATTTACCGGTATTATCATTCATTCCAAGAAAGTAAAGTGCGTGTAAAATTTACTAAAATTACGTGCAAGGTCGGTATAGTCTCTTATGCGGGATTAAGGTAACAGTTGCCCAATAACTATTCCAAATAGAGGTATTTTATGAACCTTAATGTTCTAGAGCGTCCTTTGGGGAGAGGTGACGTCTGCTGGTTTCTCCTATACGAGCACACCCTGGTACCCACACTCATGTTATAATACATAATTTTTGAAATCTGAGCTTTTTCCACTAATGGGTTGAGTCTTTAGTTGTAATTGTTTATTGTGCATAGCTTTCGGCAGTCTAGTCTTTCTATTTAAGTTTTATTTTAGACGATGGTGATGGATGCGACTACTCCAAATCGTTGTTGAAGTGCCTTAATTTGGAAATCGAGGAATGAACCTACCTATTTACTAAAAACACATTATATATGCACTCTAAAATTAATTGGATCCGACGTGATAATAATTAGATTATACCATCAAAATGCATACCTAGATAATTACAGCAATTAGTGTGAAAATTTAGATTTATTAAGTATTCTAAAAGCCACATATGCACTTTATATAGGATACCTATATTGCATGAGTAGGTATCGGTAGGCCTACATAGAAGTAGAGGTGACAGGGCCGATTTTTGTAGCAATTATAGCCTATTCTCTTTAAATATAAATTATAATTGTTTGCCTATACCACTATACTTATATGCCGCGAGGCTCCTAGGAGGTTTCCTCAAATATACGACGCGAATGCTTTATGCTGGAGCAGTATCCTCCCCATCAGCAAAGAGTAACTCCTTCCGATCCATTCATAAACTTTCCCATCCTTGAATTCACATTGCCGGATTTTCTGTTTTAGTTGACCGGCCGTCTCCTCATTGACAAAGTACGGTACTATGGAAATTGAGCTCGTTTGGTATTCATTCGAACGAACTGATATGTTGACGAGGTGGTAGACCCAACCTTTCCAGTAAGGACGACTTAAAAGGCCCATGTCCGTATCTTGCAATGATCTTCTCCCCTTTCGTTTGTGGGAGATATTATGGATAAACAAATTTGGCGCGTCCCTAAAAATTGCATCAGGGACAACTCCGTCACAGATTGCAGGACACTTAGGGCACAATACCACAAAAGGAAATTGGCCACCTATTGGAATCACAAAGTCACTAACATAAGAAGTCAGAGTGCGGGAAACCAATATCCATTCGTTTCCGCTTCCACACTACCTAGGTAGAATTATTTTTAAGGGTTTCGGTTCTGGTTCTGTGGTTTCAGTAATTATCAGTTTCGGTTCCCGCATTTTTGTACAACTTTGCTTTTTAAAAAAGATTATCAAAGTTCTCGTGTGAGATCGAAGGGACTTCAGCTCTTTGTGTGGTAGATCAGTTATTACTGTTTGACCCCCATCATCTTGTCGAAGGCTATCAGATGCCTTTTATCGGTATCGTTCCCCCGTAATTCGCCTTTAAGGTTTTGGCTCCGCCGTTAGTAAGATCTTGTCGGGGACAACCACATTATCCCTTCGTCGGTACCCACTTCCGGCGTCCCATTCTTCTCATATAGAGCTTCGCAATTCGAGCTCTAAGAGCCTTTTGGGCGCTCAAACTCGACTCTACCTCTTGAAGACACGTGCATTGCAAAATGTGGTTAATTTCGCTCCTAAGAAAAAAAAAATAAAATTCCGCCACGCAGTGCGCGTTTACAAGATCTTTCCGACGACATCAATTGGAATGCAATCGGACCAAAACTGTACAAGATACGAAAAAACTGAAACATCACCGCGTTAGTATAACAGGCTCAGGGATGCTGCCCAGATGTCGCCGATCCCACATCATGTAGCCCCGTCCGTTAATTATACACGGCCCTGGTATAGGTACATGTACACTCCTCGTCTTTCTACAAGCGTTCTTCTACGGGCCCGCAGTTGCTGCCAGATAGACAACATTGAGAAACCTACACCCGAGCCTAAACCTACAAATAATCTAATCCGCTGAATTGGGATATGCATTTTTAAGAAAAATTGTTCACGCAAAGAATCGAACCCGAACCCTCCGGTTGCAAGCCGAGTATCTTTACCACTAGACAGTTATGGCAGACATTCACAGTGCCGGATCTAGAAGTTTTTATGGGGCAAATTTGCAGGGCCGCCCAGACAATTTCAGGGGCCTGGGACAAAGTAAATTTTGGGGCCCTGTTTTGGAATAGAAAAAATTTCAAAGAAAATGTTATTTTAGAAATTTTTTATCAACGAAAGTTTGCTGAAAGGGGTGAACACACGTTTTACCCTTCATGGTATTCTAATGAAAGGTCTCATTGAAAGGAATTGGTTTCTACAAACAATAACTTCCCTCCGCAACTTCTTCTCAATAAAGGTATGAGACGGGGGAATGCGGGGGTCATTGCTCAAGAGCGGATTGTCGAATTAGTACATCTGGGAGAAATATATCCAAGCGGTTTATCTGCACAAGAGTTGTGCACAATTTCTACTTGTTTATTATGCCGACAAGTGATTTACCGCATTATTTTACCGGGAACAGCCACATGTTGTCATTTTCTATTCTTCGCAAAAAATCATCGGCCGTACAAATGAAAATGTGGCAACGGCAACTCTATTGCTGTTTCAATCATCCTCACAGATCCACGGCCAACACGGGGGCCCTTTGAAATCGGGGGCCTGGGGCAAATCGCCCCAGTTGCCCCCCCCCCTCTGGGCGGCCCTGCAAATTTGGTATTTTGCCGCTCTTCTTCCCAAATTACCAAATTAAAATTACACGAACCATGCCGACTTTTGCCGCCCCTATTGAGTGCCGCCCGGGGCACTTGCCCCCTTTTGCCCCCCCCCCCCTTTATCCGGCACTGGCCCTGAAACATATGTACGAGTACCTATATTTGTTTGCGCTATGATGTGCTTGACGGAAATTAGGTTGGCTTTTGTATTTGTGGACTTAAGTCTTGACCACTTGCCATTTTAAAAATCGCCATTATGTATTTTAGATAAAAAGAGTGTATTCGTTATTATTTGCTGAAACAGTAAAATCATTATAAAATGGAAACATGTAGGTATACGTGTATCCTATTTAAAATGATTTTAAAAGGGGGGCGGGGGGCGACGTATATTTATTTACAGGGAAAGAGAAACGTAATTTTGTATAAGACCTTACTTAGTCATCTTCGTCCTCCGTCGGAACTATGAGTTCCTTAAAGAACGTTTCTAAGTCCAATATTGCTTCCGGGTGTTTAATATCTGCTAAGTTTAACGTGGGTAGCTCTCTTTGGGAACGTTGTAGCTTTAACTGTAATAGTTGTCTCGCGTTGGTGCGCTGTGGGTAGGGGCAATGGTAAAGTATATGCTCGTGGGAGGAATCCTGTGAACCGCCCCTTTGTGGTCTCGTCCTATACTTTTTGCCATTGGGCCAACATAGCATCTCGCGCAGTAGTCTTTATATACGATTTGGGGATTTGTACGGTGACCTCGGTGTTTGTATTGCCATTTCGCGCCGCCATATCCGCAGATTTACTTCCCTCTGACCGCTTATTTTTGCCATCCCATGTTATGTACACTTATGTCCCGGAGTCCCATAGGTTTGTGAGACTTTTATGCGCTTTGTTTGCCTGACCTCTACTGGCTTTAAATGCATTTATATACTGCATCATAAATATTTACATTTTCAACATAATAACTTAATCATAATTAACTTAATTTCGCAGTAACAACCAATCCATGGAAGTTGCTTCTGAAAAGAGAGATTTCCCCGGTAATTTTGGTGCTGGCGGTCGGTTGGAGGTGGGTTCCCTTGACTGTGGTTTCCTAGCAAGGGGGTGGTGGTACAGCCTTAAGCCCGTAAGGGTGGGCAGGCGGAGATCTTCTCTCAACAATTTAACTGCTTCTCCCTGACCCCGGGCGGGCGGTAAACGGCGGGAGTAGATGTAACTCTCCTAATAAACTCGGTAAACGCGGGTAAACGGCGGGGGTAGGGTAAAGGCGTATAAGAGTACGCGGGTGTATAAGAGTACGCACCTTTATTTTGAATATATACTCCCATCTATTTGATATTTTGAGCGGCTCGGCCCATTGTAAATTGCACATTCTAATACAGGCAAAAGCAGATATCTGTATTACCAAAGCTGTTTTTACAATATGGCGATTATAAGTTCCCGCTTGTTCACACTGTAGTTTCTAGGGGTCAGTTTTTAGTGTTTTTGGAGGTAAGTGTTCACTCTGTAGATTGATTAATGCAATTTCTTGCTTCTAAATAACCTTACGTACTATTTTCTTAGCTACAATTAATTGGGTGGCTATTTTTTTCGAGACATTGCTTATAATGCCAAAATTCTGACGTATGTCTAAGAGTACGCAGTTTTGAAAGCATAAGAGCACGCACTGCGTACTCTTATACACGAGAAGGTTTTTATGCTTTCCTATACTGTCTAAATAGCGAAATAGTCTTAATAATTTCCTATTTTTTAGTTTGCTAGTAAACGAGTATGAGCCGATACAAAAGAAAAAGTGACCGAAAGCTGGTTTTTACAGAGGAAAATTTGGAAGATATAAAGCGTAAAATCACTGAAGGCTGTAGTAAGAGAAGTATAGCTAGAGAAATGGGTATAAATGAAGCTACCCTACGAAAACGATTAAAATGTGGCACTATTCCGAAATCGTTAGGGCGATTTCGAAGTGATATTCCTGAAAATATGGAAATTGAATTGGCACAGCAGGTACGAGATTTAGATTCGCGATTTTATGGCATTACTAAGAAGAATCTACAAATAGCAGCATTTAAGTTTGCTCAAGTCAATAACATTCAACATCGATTCAACAAAATCACAAAAATGGCAGGCCCATCTTGGATAAAAGGTTTTTGTCACCGGCATAATATATCACTTCGTCAACCAGAGAAATGTACAATGGGTCGAATCATGGGATTCAATAAAGTTCAGGTGAACAGATTTTATGAAAATCTTAAAATTTTGTACGAAAAGAGGAAATACATAGCAAGTTCAGTTTACAACATGGACGAAACGGGGTTGTCAACAGTGCCGAATAAATTACCTAAGGTATTAAGTAGCAAAGGTAAGAAACTGGTGGGAAAAGTGGCGAGTGCTGACCGAGGACAGCTTGTAACCGCTGTATGTTGTATGAGCGCCACAGGAACGTACATTCCTCCAGCAATGATATTCCCCAGGAAAAGAATGAAAGAGGAGCTCTTTTTAAATGCACCAACGGGTACCTATAAAATGGTGTCTGAATCTGGATTTATTAATACAGAGTTATTTTGCCAGTGGTTGGTTCATTTTAAGAACTGCACCAAACCTAGCGCTGAAAATCCAATACTTTTGATACTTGATAACCATAGTTCACATCGCGATTTACAAGCCATACAATATTGCAGGGAAAATCACATAGATTTGTTATCTTTACCTCCCCATGCAAGCCACAAGATGCAGCCCCTAGACGTTGGCTTCTTTGGCCCTTTGAAAAATTCATACAGCAGAGAATGTGATAAATGGATGACAAATAATCCCGGGAAGGTGATAACACAAATTCAAGTCGCCGGACTATTTAACATTGCTTACACTACCGTTGCAAACATTCAAAAGGCCGAAAATTCATTCAAGGCGACTGGAATCTATCCCTACAATCCAGATAAGTTTGATGATCTTGATTTTGCACCGTCCTTGGTCACAGATTTTCC